ACCCACCCCGCCATGGACCCGCCCGCCCGAGCAGGGCAGAGACCAGCACACAGGGCCAGGCCCGCAGGGAGAGGCGGGGGAGAGAAGGAGCAGCGGCCACGCCAGGCTTCTCACCGCCCACCTCCGAAGCTAGTGTTTGCTCGGTGTGAAGCGCACACACCGTCCTCACTGGATCTCTCCGCCTCCAGGCTCCCGCGGGCAGCTCTCTGCAGGATGCCCCACCCTCCCCTGGGGCCTCCTTGTGATTGCCCAGGAGCCCTTCCCTACCCCTCACCCACACCCCACCGCTTTGTCCAGCCCTGTGGTCAGTAGAGATCTAAGAAACCCCCGGTTCCCTGCTCCCGGTTTTCCCATCTGCGGCTTTCCTTCCGGTGTGTAGCTGAGGAGGGCTGGGGTAGTAGGTGGCATTCAGGTTCCTAATCAGCTGACTTCAGGACAGGGAGATGACCGGGTGGGCCTGGCCTAACCAGGCAAACCCTAAAGGCAACAGGGCTTTTCCTGGAGCTGCCGCCGCTCCACAGGGGGAGCATGAAGGCAGGAGGTACCCACGGCGGCGGCGGCAGCGGCGGCAGCGGCGGCAGGAGACTCAGACAGCCTCTGAAAACCAAGAGGGAGTCCAGGCCACGCCTGCAGGAACAGGGCCCCGCCCCTCCCCCGCCCCTCCCCGCCCACAAAGGACACAGCCCCGTCCCACACAGGACCCAGCCCCGTCCCATGCAGGGCCCCGCCCACAAAGGACATAGCCCCGCCCTGCACCAGACTCGGCCCCGCCCACAAAGGACACTCCCACCCCTGCAGGGCCCTGCTCCCGCCCACACCCGGATTTCTGCCTTTCCAGACAGAGAGTGAGCGTGATGGGCTCGTATTCCTGACCCAGCCCCTCCAAGCTCTTGGGGCCGGTACCAAGCAGAGAAGAGGACTCAGCTGCCCTGGTTTGCCTGCTTCCTGGCGGTCACCCCAGGGCAAGTTAGTCTCGCTGTCTCTCAAAAGACCGCGTGCAGCTGGGCCTGGTGGCACAGCCCTGTAATCTCAGAACTCAGGAGGCTGAGGCCGGAGGATCGCCAAGAGTTCAAGGCCACCAAGACCCTGTCTCAAAACCAAAACCAAAAAAGTTTAAAAAATTAATTCACATACATAGAGTTCACCCACTGCAAGCATGCGGGCTGAGGGTGTTTGTGTGTCACAGAGCTGTACATGTGTCACCAAATCAACTTTATATATTTTGGTGCCAGGGATCAAACTCGGGTCCTTGCGCTTGTGCAGCAGGCAGTGAAACCACTGAGCTAAATCCCCGGCCCCCAAATCAACTTTAGAATGTTTTCATCACCCTGAAAGAAACCCTGCACCCCCTTAGCCATCACCCCTAATGCCTCCCTCACCCCCACCTTCAGCCAGGTGGGCTTCCCATCTCTGTAGCTATCCCCAGACCTTTAAAATATATATACAGTTTTGAGACAGGGTCTCCCTAAGTTGCCCAAGTGAAACTGGAATTTTCGATCCTCCTGCCTCAGCCTCGCTCGGTCCTGGGCCCCTGCCGAGTCCCCCGACTGTGCCCCACGGCCTGCTTGCTCCGTGGCAAACATCGCCAACAGCGGAGGCCAAGGGCATGAACCTCGGTCGTCCATGGAGTCGCAGCCCAGAGCTGACCCTGGTGGGACGCGGGAGGGGACTTGGTCCCTGGCAGGCTCTATCCTCAACCGTGAGACACGGCTAATAATAGGCGCCACCTCCCTGGGCCCTGGAAAGGCTTAGCATGGGGCTGGTCAGACACAGAGCTCAGGAAATACAACCAGAATCATTGTTAATCACACAGGATTTACGGAGCCACTGCAAAGCCAACATCTTTGGCCACCATCTGTCCACTCCTTGCACACGTGTTTCCTGAGTTGAGGACAAGAGAATTTGGGTACTCCAAGTCCCTCTGTGAGGCTGGGCACGGGCTGAGATGCCAGGTGCCGCGCCCGAGGGACTTTAATCCCAGGGCACTGGGGAGCCATGGAAGGCTGTGGAGGGGAGGAGGTAGTGGGCCAGAACTGAGTGTGGTGGCAGATGGGTTCTGCTCACAGCAGGGAGGGCAGGGTAAGCCTCGATTCTCAGTCCGTTGTCTCCAGACTCCACCAGGGCCTGTGGTCCCCGATCTGCCTGTCAATCTCTGCACCTTCTTCTGCTCTTAGCACTGGGGACAGAAGCCAGGGCCTTGACACTGAGCTACACCCCACCCAACCCCACCCTCTTCTTAAAATATTGAGACACGATTTTGTTAAGTCACTCAGATTGAGCCCAAACTTGCATCCTCCTGCCTCAGCCTCCCGGGTGCTGGTATGACAGGTGTGCGCCACCATGCCAGGCTCATTTTTATTTTTATGAAAGTAAAACAATGCAGGGTGAGAATAATCTTGATGACAGGTTTACTTCCCTCAGTGCCTTGGAGGCCCCTTATTCATGGTGGGTGAAGGAGACCAAGGGACAGAGGAGGAGGGTGCTCCGTACCTGCAGCACCGCCCCACAGTGGATGCAGTCGTTATGTCCTGCAAACATGTACTAACAAAAGCAAAACATTTAAAAAGTCTCCGAAAGCACCAGATTAGCCCAGGGGAAAGATTCCTGCAGGACTCCTATCATAGTGTGGTCCCCAGCCCATGGGGACATGACCTTGCCCATGCTCGTGCTTCTGTTTAACACCCTGGACAACCACATTGCTAGCCATGGGGCGTGGTGGCGTACCACTGTCATCCCAGCACTCTGGAGGCTGAGGCAGGAGGATCACCATGAGTTTGAGGCCGGCCTGGGCTACATAGTGAGACCCTGTCTCAAAAAGTGAAAATAAAAATCAATAAATCCATATGCTAATTCCAGGATACTGAACCCACTGCCAACAGCACAGCCCTCAATGAGCTCAGGGGACTCACAGGCCCATGGGTGCTGCCAAGTCACAGTGAAAGGCACAGAGAGTGACATTCAGAGCATCCAATCAGTGCGAGCAGAAGCCACAACAAACAACAACTGACAGCCACAACACCACTGTGATTGTTTTTCTTTTACCTATTTATTCCTTTTTAACTGACAAATTCAAATTGTATATGTTCCCGGTGGATACCATGATGGTTTGCTTTTTTTTTTGTACCAGGGATCAAACTCAGGACCTTGAGCTTGCAAGGCAGGTGGCAGAACCACTGAGCTAAATCCCCAGCTGCATGATGTTTTATTTCTGATATTTTATGCATTTATTTTATTTTGAGATGGAGCCTCACTAAGTCACTAAGTTGCCCTCCCTCTCTGGGCTTGAACTTGTGGCCCTCCTTCCTTGGTCTCTCAGAGTGCTGGAATGACAGGGATGCCCGGTTATTATTAGTAGTAGTATTATTAGTATTATTAGTATTATTATTTCCTGAACTCTCCCGTCTCAGCCTCTTCCCTGGGTACAGCACATTGTTTTGAACAGCAGCACAGTCACCACTGATTGGGGTTACAGACTAACAGGGAGTAGGCCGATTTCCAAATGGAAAATCCACGGGTAACAAGACGGCCTGGGGATCCACAAGGTCGTCACAAGCCAGGTTGTTGCTTGCTTGTTGTCCCAACTGCTGGGAAGGCTGAGGCAGGAGGATTTTGAGTTTGAGGACAGCCCAGATGCAGAGCAAGACTCTGCCTGAAAGTAAATCAATCAGTAAAGTTACCCAGCGAGGAAGTTGTTTACACCCTGCTGTCTTTTTGAAGCCCGGAGTTTATTTTACACTTAGATCCTTCTCAGGTTGGAAATACCACTGTCACCCGCAGCTCTGTGTTGGAAGAGGCAGGGGTCTGCTTCAGGGTCTGGAAAGATTTACGACAATAAATAAGTAAGAACCCAGTGCCAGACTGGACGGCCCCAGGCTATAAGAAAGCTGCATGTGCATCGGGGCCTGCTGGCGCTCACCCGTCATCCCAGTACTCAGAGTCTGAGGCAGGAGGGTCTAAAGTTGGAGCCCACCCTGAGCAACTTAGAGACTTAGGGAGACCCTGTCTCAAAATGAAAAATTAAAGAGTTGGGCATGGAGCTCAGTGTGAAGGCCCTGGTACTGCAGAAAAGAAACCAGCTGCACAGCCCCTCCCGGTGCATGCTCCCCTTGGGGAGACCTTAACCACGGAGAGCAGGGGAGCATGGGCAGGCAACACTGACCCTCTGCACAGGAAGGGGGTGACCAACACCCTGCCCAGCCAGCGGCTGAAGGTCAAAGCAGGCGCGGAAGGTCACAGACAGCCGCTATTTATAGGCCTGCAAGGCGATCCACTAGTGAGGTCCACACCTATGCAGCAGAAGGTTTTCCGAATCAAAACACAACAGATACCTCCCCTGGGCCCTCCATCACTTCTGCAGAGAAGGGAGGCCTGGGCCGGAGAAAGTGGCCTGGGGCTTCAGGAACATTTGGGAAGCTGTTTCTCAAGCCGGCTTAGCAGAAATGAGTGCTCGCCAGGTTTTGCAGCTAAAGGGACAGAGCCCAGGGCCTTCACGATGAACTACAGGCCCAGCCCTTTCTTATTCTCCTAGTTTGAGATAGGATCTCACTAAGTTGCTAAGATGTCCAAGCCCACCTGAACCTGTGATCCTCCTGCCTCAGCCTCTCAGAGGGCTGGGACTACACACATGTGCTACACACACCGGGCAAAGGCAAGGTTCTTATTTACTAGTCTGCAGTCTTATGCACTCCTGACGAAGCAGGTCACGCCAGCGGTGCAGCTGCTTTGCTCCAGGTGTGAGATGGGGGATGTGGGCTGTCCACCGCACAATCGTTGAAGCATAAACAAAATACTTTTGAGGTGCTGGGGATCAAGCCCAGGGCCTCACACATGCTACGAAAGCTCTCTACCACTGAGCTACGCCTGCAGCTCTAAATTAATTTTTATAGGCTCTTTCAGTATGTGTTTTATTCATTAAGTTTACTTGAAAAATAGTGCACAACACATAAGTCATATATAATGTATAAATATATTACACATAAGATATATACTGTGGTGTTCATCATGGAATATATGTGTGGGAATATGTATAGTATCTAATATAATTACATATATATATATTTTTTTCTTTTTTTTGTAGAGGGAAAGGTCTCACTATGTAGTTCAGACTGGTCTATCAACTCACTACATAGCCTGGGCTGGCCTTAGACTCAGGGCGAGCCTCCTGGCTCAGCCTCCTGTCTACTGGGGTTACAGGCCTGCACCACCACGCCGGCAACTATAATTATATTAGGGATGATTTATTTGGACTGGACATTACATGACGCAAAAATTACAGAATTCAGTGGTTCTTCCACAGAGGTGCTCTGGGTAGGAACGGTGATGAGTCTCATTTCTTACGGGTGGAAACTGAGTCGCAGAGGCAGGGGAACCCTGGTGTGTGGCTCCTGCTGGGGGGGACGGCGGGAGGAGGGACAAGAGGCTCACAGGCGGGGAAGGAGCCTGGAGTGGGTGTGCCCTGGGCCTGGCCCAGCACCTCCGGGCCACACCTGCGGGGGTCGAGGTCGTGCCGGGTGACCCCGAGGAGTAGCGTTGCTAAATGGGGAGGTGCAAAGCTCCCCGGATCACCAGTGCGCCTGGGGAGGGGAGGCTGCGTGTCCTGCGCCGCGGGCACAGGCGGCTGCTGCAGCCTGACCTTTGGGAGCTGGGAACAGCCCGAGTGCCGGGCGGGGCACAGCGCTCCGCGCCTCAGTTTCCCTCATTCTTCTCACCCGGGGCTGGGTGGGCAACGCCTCAAAGTCTTAAAGAATAAATGAGGAGGAGGAGAGGAGAGCCGAGCCTGAGGCAGTAAACAGCCCTCAGCGCACGGTTCCTGTTACTGGTGTTTGAACAGCTGCCGCGCTGTGGGAAAATTCCAGCGACGCGAAGGGGATGGGCACCGGTGGGAGCCGCGCGTGGGTACGGACTGCGGCCTCCCCCGAGCCGCAGTCCGGGCCGAAGCGGGGACGGGCCGTGGCCGATTCCCACACCGCCCCGCGTTGCTCGGCTGTGGGCGGCCAGTGCTGTCCTTCCCGTGACTCGCGCTCCTTAGGGGAGAGAGCCGCCCAGGGGGCCGGGCGGGAGAAGCGCCCCGCGCGGCTTGCTTTCCTCTTGCCGGAGCAGTTTCAGGCTGCTGTTTGCTGTGTAACAGCCTGCACTGCCTCCCCACGCCACCACAGAAAGCACGCAGCGGTGGCCGGAAAGGGAGGAGACTAGAAAGCCAGTGGCCGGGCAAGTGCGCCTCTGCCCTGCAGCCCGGCCGGGGCCTCTCCACAGGGGGCCTTTTCCGCCGCCGGGACCTTCCAGAGCCTGGGAGCCGCGGGCCGAGGGATTTTTATTAATAGCAGGCTGTAGTAGTAGTGGAAACTCGAGCTGGGCTGACAGGGTGTGAGTCACCGCCTGGCCCAGGCCCAGCACTGCCCGCTCCCGGAACCTCAGTCTCCTCATCCATACGCTGGGGGACCCTGAGCCCAGGACCCAAAACGGCGGGGCAGGGCACAGGGCAATCTTTCCGCGGGGCGCCCAGCCTGGCCTAGGTTCTTGGGATGGAGGAGAAGGACTTTTCTAGGAGTCCCTGGTTCTGGGCCACAGTGTCTCCCGGACCCTGGAGGAAGCCGGAAGGCCCTGAGCCCAGGACCCAGCCGGTGAGAGCTGTGAATGGGGCTCCCCCCTTCTCCTGCCCTCGGGCGTGGCCCTTGGGGGTTCACAGCCTGCTTGTCCCCTCTGTCCTGGGACCAGCGCCCGGAGTCCAAGCTGGTCTAAGTTTGGAAGGGGAAGGAGGGTGAGGGCGGGTGTGGGGGACAGGATGTCTCTGTCTCTAGCTGTCACACACACCTCTGCCCGGAGAAAGGGAGGGACAAAGGCTGTGTGCGAGTCAGAACAAAGAGAAGAGAAGAGAGACGCGGAGGCACTGGGCAGCCAGGGCGCCCGGAGAGCCAGGGCCAGAGGCCGGGGCCAGAGCCCAGGGACGCTGTGCTGCCCAACAGGGAGAGTGTGGGACAAACAAGACAAGACGGGGGCCAGAGACCCACTCGGAGACCCCAGGGTGAGGCCGAGAGGAGCGTGGAGGAGAAAGAGACAGAGCAGAGTCAAAGTCACACCAAGACAGCAGGCAGGGACAGAGACAGGGAAAGAGACAGACAGGAAGAAAAGAGGAAGCAGAAGGAGGGAGAGAGCGAGAGAGAGCAGAACACTGGGAAGGAAGGAAGGAAGGAAGGAAGGAGGAAGAGGAAGGAAGGGAGGAGGCTGTACAGGCTGAAGAGGGGAGGGTGAGGGAAGCTGGAGAAACAAATGGCCACACAGACAGTGACGCCCGGCCAGAGGGCGACGGAGAGGGACGAGTCCCGGCCAGCCCCTCACGCAGCCCCCAGTGAGGACTGGGCCGTGGGGCCTGGGCGCTGGTGGCGTCACGGGGACCCCAGACTGAGGCGTCCGCCCCAGGCCCCCACACCAGGCAGCCCTGGGATGGAGCTCAGGGCCTCTGAGACTCCTGAGGATGGGGACCTGGAGGTGAGAGGCTGCGGGCCAGGGGCCCAGACCCCGAGGAGGGTGGGAGTGTGAGGCAGCCCGGGGGACACAGCAGCGCGGCGCGGAGGGAGATGGACATGGGTGGTGTGGGCCGGACAGCACCCCCTGCGCTGGGGCTTCTGAGGCCTCACACGGACGGCACAGGCAGGGCCTCTGTCACAGAGACCCCGACCCTGCCAGGACGCGCACAGGTGGCCCGGGGCCCGTGAGTCACTGTGACTCATCCTCCTCTCTGGGGCGGTGACCCTGCACCCTGGACCTGCACCAGCTGGGCCCGCAGCCCCAGGGACCCCAGAGTGACCCTGGCCTCACCGTCCCCTACAGGAGGACACGGCCACTGCCCTGCTGCGCCTGGTGGAGCTGACAGCCGCACGGGTGACCCCGCTTTGCAGCCTGCGGGTCCAGTACCGCCTGCTCCGGAAGCTGGGTGCGGGCTCCTACGGCCGGGTGCTCCTGGCCCAGCCTCGCCATGGGGGTGAGTGCGCCCCAGCTGCCACACAGAGGTCCTCCAGGCCACCCGGGCGGCCAAGGGCTAAGCCCTGGCACCACCACACTGCAGGACGCACCCTCAGGGACCCTTCCTGTGGGGGACCGTGTGGCCCAGGGACCCGAGGCCCAGAGAAGGGAAGCTGCTGAGCCTTGGGGCCGTGGCCCACTCGCTCTCCCCACAGGCCCAGCCGTGGCCCTCAAGCTCCTCCGCTGCGACTCAGTCCCGAGAGCCACCTTCCTAAGAGAGTTCTGCGTGGGCCACTGCGTGTCCTCACACCCTGGCCTGCTGCGCACACTGGGGCTCCCCCTGCAGACACCCAGACACTTTGCCTTTGCCCAGGAGTTTGCACCCTGGGGGGACCTCAGCGGGATGCTCCAGGAGAAGGTGAGGTGGCCGGGCCAGGCCAGGCAGGGCCACGCTGTCCCAGACCCACCCCACCACTGCCTTGAGCCGGGCAGTGCCCGCCAGGCCCCCGTGTCCCACGCCTGTCCCCCCACCCATCCATCCATCACCCCCCCGCCACCCAAGGCAGGGAGCCTGAAGGGTGGCAGGGACCAGACGGGGTGTGGCTGGAGGTGGCGGGGTGGCAGGGCTCTGGGGCTGGCATGGGCAGAGGGGTGGGCGAGGACACGTCCACCGTGGAGCTGGAGGGCCGGGGGCTTGTGCAGGGCCAGGTCAGACGGGGCCAGGCGCGTCTACCCACCTGAGTCTGAGGGTCAGGGGCCAGGGCAATTTGCAGGAAGTTGGTTTTGAGATAGGGTTAGGGAGGAAGGAAGGGAAGAAGAAGGGATGGAAAGAAGGGAGGGAGATATGCAATGACGGAGTGCTCAAGTGGCCACGCGGCTGTGGGCAGACACATCGTCCACCGAGCTGGGGGTGGCCAGTGTCCCAGTGGCCATAGGCTGTGCAGACCTCTTGCAGTCGGCGAAGGATTCGGGGTAGAGGTAGCAGAGAGCCTGAGTTAGGGTGGCGTCTAGACTCACCTGGCACCAAGGTGGGGTGAATGTGGGTTTGGGGCCCCCCTGGAGATGCTCTGGGGCCAGTTTAGAGGGGACAAGAGCTGCTCAGGTGGGTCAGCTGGTGGGGGCACAGATGAGGGAGGCTGCAGGTGAGGGCAGCCTGGGCCCCTGGGAGCCTGGAGGTGCACTGGTGCCTGGGGCCCGAGCCAGGCAGGGAGTGGGCCTGACCTTGTCCCCCACAGGGCCTGCCGGAGTCCATGCTGAAGCGGGTGGCCGCCCAGCTGGCTGGGGCCCTGGACTTCCTGCACGGCCGCGGGCTGGTGCACGCCGATGTCAAGCCGGACAACGTGCTGGTCTTTGATCCAGCCTGCAGCCGTGTGGCCCTGGGCGACCTGGGTCTGACCCGGCCCGAGGGCAGCCCGGCCCCTGCACCACCAGCCCCACTGCCCACCGCGCCACCCGAGCTCTGCCTGCTGCTGCCGCCCGCCACGCTGCCCCTGCGGCCAGCTGTGGACGCCTGGGGCCTGGGCGTGCTGCTCTTCTGCGCTGCCACTGCCTGCTTCCCCTGGGACGTGGCGCTGGCCCCCGACCCTGAGTTCGAGGCCTTCGCCAGCTGGATGACCGCCAGGCCGCAGCCCCCTCAGCCACCTGCGCCCTGGGACCAGTTTGCACCCCCGGCTCTGGCCCTGCTGCAGGGGCTTCTGGACCTGGACCCTGACACCAGGAGCCCCCCGCTGGCCATCCTGAGCGTGCTGGGAGAAGACTGGGGCTTGGAGGCCAACGGAGAGGGTCCTGGGGGCTCCCTGAGCACTGACAGGGAGGAGGGGGACACAGGAGGGTCGAGCTTGGAGGAGGAGACGGACGAGGACGGGGATGAAGGCAGAGGGGGCGGGAACACGGGGACAGACGGTGGAGCCGCCCGGCCAGGTGACTGAGACAGGTGGCCAAGGCCTGGGCCAAAGGCTGCCCCCTCGGCCCCATGGCCACCCGGAAGGGAAGACGGCTGCTCCGGGAGGACAGAGGGGGACACCGCGCCTCCTTTAACGAAGGCTGGACGTCATGTGGGACCCCCCGCCTGGGGTCTGAGTCCAGCCTCGTCCTCTGTCCTTGCCGTTCTCTGCCCTGTGTGTGTCCTCCCGAGGAAGGCGCTGTCCCCATGCGCGCCCACATCTCAGTACTGCAGGACCACGTCCAGTCCTTACTGTCCACTTCTGGCGGCCTCAGCTGTCTCCTGCTGTCTGCAGCGCAAACTCTGAGCTTCAGGATCCACCCTCGGCCTCTCCCATGTCTTGGGGTTCTGGTGATGGTGTGGGATCATTTATCTGTGCTGGGCCTAAACTCACACGTGCACACACGCACACACATACACACTTCGCCACCAGCCAACATTTGCACACTTGTACCTCCACCTACAGCCCTGTCTCCCCACATGGCTCCGGGAGCGCGGCCCGGCCTCAGCCCACTCTGGGTCTGTGACTCCGACTGGGAGCCCGTGTGTTCCAGCTGTGTGTCCGACTCCTCAGCCTGCCACCTGGGCCGTCCCAGCCAGAGTGGTCTCTTGCACTTCCACACCTCTTGGAGCCAGCTCCAGGCAGTGCCAGGTCGAGATCACCTAGCTCCTGCCTTCCGGGGAGCCCTCAGTCCTGACAGCCACCACCTGCGGTTCCAGTTCCGTGGCTCCTGTCTGCACCTCAGGACACGAGGGCCTAGTGCTTGGGGGCTCAAATCACACCTCCAACACGGCCAGCAGAGGGTTGGCCCTGGAAGCTGCCCCTCCCAGGAGCTCACATTTTCCAGACTGAAACACGGGTTCATGCCGGGTGTGGGGTGCACTCCTGTCATCTCAGCACTTTGGGAGGCTGAGGCAGGAGGATCACAAGTTCAAGTCCCATTTAGGCAAGTATGAAAGACTCTGTCTCAAAATAAAAAATAAAGAGAAGGGCTGGGGATGTAGCTCAGGGTGAAGGCCCTGGGTTCAATCCCCAGCAGTGCAGAAATAAATGAACAAGTAAATAAATAAGTGTGAGTTCACTGAGTGCCACACATCCCAAACGGGCCCGTGGCAGAGCAAGGACCTCGGTGGAACTGCGAGGGTTGGGGGAGCACAGGAGCGGCATTGTGCCAGGCGAGTCCGCCACCCAACCGCACGTGAGAGGCAGGGTGAGCGCAGGAAAGGCAGCTGGCAACCCAGTGAGCAGCTTGTGTGTGTGACCCCAGTAACTCTGTCCCCCGACCCCGCAGTACGGGGTGGGAGCAGCTGCCCAGGACGGGGCGCGGCCCCGACTCCAGTTGTCCAGCACCTGCTCCCCGCGGTGAGGTCATCCCACCTCCTGGCTCTGGAATCCGCTGCCTCATCCTCTCTCCGTATTCATGGGTCTGCACCCCAGGGTACCCCAGTTCCCCCTCGCATCTCAGCAGTCCCTGGGTCCAGGCTGCACCAGCGTCAGGTGGGGTCAGGTTGCAGTCAAGATCACTAAAGGGCCCGGGCCCCGGGTCGGGAGGAGGCTGGCCCTGGACCCCGGGTCTGCGGAGGAGGCCAGGCCTCCTGTGGGGGCGTTGGTGCAACCACCTCCAGTTCTAGGATTCAACGCACGGTGTCGCCCTGGCCCCAGCGGGGGCACCGGGGGCGGGGCAGGGGCGGGGCCTCGCGCCCCCAGACGGGGCGGGCCTTGCTCCGGGCGGCGCTGCTGGCCTGGGCCCCGACAGCCGGACACCGGGCGCTGCAGGCTGCGGAAGGGTCGGGCGAGACTCGTGGAGGTGAGGCCAGGGCTCCGAGTCCTGGCTGGAAAGGGCAAGGTGGAAGCCCGGGGTGGGCAGCCTCGGCGGAGGGCAGCGAGCGGCTGGGGTCCTGGTCCCGCAGTGGGGGCTGCGCCTTCGGCCTAGGGAGGTGGCGCCGGTTCCGGGCCCCTGAGTTCTGTGAGACGCGGGGACAGGAGTGGGCTGGGGGCTCCGGCATCGGGGTCTGCGAGGGGGACAGCTCCTGGATGGGGCTTTGGTCCACTGGCATTCCGACAGAGCCCACCCTGAAGTGTCCCTGTGAGGCGAGGTCAACGGAGAGGTCACAAACGTCCCGCCCCCTTCCCCCGCTGCCACCCATGGCCTGAGGGTGAAAGATGAACCACATCACTTGAGACACCCCCACCTTGTTTCCAAAGCAAACAGACTTGGGCCCGGGTGGATGAGCAGCCTCTGTCTCCCAAGAGCAAACAGGTGCTCGGTCCCTGGGTGAGGTGGGGCCGGCGAAGGGGAGGCCGGGAGCCCTGCGCGGTCCAGCCTGGCGCCGAGCAGCGGCCCCAGTCCCCCCAGCTCCGGCTTGAGGAGCACGGCCCCTTCCCTGGGCCCTGGCCTGGTGGCTGGACTGCCCGGCTCACCCTCTCTGTTTCCGTCCTGGCAGAAATGCCAGGGAAGCAGCCCGAGACTGGTCCAACAGAGGCACCTGAGGATGGCGCCGCGGACAGCCTGGGCAGCCTCACGGCGGAGGAGCTGCAGCAGGGCCAGGAGGCGGCACTGGCGCTGGAGGACAGGATGGCGCTGAGTGCGCAGACCCTGGTGCGGGCCGAGGTGGAGCAGCTCTACCAGGAAGTGCGGCCCCTGGGCCAGGGCCGCTTCGGCCGTGTGGTGCTGGTCACTCACCGGAAGAAAGGTATCAAGGGCCGGGGGTTTAGCTCAGTGGTTTGGCTGCCTGCCTCGCAAGTGGAAGGACCCAAGTTCGATCCCTGGTACCAAAAAAAAAGAAAGGTATCAGGGCGGGGACAGGTGTGGGGTGCAGCGGGGGTGAGCATGGGCCCAGGGGACCCCAGCAGCTGAGGCTGGTTTGTGCAGTAGAACGGGACCAAGCCTCACCTGCACCCCTGCTGAGCCATGAGGTTGGGGACCCCCTTCAACCTTTGAGCTCCAAGCCTCAGCTCCCTCCTTCGAAAAGTTGAGCAATGACTCCTTTTTTTCTCCTCAATACTGAGGATCGAACCCAAGTGACATCCCCAGCCCTTTTTAAATTTTTTGAGACAGTGTCTCCCTAAACCCTTACGTACCCAGGCACGGTTCACATTCTCAGTCCTCCTGCCTCAGCCTCCCCAGTGTTGGGATTACAGGCATGCGCCATCACACTGGGCTAAGAACTGTTCATTTCTGACCCTAAAGTGACGCCCCATCATTTGCAATATTCCCAGAACCCTTGAGTGCCTGAAACTGTGTTGTTTTCCTATACATTCACACCTGGGGTGATTTAATTTATAAAGCAGGCACAGTAAGAGCTTACAGCAATAACTCAAAGTGAAGTAGAACTACTGTTGGAACAATTTTCTATAATACAATTGCCGGCACTACCACTTCCATCCCCTGGGGCCTGATTAAGTAAAATAAGGGTTGCTGGAACCCCACGGAAGTGGGTTGTGTGGCAGATGTGGTGACCAGGTGACTAAAGGGCAGCATGAATTCCCCAGGCTCCGTGGAACGGTGCCCACTCCAAACTTAGAATTGGTTTGGGCGCCTGCCTGGGAAGCTCAAGGTCCTGAGTTTGATCCCCAGTACCCAAAAAAATGAATAAAGAAAAATTAAATTTAATTTAAAAAAAATAAAAAAGAAACTGTTAAAAAAAAGGGGGACGGGGATTTAGCTCAGTGGTTTTGCTGCCTGCTGTGCAAGTGCAAGGATCCAAGTTCGATCTCCGGTACCCAAGAAAAAAAGAATTTGTAGGGTGCTGGAGACGCACCCAAGCCGCCTTCGTGTGAGGCAAGCACTGTAACCACTGAGCTGCGCTCTCTGCCCGCACCTTGAATTATTTGCTTCTGGAATTTTCCACTCACTATCTTTGGACCAAAATCGACCATGGACAACTGAAACTCTGGAAACAAAGCTGCAGAGAGGGGGTCTCTGTCGCTCATGGACGGCTCTTGATGCTGGGGACGCTGGCAGGTCGGCAGCCTCGAGGACTACAGGATGCCACGGAGAGATGCTGTCTGCTGAGCCCCTCTCAAAGTGTCCATCCCACCCACAGGGGCACCTCGGTGGAGCCCGGGGTCACCTCGCCCTAGGCCTTCCAGAGGCCTGAGGCACAGCGTCCGCAGGGTGGCTTCTTTAGTGGCCTGTAGGTGGTCAGCTCCTCCCTGTGTCTGCATGTGATCTGTATCTTCATCTCCTCTTCTTCAAGGACCAGGCCCCTCCCTAGTCCCTCTTTTTACTTCTTTATCTGTTTATTTATCTATTTATCTATCTTTTTTTTCCCAGAACCAGGGATCAAACTCAGGACCTTGCGCTCGTGAGTCAGGTGCAATGCCACTGAGCTAAATCCGCAGGCCTGTCTATTTATTATTTTGAGACAGGGTCTCACTATGTAGTTCAGGCTGGCCTTGAACTCACTAGTAGCCCAGGCAGGCTTGGAACTGGTGGCCATCCTCCTGCCTCCGCCTCCTGGTGCTGGGATACAGACGCGTGCCACCACACTGGCCTCTACCTCTATAAAGACCCTGTCTTCAAACAGTCACGAGCTATGGTGCTGGGGATAAGGACACAGCACTGGGGTGGGAGCAGAGATGCAGGAAGGGAGGGAGGGAGAGACACACCATGCCTAGGTCCTTCCAGAACTCAGAGCCGGAGTGGCCATGGAGGACAGTGCTGTCCATGAGCCTTGCCCGCCTGGCTCCATGTAGTCCCATTTCAAGGCCCTGGTGGTGCTTCGGGCCTGTGCCATGGCTGTCGGGAGCAGCTCACAGTCCAGGGGGGCACGGCGGGCGGGAGGGTGGCGTGGGCCATGGTGACATAAATCCAAGACGTGGGCGTGGAAGAGGTTGCGCTGCCTCCTGCAGGGATGGACGGAATTCAGGCAGGTACTGGTGGAGTCGGCCTCAGTCACCAGTCACACGCAGCCCCAGGTGGGCGAGGCTGGGTGGTGGCTCAGACCTGGGAGAGAGAGGTGCCTGCCTTCCGGCGTCCTGAGATTTGCTACGCACTATCTTTTCCCCTGCTTCCCTCACATGTGACTTTGGTGTCTCAAGTAGTCACATGAGCCCCTGGAGGTTCTCAGTTCAGTTTCCTTCTGCCCCAGACACGGGAAGGCAGAGTGGACCCTGCTGTCAGGAGCAGGGCAGGGGGACGGGGCTGGGGAGGTGAGGATGGCCAGAGTGTGAAGGCAACACAGCCTGCAGGGCCAGTGGGCACCCTGGGGACTGCAGGGGACAGGACAGCTGACCCAAGTGACCACAGACTTCTGTGCACCCCACCCCTGTCCCTGTGTCCCCCAGGCACATCCCTGGCACTGAAGCAGCTCCCCAAGACCTCCACATCCCTGCGTGGCTTTCTGTATGAGTTCTGCGTGGGCCTCTCGCTGGGCACCCACCCGGCCATCGTGGCAGCCTATGGCATCGGCATTGAGTCTGCCAACTCCTACAGCTTCCTGACAGAGCCTGTTCTGCATGGGGACCTCATTACCTTCATCCAGCCCAAGGTGGGTAGGTGGCTGAGCACGGTGTTAGGAGGCCGGCCGGGCCTCATGGGAGTGCCCCAAAATAACCTGGCCCCAGAGTCACATCAACTGTGTTGGGCCTTCCCGGGCCACACTCCCACTGAGCTGCTGGGACTGTGGACTAGTTAGGCCCCTTAGAGCTCACTGATTTCACAGAACTAACACTGGGCACCAGTGAGAATCACCAGCCCTCGTGCCATCACACTTGGCCTCACTGAGGCTGACAGGGTTCACAGGCTCACACTGGGACCCTTCCGGCTCACTGGGCCTCAGCCGGACAAATTAGGCCTCACTAGTCACACTAGGCTTTCCCAGGCTCACCTGCCTTGCACTCACAATAGGCGTCTCCAGGTCATTAGGCTCACAGGGACAGGCCTCAGTGGTTTACCCTAGGCCTCACAGAGCTCACAGGCCTCACAGAGCTCACAGGCCTCACCAGTCATACCAGGCCTCACAGGTCTGTGCTAAGCTCAAGGGCTCATATTAGGCTTCAGTAGGCCTCACAGGTCACACTAGCCCTCACAGGGCTTGCGCTAGGCCTCACAGCTTACACTAGGCCTCAGAGGCCCCACTAGGCCTTGCAGGGTCACAGGTCACACTAGACCTCATGGGCTGACACCAGACCTTACAGGGCCACTTATTTGGAGTACTGCAGCCTCCTCAGTTTTTCCGGGCCTGCTTCTGGGGCCGCAAGAGGCCCAGTGCTCTCTGTCCCCCTGGCAGCAGGTGGGTCCTGACCCAGCATTCCTGTCCCTGCAGGTGGGGCTCCCGCAACCTGCAGCCCAGCGCTGCACAGAACAGCTGACCTCAGCCCTGGAGCACATCCATGACCGTGGCCTGGTGTACCGGGACCTCAAGCCGGAGAATGTGCTGGTGTGTGACCCAGCCTGCCAGCGTATCAAGCTGGCCGACTTTGGCCACACTCGGCCCCGCGGGACCCTGCTGCGCCTGACTGGGCCGCCCATCCCCTACACAGCCCCCGAGCTGTGTGCTTCACCGCTGCTGCCCGAGGGGCTACCCATCCAGCCGGCCCTGGATGCATGGGCCCTGGGCGTCCTGGTCTTCTGCCTCCTCACCGGCTACTTCCCCTGGGACCAGCCACTGGAGGACACCGACCCCTTCTACGAGGACTTCCTTGTGTGGCGGGCCTCAGGTCAGGCCCAGGACCGGCCTCAGCCCTGGTTCGGCCTGACACCTGCAGCGGACACCCTGCTGTGTGGGCTGCTGGACCCTCACCCTCGAAGAAGGAGCCCTGTGGGTGCCATCCAGGGCTTCCTGGGGCGGCCCTGGCGACAAGATGGGGAGGCCTCGGGGCTGGCAGTGGAGGCCGGGGAGGGTGGGCGGTGAGGCCTGCAGGCTCGGGCTCGGGTGCCCCCTTCATCTCGGGGACCCCTTCCCTGTGTGCAGGCCTTGCTCCCAGGGACACCGCAGTCTTCTCCTGCCCCGGGGCACTGTGCCTGTCCTCAGCCGTCCTTCGCTCTCCCCCGAGTTACTGCGCTGGCCCGGGCACCATGGTCCACGCACCCTCTGCCCCGCGTCCCTCACTTCCCCGAGGCCCGAAGCCTCTGTCGGCCTGATTCCCCGGGTTCTTTCAGGAGCTCCCAGAGAGCTGGGGTCCGAGCCAGGCTGCTCCTCCTGGACCCCCACGGCCTGGCACGGCTCCGCCAGCACCTCTTGCTCCATCCTCCCCACTCCTCGGCCTCCCACTGTCTCTCTGCCCCCACTCCCTGCCCTGACCCGTGTCCCCGCCAGGCGCTGTCAGGCACTGTGATGAGCTTTGCCTCCTCTCCCACCCGCTGCTCTCTGCAAATAAAACCTACCTGGCACCTGGGCTGCGTGAGGCCACGCGTCTGTGTCGTGAGAGAGCGTCAGCACCCTTGGTGCCCCCAGGGTCTGCTCCACAGCTCCGGCGGTGGGTCTGTGACCCGCACACTCTGCGCAGGGACCGGTGGGCCATCTATTCCCAAGAATCTTTTTTCCTTTACCAAGCCAAGGTTTCTGTGGTGCCACTCTAGTGCAAATGCCATCCTCAAAGATGCTGTCTTTGAGGTGGTGCCCGCCTGTCATCCCCACGCTCTGGGAAGCCAAGGCAGGAGGGTTGCAAATTGGAGCCCAGCCTGGGCAACTCAGCAACTTTATGAGACCCTGTCTCAAAATGAAAAGTAAAAAGGGGCTGAGGATGTAGCTCAGTGCAAAGGCCTTGGGTTCAGTACTGGGGGGACAGAAAGATCCTGTCAAAGACGTCTACACACACACACACACACACACACACACACAGAGCTAGAGTGTGTGTCATACGTAAGTGACGGCATGGTTTTTGTATTTGCGGTTCCGTGAGCGCTTGTGCCCGGTGTGCCCGTGTGTGTGTGCGTGCGTGTGTGCACACATGTATGTGTCCACACACAGCCGGGAGGAAGATCAGGCAGGCACCCTGGCCTCCCCTCCCTTCCCCTCCTGCCTCCCCGGCTCCTGGCTGCCTCAGTGTTTGCAAACACTCTCTCTTCCTCTCCATGCCCTGCTTGGCCGAGAGCCCGGTGAGCCAGGCTACAACTCAGCTGGATCAGGTGTCGCCCTCTGGGCCCAGTGCACCCCCAGGGCCCCTGCTGTGGCAGGGAGGTGTTGCCTGTTCAGGGCGTTTGCCCACGGGGAGCAACCCCAGGGACCCTTCGCTGCAGGTACAAGCTGGAGAGCGGAGACCCACAGCCTGTCCTGGTGGAGCAGGGTCACAGGGTGGTGGGGGGTGAGGCTGGGGGCTGCAGCAAGTGCCTGGGCTCACGCTGAGAGCCCCGCAGCGAGGCCGGGATCACAGCCCGCTGGCCAGGTGCAGCTGCACAGCAGTGCCATAGGGCAGGAGGCACAGGAGGCTGTGCACGTGCTAATTGGTGGTGGCAGCTGCGGATTAACTGGAAGGCGATGATGACCCGGCAGGACCTGAGCGGCGGGGAGGAAGGGAGCATCCGCGGAGGCCGGGAGGGTGTGACGCTTAGGAGGTCGCCCTCGGTGCTAATGGTCAGATCCTTAGCACCTGGCAGGGCTGGCACCTGTGTGAGAAGGACCCAACCGAGGTCACGTAGCAGACGGATTCACACCCGGGACACTCTGTCCATTGCCTGGCCAGCAGGGAGAGGGGCTGGGCCAGGGCCTGGGTGCAAGAAGTGTGTGTGTGTGTGTGTGTGTGTGTGAGGAGGAGGATGGAGGACGTGTCTGTGCTCACAGGGGAGGGCGTGAGCAGGCACGCGGTGTGTGTAGGCTGAAGCAGGCACGCTCCAGTGTGCAGTGAGCATGCGCCCTTCTGTGTGCACTGTGAGGGGGGCATTGCGCCCTCCTGGGAGGAGACGGAGGGAAATCGAGGCTGCGCTGACCCCTAGACTAGACAGGGTGAGCACAGGCGGACGCGGGTGTGCGGAGCGGGACACAGAGTAGGGCAGCAGGGTCAGGTATGGTGGCGCACGCCTGTCACCCCAGCCCTGGGAGGCTGAGGCAGGAGGATCACCAGTTCCAGGCCGGGCTGGAACTTAGTGACTTAGTGAGATCCTGTCTCAAAAGAAAAGAGGTTGGGGATGGGTGAAAACCTGGCTTCCATCCCCAGTATCAGGAAAATACAAGAGTTTTAAGGAGACGGGTGGACACAGCACACTTGGAGCCTGGACTTCGCCTGCTCACTAGCTGTCTGCCCAGTGTGGCGGGGGGGGTCAGCCACACAGGACCCCTCACACTCCCTCCCCTTAGGGACCCACTCTGTCCCCACCTTGCTCTGCATGTGCCCGGACTGGGAGTGCAGCTGAAACCCGGTTCTCCCCTGTGCCGGGTGCCCGAGACCCAGGCAGCTACCGTTCTGCGCCCGGTGCAGGCAGGCGGAGGCAGGGCAGCTGGCCGGCACCCTGGCTGTGGGCCCTGGGGCCAGATGTTCGGGCTTAGCTGCCCAGCCACGTGGGGTAGAGTGACATGTAATTAAGCACCCACCTGTTTGGGGCTGGCAGAGGTAGTGGGGGGTGGAGGCACTGAGGCCCAGAATGCCAAGGGCCCCCTAACCCAGGCTGACAGAAGGGCCACGAGCCAGGACCCACGCTGGGCTCCTTGGTACATTTTGGGGGTGATGCAGAGCCAGGCTTCACCCACTCCCACCTGGGGATGCCAGAGGAGTTACTCCCCAAGTCAGGATCCTCCCTGAGATGGCCCTGGAGCCCACGACAGAAAGGGGAAGGAGGCAGACACCCCTCCACCGCGTTTCCGTGGGGCTCCAGTCAGCGGTTATTTACGTCTCAGGCTTAATGAGCTGAGGGAGCAGAGGATTCTCCGCGTGCTCCCTGCCCTTTTGCGGGGCTCAGCCCATCCATCGGGACCCCGGGCACAGTGCCCCCCAGCAAGTAACTGGACCCCACTGGCCTTTGCCAGGCGGGCGAGGGGTGGGGGCGCCAGCTCCATCACCTTCCGCGACCTCTGAGCCTGCCCTGGGCTGCGGGCAGGAGGAGGAGTCACGGTTTCCTGCCTGAGGCGACAGGGCAAGGTGGGAGCAGGGCTTCCTCCTCCACGCCTGCCCCACTCTGGCTGAGCCCTGGACAAGGGAGGGGCCTGCCACGGTCCCCAGGAGGGGTGGCTGTGGAGCCCAGGATAAGGTCAGAACAGGGACTTTTCACCCCGTCATCCTGGGTGGAGTCCAGCTGTGCTGTGTGGCCATAGGCAAGGGCCTGCTCTCTCTGAGCCTGAGTCCGGGCATCAAAGCTCCTCCCTTGCAGGGCTGTGGTGAGGACTCGATGGAGCAGACCGCCAGAGCAGGCTGGGATTGCGCAAGGCCCGTGTGCACACACCGCGTGCCAGGCTCCGTCCTCACAGCACAGACCCCGTAATCCTCAAAACAATCCCGGAGACTGGGGCTGTATCCATCCCTGTTTCACAGAGGAGGAAACAGGTCCAGAGTCCCCAGCAGGGCAGGCCACATGGGACAGAGCCCAGGTGGAAAGCAAGAGGCCTGGGCGTCACCATGGACCTAGCACGCGGCCCCTGGGGGCCTGGCAGTGACCGGATGTCTGTGCTCATGCCTGTGACATCATGTGGCATCACGAGCAACAGGGAGCCAGGCCTGGGGCAGCACTCCCCGGGAGGGCAGCTGTGGACTGGTCATCACCACAAGCCTGCGAGGCCTGGCTGCTGCTACCCGGACGGTGGAGTCACTCGAGCGGGGCTCCACGCGCCTCCTCTGCTGAGCTGCACAGACCGTGTCTTTGTCTGCAGGGGTGTGACAGTAAGGTGACACCATGCACGTCAAGGGTCCACACCGCTGACACAGCACCTGACATCACGGTCTCTGTGGTGCCAAGGGGATACATCCCTCCCACGATGCAGCTGATCATGCACTCTGCACCACTTCTGTCCCCAGGCTGGTGCACACTGCAAACAGCAGAGCCGCCTGCCCACACAGGCATCGCCACCCTCAGGATCACCTCCAGCACAGCCATCCTTCTCCCCACCACCTTGCCTGGCACCTGTGGTATTCTCCAATCCAAATCAATCTTGCCATTGCATCTCTGAGGTTTCTCCTGCCCCCCAGAAATGTCATCTACACCTTGTTTTTAGTTGGATACTGTGATTTTCTTTGGTTTGTCTGAGAGTATTTTAAGCGCCCCACATCTTGGAGAAGGTCATACATCTCCCCTCAGAGGCCTCTCCTCTTCCTCGGGGGTGGTGGAAGTGGACACAGGAGTGCTGGGGGCCCAGGCCACCTCTGCCAGTCTCCTTACTGTCTCACCCAGCTGCCCCAGGCCCAACTGGGCCAGCCCTAGCCCGAGGGCTTGGCGCTCCTGCCAGTCTTGTTCCAGGACCGTGGCCAGCCTCTGCAGCTGGCCACCAACGTCCCTCACAGCAGCCACCAGCTCCACCAAGGCAGGCGGCTCACAAGCCCTGACCCTCACAGGGGCTGCTGGGCAGGCACACGGGCCAAGGGGGCCCAGGGTCTGACCAGGGGTTGGCCCTAGAGGGGGGTGGTCATGGGGGAGTTGATCGGAGTGGGGATCGGAGGGCAGAATGGGCTCGGAGGCTGGGCCTGGGGTTAGTGTGGGGTTCTGGCTCCTGGGTGGCCTGAAGTCCTCAGTGGACAGTGGGCCCCTGCTTGAGGTTAGAGGGGCCCTGGAGGGGCTGGCCTCTGAGGCTGGAGAGGGCACTGGGCTCTGCATCTGAGATGTGGGGGTGTGAGGGGTCCCCTCGAAGGTCACCTGGGGACCCAGGCTGGATGTAGCCCTTGGCACTGTAGTGGAAGAGGGTGATTCTGGCCCCAGGGAGGTTGGAAGAGACTTGGTAGTGACCATAGGGGTGGAGGAGGGGTCGGCCGTCCTGGCCGGGCGAGTGGTGGTGGCAGGATGGGGAGTCGCTGTGGGGTGGGGGGTCGTGGCGGGGAGAGGGATTGTGGTGGTGGGAAGGGTTGAAGCAGGGAGCGGGGTTGCCATGGGTTGCAGGGTTGTGGTGTAGTGTGGGCTGGTGGTGGGGTTTGCGGTTGTGGTGGGGTTCGGGGTTATAGTGGGGTATGGGGTGGTGGGGGAGTATGTGGTGGCAGTGGGGTGCGGGCTTGTGGAGGGCTCTGGGGACCCGGAAGTCCCTACGGCTGTCCCCCAGTATGGGGCTGTGTTTGGCCCTGGGGTCCCCTCTGGCGGTACGGAGGGGTCAGACGTCAGCTCCCGGGGCGCAGTGGGCGGAGGGGTCGGTGCCGGGGAGAGGTCGGGCGTGGTCGAGGAGGGCAGGTCCGGGCCGGCCACTGAGGTGCCGGGGAGGACAGAGGCCGGGCCAGAGGTGGGCTGCAGGCCCCGGGGCCCCGGCAAGGCAGAGGGGGCCGGGGGCCGCGTCTGGGGTGCCGCCCGGGCTGCAGTGGGGCGCAGCAGGCGACGCTCGGGCCCGGCCCTCTGTGGGGAACCTGCAGGAGGAGGGAGACACGGTCCGCTTGAGGTCAGCCCGCCCCCCCTGCCTCGCCCACCTCCCCGCCCCCGAGAAGGTAGCCAATAGGAAGTCACAGAGCTCAGCGACGTCATGGGTCACCAGCAGACTTAACCCGGCCCTAAGGCCCCTCCTCCCACCGCCTCCGAGGCTCCGGGCGCCACCTGGCGTCCTCCGCAGCTCACAGGTGAAGGCGCAGGGACGCGCTGGACCCGGAGCTGGAGGAGAGGGTACCAGGGATGCAGGAGGGAGGGGCGCAAGTCAGCCGGCGGGGATGTGGAGGGGTGCGGGAGGACGGTGGGGCCACCTTGGGGTGCAGAAATACCCGAACCAGGGAGTCGAGAGGACCGAATGGCGATCTCAATAATCGAGGTATTTGGGGGGGGGGGGTACTGCAGATTGAATTCAGGGCCTTTGCACAGAGCTATCTCCCCAAATCTTTTTTGTTTTTTATTTTGACACAGTGTTGGTAAGACATTAAATTGCCCGGGCTGGGCGTGAACTAGCGATCCTCCTGCCTCAGCCTGCTGGAGTGCAGGGATGACAGGCTGTACCACCAAGTGTGAGCATTGCTACACATCCTTGGCAGTGCAGGCCCGGTCTGTGAATCGCCTGTTTGTGTCTGTGCTTACTCTGCAAATTTCCTGTCATTTCCTGACTTTCAGGAGTCACTGGCAGAGTCTGGGTGAGGGGCTCTCAGCCTCTCCGTGTTCACACTCTGAGGCGTGAACCCCCGGGGCACCATGGGGGTCAGACTCCGTCCCAGGCCTCCGCCGCTGGTCCCCATGGGCAGCCTCGCTGGTTTCAGTCACCATGAGCTGCCCCGTGGGGCACTGCTGGCCCGGGGTAAGAGTCTCTACCCCACAGCACGCACGCCCAGGCCCTGGCCCCAGCCACCTGCTCACCTGTGTCCCCGTGGGCCCTGGGAGCCAGAGAGGGATGTCCTGGGGGCCTGGAGGTGCCACTGGAAAGCGTGGGTGCTGTGGTGGGCGTCCGTTTGGCTGAGCCCCTGCCCCAAGGCGTGTCCCATGTCCCGGAAGGCTTGTACCCCTCCTGGTCACCTGCAGGGTCACAAGGAAGAGGCCTGAGTCTCACCGGCTCGTGCCCCCCCAGGCATATGGCGCCCTTGCTCTGGCAGCTCCTCCCTGACTGCGATTTAGGGGTCAGTCCAGGTGCTCCTGGCTTCCCAACCCATAAACTGGTCCGACCAGCTCATAAAATAAGTTCATCCCACGTGTGGTGGCGCCTATGGTCCCAGCACTCAGCAGGCTGAGGCAGGAGGATCACCTTGAGTATAGGCCAGCTGGGCTACACTGGGAGTTCAAGACCAGCCTGAACTAACAGCAAGGCCTTGTCTCCAAAACAAAACAAAATAAAAAGAACGAAAAAAGTCATTTATTATTTCAACTACCTGAGACCCCTGACTGTACTCTTCTCTTTTCCCCAGGGAAGAAAATTCCATTTTATCTCTATTAGTGTACAGCCTGCAACAATTCTGTAGTACTATTCTGGTAGTTTTTGGCTGAATACACTTGGGTCGCCTCTATAGAACAACTTCACATAACATCTAAACTTACTTTACCTCCGTGCATATCCACCATTTCACTTAGGGCGACTAGAAAGAGAGGTCGCCCTTCTAGCTTTGTTGATCGACAAGCTTATTTTAACAAGAGCTTCCTGGAGCTATTCATTCACATCCTGTACAGTTCACTGCCTGAAAATATGTACTTCAGTAGTTTTTAGTATAGTCACAAGGTTTTATGACATTTTCCATACCCAGCACAGCAAAGGAAAGAAAAAAAAGAAAAGGGAAATTTTCATCAGCTCAACAGAAGCTTCATGGCTGTTACCCTGCGACCTGGCCCTCAACATTGACCTCAGGGACCCCTCAGGCCCTTCTCCTTCCTGTCCTCAGCCTCCTCATTAAGCGCCGCTTGGCTCCTAGTCAGTGCCTTGGGAGGGCGGCCATGGCCTCGGACAGGAGGGCACGCTCGTTAGGACAATCCTTAAGCCATTAGCGTGCTAGCGATTTAAAAAAGAAAAAAACAGAGAAAAAAAGGGAAAGAAGCCTATTAGCAGTGAATCACTAAAGGTTTCTTTCCAAGGTGCTGGTTTTCAGAAGGGCTCCACTTCCTGTTCAAATGTCAGCCCACTAATTGTGCATTCAGAACCCACTCCAAGAGCCTGCTGTGTGCTAATGGCCTGTCTATGCCCTCAATTTGATTTTCTTTTCTTTTTCTTTTTTCAGTGCTGGAGGCCTTCACACTGAACTACCTCCCCAGCCCTTTTATGTTTTATTTTGAGATAGGGCTTTGCCAAGTCCCTATGTTGTCCTGGCTCTGTCCTAGCCCAGCTGGGTGAGCAAGGAGCTCCCCTGAGATCTGGCTCCCTCATCTATGGAACAAGTCTCATCCTGGCATCTCTGTCCCAGGTCACAGTGCGTGGTAAGCTCTCTGTGGTGAGGACCTGTGACCCCAATGCAGTCTTTCTAACTCCATAGAACCTCCCTCCGTGAGCATGCACCCCGGGATGCATCTGCAGGCCCGTGAGTGGAGACTTGGGTTACTGCTGGTGTTTTGTTGTCATAAATACAGTTCTAAGCTGGGGTTGGTAGTGCAGGCCTGTCATCCCAGCATCCTGCAAGGCTGAGGCAGGAGGATCACAAGTTTGAGGCTCGTCTGGGTGACTTAGTGATTCTGTAACACCCTGTCTCAAAGTAAACCCAGGGCTGGGGACAAGCTCAGAGTGGAGGCCCTGGGTTCAGCCCTAGTACTAAAAATAAAGGAAAGCAGCAGCAGTGAGCTCCTTGTGCTGCACTGCAGGCTGGGAGCCAGAACCTCTCCACATCTAGCAGTGGGGCTGCCAGGGGTGCTCATTCTAAACAGCGTGCTGCTCCCCTGAGCTTCACCCCATCCTTCCTTTTTGAGCTTGGATTCATCCTTTTTTGGTGGTGGTTGGTTTTTTGAGACAGGGTCTTGCTATGCAGCCTGGCCTGGCCTTGAACTTGCAGCAATCCTCCTGCCTCAGCCTCCCAAGTGCTGGAATTATAGACATGTGCCAACACACGTGGCTCATCCATCCTTTGGGATTTGGCTCTGGGGCCTCCCCCTTCCTCCCTGGGGGCGGTCTCCTCTCTCTACCCCCCTGGACTCCTCAAGGCTGATCCTGTCCTTCCCGGTCTCCCTCTGGAGTCCGGAGCTAAGCTCTGCCTCTTGCAGTTCTTCCCTCCCCGTGCCTCAGTTTCCTCCTCTGTACATGGGCGGAGGACAGCACTTCTACAGCTGTGGGAAGGAAGGGAATTAAGCCATTTGACCTGAGCAGAACAGGGCGACAGCAGGCTTTTGCACATGCTGCTTGCTCTGTGAGGAACACTCGAAGAGCGCTCTACAAACCTTCGCTGTAATAACCACAATTGTGATCTGACCTCCAGCTCAGCCTCGCATTTACTCTCGGACCTCACACATCAGTAACCTCAGCGATTCTCCAGGACCACAGTCACCACCTCCTGTCTCCTCTGCCTGCGGCCTGGCCCCAGCTCCTGTGGGAGGAACCTGCCTTCCACAGTCGCTGTCTCCAGAGGTCCCCGCGCCGTGCCTGTGCCTCTGGCCACAGTGCTCTGACGCTGTGGCCCCGCCTCACCTTCCTCTCCTCACCGCCTGCCTAAGCCCCCGCCTAGTGACATGGGCCCGTCAGCTCAGCCCAAAGAACAGGACTCGAGGACGCCACGGTCCTACCCCAGGGCCTTTGCAAGCGCTCTTTCCTCTATGAGGAACTCGCTTCAGCTGGGGACCACTGTGGGCTTCTCCTGCTCCTCCTCTTGACCTTTTCACACCCTCTCTCAAGCGTCAGTGGCACACCCCCCCGCCTCTGCCCTCTCGCAGCTGTATCTCAGTGGTGACAGCCATGCAGTGGGCACTGGCCTGAACTGACATGGCCTCCAGGTGCAGTCCTCTTGGAGGACTCAAGAAATGTTTTGAAGAACAGGAAAGTGAAAACACAACCTCCTTAGGCCTCCAGTGTCTCTCCTGTGCACTCCCCAGGCCTACACTGCTGTCACTCCCCCACTCATTCATTCACTTAACAAACACGTGACAGTCTTTCTGGGTTTTAGGCACTGTCCTACGTGCACAAAATGGCACCTCCAGCTTCGCAGACCTTGCGCCCCCATCTGTGCAACCCTAGGTGGGCATGGTGACCTTGCAGGCATGACCACAGGCCCAGGCCTGGAGATGCAGACAGCAGTCTGGGGTCTCCAAGTGGCCTAAGCTGATCATACACAAGGGATGATCAAAAAATACAGTGAATCAGCCAGGGATTTAACTCAGTGGTTCCATTGCCTGCCTCGAAAGCACAAGGACCCGAGTTTGATCCCTGGTACCAAAAAAAAAAAAAAATACAGTGTATCCCAAATTCTTACAAGTTTTATTACAGCAAAAGACACATTGCCATGAATCTCCTTCACAACACTTCCCCTCACTTCAAACACACTTTTCCCATCTGGCCCCTTTCTGCAGCAGCTGGGTAAGTCCTTTTTCCTGAGTGTCTTCATGAGGTGTGATCAAAAATACAGTGAATGCAGCTGCCAAGTGCCATCCAACTGAAAGGCAGGCTTGTAAAATCATGGCAGTGTGTCCTCATCTACCTCGTAGACCAGATCTGGCACTGTGTGATTCCTGACTCTTCCCCAAAGCCAAAATGACCCCAAAAGGGAAATGTTTGAGTTAATTCAGGACATTGAGGCAGCCAGGACAGTGCAATTAAAGACACTCAAGAAAGAGGACTCCAGAGCTGATTCAGAAAGTGTCGAGGATGGTGGGATGAGTGTGTTTGGAGTGAGGAGAGGATTTTGATGGGAATTCACGGCAACGTACTTTTTTTTTTTGTACTGGGGATTGAACTCAGGTCCTTGCACTTGTAGGGCAGGCAGCAGAACCACTTAGCTAAATCCTCGGCTGTAATGTATCTTTGACTGTAATTTTAAAAATGTAAAACATACACCATATTTTTTTTACCACACCTCATAAACCCTTCCTGTTCTCCTCTGCTGCTTAAGTCTACCACTCCCCCAGAGATTTGTCTTGATTTCTCGACAGTAAATAACCAGCCCATCCCAGACCCTGCAGCTGTTGCTCATCTTCATGAAATAACTCCAACAACCAGCGCGTTGTAGTGTGATAAGTGATTGCACACACATTTTGCGGTGGAACAGGACCTGTAGCCTCCCGGCCAGTTCCAATCCCTGGAGCCCAGATGGGAGCCTATAGAGGACCTGGACCTCAGGACCCACCCAGCCACACCCTCTCCCATCTCAGGAGCAGGTGCGAGTGTGTGAAACGAACCCACACCGTGGCTGCGGAGCATGAGGAACTTCCTTGAGCTCGCTTATCCTCCCCGTGGGAAACACGGTGGTAGCGAGAGGACCCGGATGACACCTGTCTACAGTGGGCGAGCTCTCCTTGGGTCTTCCCAACTCTGGAGCAGAAGTCTTTCCCGGAGGAAAAACAGGTGAAGCCATTTTTTCCTTGCTACTGAAGGTATAAATTCATGCCTGTCATTTCTCCCCTGCCTCTCCCCAGCGTTTAAAATTTTTTTTAGACAGGCAGGGTCTCACTAAACTATTGAAATTGCCCAGGCTGGGCCAGAATTTGCAATTCTCCTGCCTCGGCCTCCCAAGTGCTGGGATTCAGGCAAGCCCCAGCACGCCCGGCTTCGCACCTTCCAAGTCTTCCTGTTACTAAGGCTGTACAGTACATCCGACTGTCTCACCCTTTGCAGCCCTGCATTTGTTTGCAGGGCGGTACCGCGTGAGACCGCTGCCTCCTGGCGGCAGGTGCCCAGCATGCGGCCGTCTCACCGCGAGGGGGAGCCATGAGTTAAGGGAGGCAGCGCTGGATCGCTAAGCGCCAAGGCTCTGGAGCCCTGGCTGCCCTCAACCTGGAGCCTGACTCTCCTCCACCTGAGACACGCTGCCTTCTCCCTCCCTCGCTCAGGTAGCAAGGCTGACTCCAGTTACTCCCTGTGTGGCTCTTCCCATTTTATACCGCGGAATAGCCAAACTGGCCAATTGGAGTGCGCAGTCCCTCAGTGAGGTCAGGAGGCGCAAGGCAGAGAACCACCTATCCCGCCTACTGTTCACGCCCTTCCCAGACCCAGCCCAGATGGGCATGCGTGCTGAGCACCAGAAAAGGGCGGGAAAGGGCACACTCCACCAGATCCTGTGAGGACGAGGAGGGGCGGGCCTCTCAGGGGGGACAGGCAGAGGGGCACAGGACGACAAAGGCCCAAACCAGGGCAAGGAGAAAGTGAAGCAGAGGGAAGAACTGAGGGAGGCAGGGCAGACATAGGGACACCTGTGAGCGAACTAAGGACTGAAGATGCCGCGAGGCACAGAGATGGAGGGACAGATGCACGGGGCAGGGGAGAGAGGAAAATGGCGGGGGCGGAGACAGCACGGGAAGGGGAAAGGTGGACAGGGAAAAAGAAAGACGTGGTGAGGGGACTGGAGTGGGAAGTAGCGATGAGGAGGGTGAGAAAGTGAAAGAAAAATGAGAAAACACGGGAAAGATGAGAGAAACAGTGGGGAATCTGTGAGGACTGCAGGCAAGAAGAGGAAATCGAGAGACAGAAAAAGGAACTGACTGAAAACGGCCGTGAAAAACAGAAGGGATGAAGTGGGAATTGAGAGGAAGAAACAGGAACAAGTGAAGGTAGAGTGACCCCACCAGTGAGGAAGTGAGCAGGAGTGAGACAGGAGCAGAGGTGGGGACACGAGGGAGACTGAGGCAGGCGACAGGGAAAAGCGCAGGCATGACGAGGGAGGTGAGGCAGGTCGAGGCCCTGGCTTAGTGGCGAAGTGGAAGGCAACAGGTGACAGGAAACAGGCCACTGGGCATAGGGCAATGAAGCTGTGGCCATGAGGCCAGTTGTGCTGGGCACTACCAGGATGAGCAGCAGAGACCACACTCTAGGTGTCCCCTCAGATCAGCGCCATTGCCCGAGCTCTGAGAACAGGTGTGGTTCCAACTGCTGTGGGGGAGCTGGAGTGGGCACAATGATGGTGGCCCTGAGCTGAGGGGTCTGGAGGATTCCTACCCGAACCAAGGCTCTAGATCAATGGGCCCAGGCCAGTGTGGTAGAGCCACTTCCCATTGGCCCTGGTGGCTTATGAGGAATGTGGGCTGTTCTGATCTCTCAGAGCAACGTGGTACCTCCTCTGGGCCAGGAGGAGATGGCCACCATTGATCCCAAGGAAGAAAGGCTCTTGGGGTCTCTAAAGCCCAGTACAGCCCGCCTGGGGTCATGGTGGATTGTGCCAGCTTACTTAGAATGGACTTTCTGGAAACTGCAGAGAAAAGACTGGAGGCTGATGGGGCCCTGTGGCCACCCTGTCCAACCCCTCACCTGTGACCGAAAGGAGCCGTGTTGCTGGGGAGGAGATCGCTGGGTGCCTGGTGCTGCTCCATGGAAGCGCACGTCCAGGCCCTGGTGCCATGGTGGCCCCTTTGGCCAGGTCTTCTCCTGAAGTGGGGTCCCAGGTCCAGGGGGGATAATCATCATCATCTGTGTAGCCTCGAGGGAAATGGGTGGTGGTTGACCAGGTCCCCTGCCTCAGAGGCCCTTGCTACTACTTCTTTGCCTTCTAGAGTCCACTGGAGCAGCTCCCTGATGCCCCCGCCCCACCTGACTCCTGGAGATGCACCCCAGTGCAGTGCTCTGGCCCCGCCCACCTCCATCCCACGGCTCCCTCCCCAGCAGTCCCCTGATACCAGTGCAGGTAAACCCCACGTCTTCCTCATGGTCACAGTTGTGCTTCCCCCAGCCCCCTGAGGGGCAGTCGCTCAGCGAGGTCTCACTTCCCTTACAGCCCATGTCATCCAACCAGATGGGCCCGGTCCCAGGGCCGTAGTGGGTTTTGCCCACTCGGGGCCGGACCTTTCCACAACCCAGTTCCCAGCAGACCACAGTGGCATCCCGCAGGTCCCAGCTGTCGTCACAGACCGTCCCCCAGCGTCCGGCATGCCACACTTCTAGCCGGCCAGCACACCTGTTGGGTCCGTCGGCCAGACGAACCCGGAAGGGGCCTGGGGGTGGAAGGCCCTCAGGTCAGGAGACTCAGAAAGCCTCCCCTGTGTGTCCCTCTCACTTTTCCTCCTGCTCACCTGGTTCCCCAGGGATGCTGGCCGTGGGGGAGAAGGCTGGGGTCTCAGCAGATGGCTCCAGGGAAGCCTGACGGATTTTCTCGATGGTGGTCTCAGAGGTCATTTCTTGAGGGCCTTGAGGGGACAGCGTTGTCATGGTCCCTGAGGGCCATGTCCAGGGGGCCTGAGGAGTTGGCTTGGAGGTGGTGTGTGAGGTCCATCTGTGGGGAGCCTCTGTGAGCAGCCTTTTTAATAACTCAGAGGTTTGCTTTGAGGAGGCCTCAGTAGTCAGGGTTGTGGTCTGTGAGGTTAGTTCTGGGGGGCTCTGGGTCCCCAGGCCCCTGGAGTGTTTAGTAGTTGGCATCCTGGGGGGCTGAGCAGTTGGTCTCTTTGCATGTTTGGTCACCCACTTCTTAGTACTCTTGGGGGTTTTCCGTGGAGCCTTAGTGGTTGTTTTCTCGGGAACAATGGAGGTCAGACTTGCAGAGGGCTTGGTGGCCAGTTCTCCTGGGAGCCAAGCATCCCGATCTCTACCCAGCCCAGGGAGCCAGCTCCAGCTGAAGGGGTCTGAGATGGTGTCCAAGCCAGGGGTCCCTGAGAGGTGGGTAGAGAAGAAAAAGAAGAGTGAGACACCATGATGACAAGATCTGTCCAGGTCCCTCCTCTTTAGCCAGCCACCAAATTCCAGTTCATTCATGGAGCACCTCTTCTATACCATGCCTTGTGTTGGAGCCTGTGGAGACCACAGTAAGCCAAAGCCAATGCCATCCCCATCTTGCTGGCACTCACCTTCTAGAAGCTGTCCCTCCCTCTCTACCTCCTCGGCCTTTGCTTTGAATCTAGGGCCCCACACTCTATGCCTTCTGATGCATCTCCCTATCTCCATGTCCATCCTAACTGACCACCAGAGTGGTACCATGTCTGACAGGTCACACCCTGTCCTCAGACCCTTCTGTAGCTCCCCATGGCCCTCAGGAAGAGGGAGAAAGGACAAAGTCTGTAACATCAAGTAGAGTTAAACTCTATCCTTTGAGTCACCACTGTTCATTCTAGATCTTTCTGATCAGCACGTATACAACCAAGGATTCACCAGGCCTGAAAAGTTTGGCCCCTTGCCCCAGCTGCTGGGCCTCGGAATGACTTGCCTGGTAAGAGACTCTGCATGCCTGGGGGGCCTGGGCCATGCTCTGTAGTTCCTGCTAACAATATTTATGGGCAGCCACAGGAGTGGTCAACCACATCTACAAGACCACTCCCCTAAAAACTTGATCTACCAAGGCTCGGGGTGCATCCCTGCTTGGTAAGACATCATGCATATTGTTGCACCTTGTTGCTGGGAGAATTCAGCACAATCTGCATGACTGCTGGGAGGGGACACCTGATGTTCACACCTGCTGGCTCCTGAGCCCTGCCCTGCAGACCTGTCCCTGTGGCTGATTTTTTTTTTTTTTGTACCGGGGATCAAACTCGGGTCCTTGCGCTTGTGCAGCAGGTGGTGAAACCACTGAGCTAAGTCCCCAGCCCTCCCTGTGGCTGATTTTAACCTGAGTCTTCACCAGAATAAACCAGATCCCTGAGTCTAACAGCCTCTCTGGTCCTTCCAGAAAAGCACTGAACCCAAGGGCATCTTGGGGACCGACCCCCCAGACTATAATGTGTCACACAGGCTTTCGAATGTATGCTTGTGCATCTCTTTCCCTCTGGAAGCCATGGACTTCTCAAAGGCCAGGACCACGCCCGTGCCCTTCTCAGGACCCTGCATCCTGCTCAGTGTCTGGCCTCGGAGAACAGGACTCTGTGAATGCATGTGGGAGGGTAGTGCAAACACATGCAGTACTTCATTTGGCTTTGGGTTCTCTCTGTCTCCCAGGGATTCTATGTCCACTTCTTTGTGGGAGACTCCTTTGGTTCCTGGAAGGAGGAAGAGGAATAAGCTTCCCTGGGAATATGGTGGGAAACTTAGCTTTGCCACTTAGTTACTGTGCAACTTGGGACAAATTACTCAACTTTTCTGTGCCTTACTTTCTTCATTAGTAAAATGGGCAAAACATCCATCAATTTATGAAGTTTGAATGTGGTCACATGTGGGAAAATACCCAGCACAGGGCTGGGGCTTAGGCACCAATGTTCCCATGATGTTTGTGCCAGTGTTTGTTTCTGTTCCCTCCTCCAGGGAGCCCTCCTAGAATTAGCAAATGGAGAGTGTCCTTACCAGTACACATGACCCCGACATCCTCATTGTGAGCGCAGTTGTGCTTCCCCCAGGGAGCAGCAGGGCAGTCAGACAGCGAAGCCTCGGTCCCCACACAGCCCACATCATCCAGCCAAATGGGACCCGCACCCCAGCCGAAGCGGCCCACAGCGGGATCTGGCTGCCGAGGCCCCCTGCAGCCCAGCTCCCGGCAGACCACGGCTGAGTCCCGCAGGTCCCAGCTGTCATCACACACTGTCCCCCAGCGCCCGTCATGCCAGACCTCCAGCCGGCCTGAGCACCTGCTGGGCCCGGCCACCAGGCGCAGCTGAGGAGACCCTGAAGTAGAAGAGATGCAAAGAATTAGAGACGGGGTGAACAGAAGCCTTGGAAATTATGAGCCAAAATAAATCTTTCCTCCTTTAAAAAGAAAAGAATTCGAGACAGGGAAGTTGTGCAGCCCTCTAACTCTTCATCCACCTCTCCTTTGATCTTCTTCCTAACCATCCATCCATTTGTCCATCTAGGCTTTCCCTCTTTCTCCATCCTTTCTGCCTGCCAAGCAGCAGGGATTTGTTGAGGTCTTTTCTTGCCCTCTCTGAGCTGGCCACAAGGGATAGAGTCAGGCCTGGGTGGGTGGTTCCTCCGAAAGCCAAACAGAATTACCATATGGCCCAGAAATTCCACTACCAGGGTTATACCCAAAATAAATTGAAAGCAGGCATTCAAATATATATTTGCATCCAAATATTCTCAGCAGCACTATTCACAGTAACTCAAAGATATCCTAAATGTCTCCCCATGTATGAATAGTAAGCAAAAAGCAGTGTTTGTCTTGGCAGTGATTTCATAGATATGGCCCCAAAAGCACAGGCAACAGAAATAAAAATGAGCAAGACTACACCAAACTAAAACACTCCTGCTCATCGAGGGAAACAATCCAGAGTTAAATGGCAGCCACAGAGGGCTGGGGATTTAGCTCAGCAGTTTTGCCACCTGCTGCACAAGCACCAGAACCCAAGTTCGATCCCCGGTACCAAAAAATAAAATAAAATTAAAATAAAAGGCAGCCACAGAATGGAAGAAAATATTTACACACCATAAATCTCTTAAGGAGTTAATCTCTAAAATCTGTAAGGAATTTCTACAACTCAATAGTTTTTTTTAAGTAACTTTATTTAAACTGGGCTAAGGACTTGAACAGATATTTCACCAAAGACAATATATAAAGCACCAACAGGTATATGAAAAACTGTCACCACCATCAGGGAATTGAAAATCAGAAGCATGATCAGACATTACCTCACACCTGCTAGGGTGGTCACAAGAGACAAGTGTCACTGAGATGTGGAGAAATTAGAACCTTTGTACACTTCGGTGGGAATGCAAAATGGTGGAGCTGCTATGAAAAACAGTATGAAGGCACCTTCAAAAATTAAAAATAGAACCACCATATGATCCAGCTACCTCCCTTCTGGATATATATCCCAAAGAGCATTAGGATCTCAAAAAGACATCAGCACCTATGTATAGCACTACTCATAACAGCTAAAAAGTGGAAACAACTAAACGTCTATCAGCTAAGGAATGGATAAAGAAAGTATGGTACATATATACAACAGAAAACAATTCAGCCTTGTTTTTGAGACAGGGTCTCTCCCTGTGTAGCCCAGTCTGGCCTTAAACTCACGGTAATCCTCCTGCCTCAGCCTCCAGAATGCTGGGACTAGAGGTGTGTGCCACCATGCCCAGCTATAATTCAGTGTTTAAAAGGAAGGAAATTCTGTCATTTGTGAGAATATGGATGAATCTTAAGGACATTATGCTAAGAGAAATAAACTAGTCACAGAAAGACAAGTACAGTACTATGTAATTCCATTTATATGAGGTCCAAAGGCATGACTAACAGGGCTTTCCCCGAAGGGCTGGGCAAGGCTGGGCACATGGGACTTGCTTGCACCATGGCCACCATGGCTGGAGGCCTCTTTTCCTTTGTTTGAGTAATAATAGCCAACATTTCCTGAGCGCCCGCTGGTTCCTGCGGCCTGCTGCATTATAACCCTTTGGATTTTCTCACTGGATGATTCATACCTGGGCCTGCTGACTCTGAAGCAACTGCCATCCCCTGAAGGAGTGCCAACCCCCGAAGGAGTGCGCCTTTCTGAGCACACCAACCAACCCAGAGCCCATGCCCAGCCACCTCCTCACTGGGCTGTCACACCCAGGACCACTGTGCACCTGCCTGCGTCACTCTGGGGCCAGGTTCCAGACACCCAGGGACAATCTGGCACCACAGAGCCCTACCAGTATGCCCCTTCTCCCAGGAACTGCGAGTACCAAACTCTTCAGTCGCCATTGTCTCGTGCTCTGACCTCGCCATGCCTGAGGGATGGCAAACCTACATTTGAAAACAACAGCTGTCATTGATCTGGTCCTTTCAAGATCTGTGTGAAAGAGGCCACTTACCCTCATTTGCTAAAGGAGCAGACCCAGTATGGTAGTACATGCCTGTACTCCCAGCATTCAGGAGGCTGAGGCAGGAGGATCTCTGGGAGTTCAAGGCCAGCCTGGGCTACAAAGTGAGTTCAAGGCCAGCCTAAACTACATAGCAAGACCCTGTCTCAGAACAAACAAACAAACAAAAACAAAAAAGAAGAAAGAAAGAAAACCAGAAAGCCTCCCTGGCAAAAAGGCTAAGAGAATTCATGAGCAGAGCCGGTATTTGGAGCTGACCCAAGGACCTTGTGACGGCCTTATGGCTACACCACAGGGCGCAGGAAGCCAGAATCTTCCTACAGTGGACTCAGCCCACCATCCTTCTCTCCAGGCCCAGTTATAGAACATGGCCCTTGTTCAAACAAGGTTATGGATTTTACGAAGGAGTCAGACAGCAAGACAACAAACGGGTCCTTCTGAGATGGGAGCCCAGCACCTCTTCATGTCTCCCTTTGCAAGACTCACAGTTGGGCCAGGAAGGGACTCACCTGCATCTGGCCCAGGCTCCTGAGGGGCAGTCGGAGAGGCTGCAGGAGGCAAGCTGCCTGGCATCCTGGGAGCCTGGCTCACTGTGCTGGACAGGGGTCCCAGTGTCCACGCCCCGGGCGCGGACGTCCCGGGCCCTGAGCTGTTGCTGTCCACCACAGGGCGGGTGGGGGTTGCGTAGCCGAGAGGCATGCCTGGGCGGGGAGAAGGGATTATAGCCCCACTCCTTCTGCCCAGCCTCCTCTGCTGCCACTCCCCGACCCGGAAGAGGAAGCTGGAGTGCGAGTGATGGATAGGGAAACCAGAGGTCAAAGAGAAGAGGGGAGGGGACCCCATGGAGGGCCAAGGAGGGCTGTGACAGGGCTGAGGCCAGGCTGAGCCCGCCTACACCTGGGCCGACCCTTCTGCCCGGGCTGGGGGTGGCATCCTGTGCATCGTCACTTGGGGAGCAGTGTCGCTGGGCTCTACCTGGGGGGCCAGCTGCTCCTCACCCCCAGACGTGACCATGGAAATGTTTCCAGACCCTGCCCAGTGCCCCCTAAGGGGCAAAACTGCCCCACTCGAGAATAGCTGGTGTGGCTGAGGCTCCAGAGAAGAGGGAAAGATGGAGGAGCCAGGAAGCCTGAGCAGCGAGGGAGGAGCAGGACAGCTCTGCGCCCAGTTCCGTCCTGCACTCCAGAGCCACCACTCCACCGCCCCGCCCCGACTTCCACCGGGCCTCACCGTCACACACAGCCCCAGCGTCCTCCCGGTGGTGACAGTCGTGCTGGCCCCAGGGCCGCGCGGGGCAGAACCGCAAGGCCGTCTCGTTTCCCCGACACCGAAGATCATCCAGGACGATGGGGCCGGACCCCTCCCCAAAGAAGGCGGCCCCCGGAGCGGCCAGCGCCCCTCCGCAGCCCAGCTCCCGGCAGGCCACCGCGGCGTCCTGCAGGTCCCAGGCGTCGTCACACACGGACCCCCAGCGCCCGCCGTGCCAGACCTCCAGGCGGCCGGCACAGCCATGGGGGCCATCGGCCAGGCGCAGCCTCGGGGCAGGCCCTTCGGAGAGAAGGCCAGGAAACCAGGATGCTGAGCGCAGACTGCAGGGAAAGGCTGGCAGCCAAGGGCCGAGGCCCCAGGGACAGCTGGGCACCATGTGCCGGAGGGTGCGGCCGAGCAAGGCCCCATCAGTGCCCCTGGCCTGCCTCAGCCTCCCTCCAGGCCCCTACCCTGGCTCCCTCCTTTCCGCCTCAGCTGCCTTGGTGGCCACAGGCATGGGGCCAGGGGCCAGTCAGGGCTGCCCAGCGGAGCCCCGCAGGCACAGGCTCCTCGGCCCCCCGTGGGGAGGCACAGCTGCCACAGGCCTGTGCCATCCCGAGAGAACGCGTAGCCCCAAGTGTGCGGAGGAGTGGGGTGCTGGAGGCCCACCGGCCCCGCCCGCCTCCCGGGGACAGGAGGAAGGTGCCTGGCGCCCCGCCCCGCCTACCCGTGCACACCAGCCCGGCGTCCTCCCTGTGGTCACAGTTGCTCCGGCCCCAGGGGCTTCGGGGACAGTCCCGGAGGGCCTGCTCTGCTCCTGCACAGCCCACGTCGTCCATCCACACGGGCCCCGAGCCAGGCCCGAATCTGGCGCCCCCGGGGGCGGCCAGCGCCCCTCCGCAGCCCAGCTCCCGGCAGGCCACCGCGGCGTCCTGCAGGTCCCATCCGTCGTCACACACGGACCCCCAGCGCCCGCCGTGCCAGACCTCCAGGCGGCCGGCACAGCTGTGGGGGCCCGAGACCAGGCGCAGCCGGTCTAGGGGAAGGAGGGGCGGGAAGACGCAGGGCTCAGGTGGGGAGCAGCCCCTCCTCCGTTCAGCAGGGCTCAGCTTTCTGCCGCCTCCACCTCTGGGGGCAGAGGTCTAGGGGTGCTTACCTTGGCGGGGGGCCCCGGTGGTCAGCAAAGGGGCTCTGGTGGACTTGGCCTGCTTGGGTGGCCGGGGGCTTTTCTTCCGGGGGCCGTTCTGGGGGCTTCCAGCTGGGCGGGGGGCTGGGGAAGGAGACGGCCACAGGCTCAGGGGCCGCGCCATTTGTCCTGCCTGTCCTCTGTCCACAGGGCCAGGAAGGCAACGCGGCACCGATGTGCTGCGGGGGGCGGGGGGGGTGCGGCCCTCCTGAGGCTGCGGTGGGCAGGGTGGGCAGCCCTGTCCGGGGGCTCACCGTGAGTCACAGGGGGCTCCTCGGAGCCAGGCCTGGGCTCCCCATCCAGCGGGGAGGTTGAGTCATGCTGAGAGTCTGCCGCACGCTGGCCTGTAGGGGTGACCGCAGTGGGGTCGCTGTTTGTCCCTGACAGGCAGAGGGCCGGGCTCAGGGGCCATGAGTGCAAGCTGGGGGTCTGGAGGGCAGGGGCTGGGCCTAGGGTGGTTCCCTTAGCGCAGACTTGGGCAGAAGCCGCCCGCTCCCGGCTGGGGGACGTGGCCTCACCTGTGCAGACCACGCCCGCGTCCTCCTCGTGCGAGCAGATGTGGGCCTTCCAGCCCCGGTGGGGACAGAGGCCCAGCCGCTCCTCGAGGCCCTGGCAGGCCAGCTCACTGAGCCACACGGGCCCTGTGCCCTCCCCAAAGAAGGCGCCCCCGGGGGCGGCCAGCGCCCCTCCGCAGCCCAGCTCCCGGCAGGCCACCGCGGCATCCTGCAGGTCCCATCCGTCGTCACACACGGTGCCCCAGCGGCTGCCATACCAGACCTCCAGGCGGCCGGCACAGCCGTGGGGGCCATCGGCCAGGCGCAGCCGGTCTGGGGGGTGGAGGAGAGCTGTGGTCTCTGCTGCGGCACCGGCCAGGCCAGGGACCAGGTGACAGGAGGGTCTGGGCCGCCCAGCAGAGTGCTGGACCAGACCCCGGGGTGCTCAGCAGGGAGTGAGTGTTCCCCAGGCCAGGCCCCAAGGGGCTGGGCGCAGTCACAAGGTCCCAGGGGAGCAGGGCCCCGGCGGGGTGGGCAGGCGGGAGGACAAGGACACTTACCAACGGCCTGGATCCCCACCAGTGCTGCTGCAAAGAAGGGCAGCAGACAGTGTGAGGGTCGCCCAGACGCCTGCACCTCGGAGTGGACCCGCTGGGAACCCCAGGGCAGGTGGGGCCCAGGTTGGGCTGGGCAGGCAGGGGCAGGTCCCCTGAGAGTTAAAGAGGCGGGGACAGGGCATGCAGAAGGCTGGGTCTGGGACGGGCGGGTGGCCAGATGTCAGTGTGGCCCAGAGACCTGCACCAGCTCCAGAAGTCGGGCGCCGGGGTCAGAATGGTCACTCACCGAGGAGACAGGCCAAGACCCTCATGGGCGCAGAGTCCGGCAGGGCTGGGGTGAAGGGCAAGGGATTGGGGCCAGTGGCCAGGAGGGAAGCAGCGCCCAGCACGGCCCCGGTCCCGAGCAGCAGGCAGGGCCAGGCTTGGCCAGGAGGGAGAGAGGCTGCCGAGGCACAGGGCACAGGAGGGGAGGGGCCGGCGGCAAGAGTGGGAGGAGGGACCCACTGGGAGGGGCGTCGGCCAGCAGTCTGCAGCCAGCATCCAGAGCCGGAGACGATGGGGCAGCAGCCCGGGGAGGGCCAGCCCCCCCCCATCTGGCCTGGGAAGCACAGCTGGGAGCAGCAGCAAAGGGACTTTGGATCCGGAAAAACACCCAGCAGCCCTGCGGGTCTGCTCCTGAAGCCCCGCTCCCCAGCTGGAGTCCCCAGAGTGGGGCCACCAAGGCTCCGGCTCAGGGAGCCCCCACCCAGCACGCTAGGGCGCGCACTCCACACCAGCCAGCTGTGAGGGAAAAATTCGGTAATGGGGAGCGTGACTCAGAAGGCCTGGCAGAGACCGGGCGGGCGGCCGTGAGCTCACGAGCTCCCCACCCCACCACTCAGCAATTAGCGGCCAGGCAGGCGGGCAGAGGGTTGAGACGCACTGGGAAAGGCATCAGACGGAGACAGCACGCAGCAGTTCCAGGCTTTATTAACAAGTGGGTGTAAAAATCCAGACGGGGCTGGGGCCCTGCAGCCCCCGCCTGGCTCCGTGGGAGGTCTCGCCCCTGCTCACTCGGCCTCCCCTCACCCCAGTGTCTCCCCGTGGGACACAGCACAGGCTTCACAGTCACACGGACCGGGGGACTCCCTGCAGACAGCCTCGAGGCGGGGCTTGGGTGGGCGACCTGGGCCCCGAGAAGGATTCCTTGCCCTGAGTTCAAACGCTGCACACAGCGCACCGGAAGGCCGGCCGGCAGCAGGATGGGCAGGCGTGTGGGGGCCCAGTGGGCCCAGGCCTGTGTCTGCACCCTGGGCGGGCTGCAGCAGTGCAATGCGGGCACTCGGTGGGCGCTCGCTCACTGGCCCCTCGCTCTCTGCTCTCTCGGGCGCTGCCTTCTCTCCTGCCCCAGCTGGGTCTGCAGTCACAGGTCCTTGCTGAACTCCCTCACCAGCGTGTAGCCCATGCAGCCCCAGCCGCCCTCAGCCTGGTAGCCGCAGCCCTCCAGCAGCCCTACTGCCCCCCCAAGCAGCACAGCCACTGGGACCACAAGCCGGGCCCGGGGACCCCCCACGCCACCCGCCCAGGCTCGGGCCCGGTCCTCCGCGAAGGCCAGCAGCCTGCGGCCCACGCCCTGGCGGCGGTGCCAGCGAGAGACGGAGAGTCGCGTGACCCGGGCTCCATCCCCTGGGGTGGGGCCAGGAGCCAAGGCCAGGACTCCACACACGTCACCAGAGCCCCGCACGGCCACCCAGGGGCCCCCCAGGCTGTTGGGGGGAGGCAGAGAGCCCCACCGGGCTCGCAGGCCCAGCTTCACAGCGGCCACGGCCAGGAACACGGGCAGCAGGAGGGCCAGGGCGAAGGAGGCCAGGACGAATCGCAAGGCACTGCTGGCCGCTGCCAGGAGCAGCAGGGCCGGGGGCCGTGTGAGCGCGTGGAGGGCCACGCGGTTTTCAGTGTCCTTCACGCCAGCCTGTGGGCAGGGGGAGTGGGATCAGGCATCCAGCACGTCAGGGCCCCGGGAGAGGAGCAGAAATGGCAAGGGGGGAGGCAGCGTGGGGCACCAGGGGTGGGTGGCTGAGTGGGCAGGGAGTGAATGAGCTGTGGGAGTCCGACTCAGTCGAGATGCACAGTCGGGAGCTAGAGGAGCGACCCCTGGAGGATGGGTCGGGCTCAGGGGGGCCTGGATGCAGGGCAGCTACTGGGCTGTCTGTGGCGTGGACTGGGAGCTATGGTCCTGGGGCCACCCCCGTCCACCTGCTAAGGAGGAGACGCTGACAGGAGCCCAGGAGCCCAGGAGGTGAAGACCCCGAGGTCCGCTCTAGGGGCCGGGGCTGAGCCCGCTTGCAGCGTCCCACCGCGGCCCGCCTCACCTTCAGCATCTCCAGCACCAGGGTCTTCTCGTCTTCCCGCATCTCCCGCACGGACAGGTGGCTGGGGGCCATGACAGACCCGAGGCTGCCGGCCCCAGAAGGGAGCCGGCGTGCACCTGGGGAAAACACGTAGGTCGGCACCTCCGTCCCCTTGCCCCCCATGGTTTTCTCCAGTCGCGCCAGCTTGGACAATGGCGAGATGGGCCCCCCATATCCAGCGACCTTCCCAGTCTCCCCATCCTCTCTTCCCTGCACCCAGGGCGATCTCCCCGAAATGTGCTGCGCGCGGACTTGACACCTCGCAGCACGGCCCCGCCCCAGCGCCGGGGCGTCCGAGACTCACGACCCGGTCCCACACGCTCCCCTCCCGGCCGCAGCGCCCCGCGCTGCAGAGGGAGAGCCCGCGAGCACCTCCAAGGGTCGCTCCGATCCTTTGACAAGGTATAGGGAACGCAGGGTCGGGGCGGGGGGGGGGCCCTGGTCGCTGGCGGAAGTGACGTACACGCTAGCGCGGAGGCGGGGCGGCGCCAGCTCTCCACCTTAGCAACTGTTGCCAAGCTTCCTCTGAGCCAAGCTGGCCAGGAGGGACCCACGCACGGCGCAGGCCCCCGCGCCGGGGCAACCTCTCCGGTCCCTGGAGCGGATGCACCGGGGAAAGGGCACCTGCGGGAGATGCCGGCGGGAGGAGAGGGTCGAGAGCGATACTTACCCGGCCCACGAAGGGGCTGCGCAGGTCCCCTCCCGACAGCGTCTAATTGCTAAGCGACTTGAGCACGGGGAAGTGGCGAAGCGGTGGGCTGAGTCTCCTTGGCGCCTGGACCTTTGCAGAGGGCTCGGAAGCCAGCCTCCGCGTCCATCCCCAGGGCCTCCACCCGACCCCCTTCCCTCAGGCGGGGAGTCCTTCGAGATAAGAATCTCCCCCTACTGGAGTTTCAGATTAGGGGAGGGCGTGGTGATTTAAGGCGAATAAGTGCGGATTCGGATTCCAGGGCCTTCCTGCTATAGTGACCACGATGTCACTCCCCCAAAGGACAGGGCAACTGACCCCCCCATGGAAGCGGGTGGCCCCAAGCCTCCACGCAAGGCATTTACAAGCCAGGAAGCAAGAACAGACTCCAACCTCCCGAGCGGGGGGCCATCCCATCACTGTGCCCGCTCCCCAAGAAAACAAAACAAGAGAACATTCTGGGTCTTTATTAGCAGGCTCCTTTCTGCTGGGCAGCCCCAGCCCGGCAAAGGCCATGAGTCGGAGCCTCCGTGTAGGGCGGGTCTCCTCAAAACGTGTGCACCAGCTGGACAGCGGGCAGCGTCTGCACGATCTGGATGGAGGGCAGGGCCTGCGGGCTCACAAGCCCAGGCGCGGTCCCTGCGGGGACCACCTGCACCATCTGGGGGGCAGTAGCCGCGGGTACCGCTGCCGCAGGGGCAGAGACTGGGCCAGGGGGCGGAGGGGCCAGGAGCTGCAGCGTGGCGGTGCCTCCCCCCACGCTGCGGTTTTCCAGCAGCTCGGCGGCAGGGGCGCTGCGGATGATGAGCAGTTTCTGTCCAGGAGGAGCTGAGGCAGGTGGCTCAGTCAGCCCAGTAGGAAGGGTTTCTACCTCCTGCACACACAGCCGTGTCTGCTCCCCATCCGCTCCGCTCAGCACCAGCACGCTCTGCAGCCCCTCGTCTGTCTGCAGCGTCTCAAAGACAACATCCTGCACCACACCCGCGCTGGCCTCGCCATCCCCGGCCTCTCCAGGACCTGGGGCCGCAAGCAGCTCCTCAGCTGCCTCGCTCTGGACCACCAGCAGGTTGGGGGCCTCGGTGGTCACTGCTCCTCCACTGGAATTGGACAGCTGGCCTGCCAAAGGCTGCAGCTGGACCGTGGTCACTTCCTGGGCCGGCTGGAGCTGGACCGTGGTCACTTCCTGGGCCGGCTGGAGCTGGACTGTGGTCACTTCCTGGGCCGGCTGGAGCTGGACCCCACTCACTTCCTGAGGCCCTGCATCCCCACTCCCTACATTCTGCAAGACAATGAGGCTCTGCCCTCCCCCACTGCCCCCTGCACCACCACCCCCCTGCACCCCCAGGCCGCCAGGCCCCGGTAGCCAAACCACTCCTGCACCCTGGCCAGCTTTTCCCAGAGCCCGAGGCCCCTGCCTCGCTGGTCCACCCCCAGCACCGGAGGGGGGCAGCAGGATAAGCTTAGGGGGAGCAGGTGGGGGCGGCGGGGTGGGGGGCTGGACACTGCTGGGGATCAGCTGGAGGCCCTGGGCGGTCTGCACCAGGAGAAATGTCTGGGAGTTGGGTGCTGCTGGGCCTGGGGGCGGGGCCTGGGCCGTGCCCCCCGCCACCTCGAGGGAAAGTGTGGCCTGGAGGTGGGGGAGCACGTGGACATCCTGGGTGGCCAGCGGGGCTGGGGCTGCGGCCAGCGGGGCCGGGGGCTGGGGGGCTGCAGCACCAGAGGCCGCCTGGGCCGGGGTGTGCGTCCTCATGTGCCGCTGCAGGTAGGCAGCCATGACGAAGCCGCGGCCGCAGATGGCACAGGTGAAGGGGCGCTCGGCTGAGTGCGTGCGCTGGTGCAGCAGCAGGTTGGACGAGTGCGTGAAGGTCTTGGGGCAGAGCGCACAGCGGAAGGGGCGCTCGCCCGTGTGCACGCGCTGGTGCTGCCGCAGGTTGGAGGTCTGTGCGAAGCTCTTGCCGCACACGCTGCATGCGTGAGGCCTCTCGCCCGTGTGGACATGCCGGTGGCGCCGCAGGCACGAGGTGTTGCGGAAGGCCTTGCCACATTCGCCGCAGGCGTAGGGCCGCTCGCCCGAGTGCAGACGCAGGTGGTACTGGTAGTGCGAGGACCACTTGAAGGTGAGGCCACACTGGCCGCAGGTGAAGGCGCGCAGGCCGGTGTGCACGCGCTGATGGATGGCCAGCAGCGACGAGCGCTTGAAGGCCTTGCCACACTCGCCACACTGGTAGGGCCGCTCGCCCGTGTGGTCCCGCAGGTGGTAGCGCAGCCCCGAGGAGCCCTTGAAGGCCTTGCCACACTCCGTGCACTTGTAGGGCCGCTCTGTGGAGGCCGGGGCAGGCAGCGGCGGAGCAGGCACGGCAGGGACCAGTGGCTCCTGGGGGCACGTGACCTCAGCGGCCTCAGCCTGCGGGGGCGGGCGCCCGGCCGCCGCCTCCTCCACATGGCTCTGCTGGTGCACCAGGAGGCTGGCCAGCTGCGGGAAGGCGCCGTCGCAGCTGCCGCAGCGGAAGGCCTGCCCACCGGCCGCCCTGTGGCTGTGCTGGTGGCGGGAGAGGCCGGCCACTGTGCGGAAGGACTTCCCGCAGGGCGGGCAGGCGAAGCCTGGGGCAGCGACCACGGCGGCCGGAGGGGGCTGCGGCAGGGGCAGAGGCAGCGGGGACAGCACCGCTGGGGGGTCGGGGGCGGCCGGCCCAGGGCAGGGCTGGTGCTCCAGGAGCAGCTCCTCGCTGCCGAAGCCCTGGTCGCAGCCATCGCAGCGCAGCACCAGCTCCACCGTGGTCTCCGCCGCCGCCAGGAAGAGCTCGGGCACCACCGGGGGCGGGCTGCGGGGCTGCTGCACGAAGGTCTCGGCCACCAGGCCCGGGCCCACCCCGCAGGGCTCGTGGGGCGTGGGCGTGGGCACGGTGCGGCCAGGAGAGTCAGAGGGCCCGTGCGTGCGCTGGTGCAGCAGCAGGTTGGACGAGTGCGTGAAGGTCTTGGGGCAGAGTGCGCAGCGGAAGGGGCGCTCGCCCGTGTGCACGCGCTGGTGCTGCCGCAGGTTGGTGCTCTGCGTGAAGCTCTTGCCGCACACGCCGCACGTGTAGGGCCGCTCGCCCGTGTGGACATGCCGGTGGCGCCGCAGGCTGGACGAGTTCTTGAAGGCCTTGGGGCAGTCCGGGCACGGGTAGGGCCGCTCGCCCGTGTGCTGCCGCAGGTGGTACTGGTAGTGCGATGACCACTTGAAGGCCAGGCCACACTGGCCGCAGGTGAAGGCGCGCAGGCCGGTGTGCACACTGCGGTGGATCTGCAGCAGCGATGAGCGCTTGAAGGCCTTGGGGCAGTCGGGGCACTGGTAGGGCCGCTCGCCCGTGTGGCCTCGCTGATGGTAGAGCAGTGCAGAGGAGCCCTTGAAGGCCTTGGGGCAGTCGGGGCACTTGTAGGGCCGCTCGCCAGTGTGCGTGCGCTGGTGATGCAGGAGCCTGGACGACCACCGGAAAGACTTGCCGCACTCCCCGCACTCATACTGGGCCGTGGTCGCGGGGGCCGCCGGCGCCAGCTTCTCCCCTGGCCCCTCGGTGGTGGAGGCAGGCACCATGTCTGCTTGGGAGCCGACCATCACACCTGGGGGCGGGGGTTCCAGGTCAGGCCACAGAGCCTGGGCCCTGGAGGGAGAGGGCCACCCCCTGGGTCCCCTTTGCTCAGGGAACCTGCTCAGGAGCGGGGCTTCCCAACCCCAGGTGTCCCCTGGGCCTGCAGGGCAGAGGGGTGTGGCCTGGGGTCACTTCCGGGTTTGAACAAAACTTGCCGCACACAGTCCAGCCGCCCCTCCAGAGGCCCCAGCGGTTCTGAGGAGGCTCGGCCTGGCCTTTCAGGCTGAGCTGCCTCCCTCTAAATGCACCCACCGCAGCTTCCTGTCCTCAGCACCTCCTCCCCTGCTGGGCGTGGCTGTGCACACTTATGATCCCGGCAATCAGGAGACTGAAGCAGGAGGATCTTGAGTTCAAGGCCAGCCTGGACTATTAGGGAGTTCAAGGGCAGCCTGGACTACACAGTGACACCCTGTCTCAAAAAACCAGAACACGTTTTGAATAAATATTTTTTAAAAGACCTTATTCCCAACTCCACCTCAACACTTGCTCACCACCACACCCTGAAGCAGTGGTCGTGGACCCATGGCACCCTGGCCACCGAGCACGCCAGTCACTGAGTAAAAGCTGTCAGAAGAGTGTTCTAACATTCCGGCCACGCCAGGGGCTCTCAACTGGCACAACTGCCCCCCACCCCAGGACAGCTGGTGACAGCTGGAAGCACTGCTTCTCTGCCAGCTAGAGAAGCAGGGCCACTGGTACCAGTGGGCAGAGGCCGGGATTCTTCCCACCATCGGTTCGGTGCATAGGACAGTCCCTCGGGGAGGACCTGGTCCAAACGGCTGAGAAACCTCACCACCTGCCCGGCCTGCCCGGGCCCAGGCCTCTGGCCTCCCCGCACATCCTGAACCTCCCAGGAGCTCTCCCGACAGGTTCCTCACCACACCCTCCCGCTAGGCCCCCATCTTCTCCAAGAAGGTGCTGGGTGTGGCCCATGCCAGTGATCCTAGCTACACTGGAGGCTGAGGCAGGAGGGAAAGTGTGAGCCCAGCTGGGGCAACTTGATAAGACCTTGTCTGAGAATAAAAAGTGCTGAGGATGTAGCTCGGTAATACAAAGCTTCCCACAATGCACCAGTCCCTGAGTGCAGTCCCCAGCACCAAAAACCAATCAACCAACCAAACAAACCAACCTACACTCCAGTCCCCAGGCAGCCACGGCTTTCCTTCTCTCTGCCTCTCTGGAGCAGAGCGGCTCTCAAGTGTCAACCTGCTCTTCCCACCCCAAACCACTCTGCCACTCTGCTGCCACTGCCCAGCATCCATAAGGGCGCCCACTTCAAACATAATGTGGCCAAACTCTAGGAGCAGTTTTCTGATCCTGTGCCTTCCTATCAAAAATTTAAAAACCTACTCAACCAGTCTTCTATGAAAACAGGGGGGCCATTCTTCCTCTGGCCAAGGGCCCTGCCTGCCTCGCCGCCTCCGCTCTCTGTATAATCAACCGTCAGGAGATCCCGGGGCTCCACAGGACTGCAGCCAGAAGCTGGGGCCTCGGTCATGCCTCCCCTGGGCAGCGGTGGTGTCTTCCTAACAGGTCGCCACGTCTCCACCCTGTCTGTTCCCTAAGGGACCCGTCAGGAGAGGACAGGGCATCACATTCCTCACTCCCAGGCCTCCTGAAGACCCCTCAAGGCTCAGCCTCTGCTTCCCAGAGCCCAATCATCCCTTCCTGCCTCCAAGCCCAGCAAGACAGGCTGTGCCACTCCCTCCACGTCCACGACCCCCCCCCCCAGTCTTCCCTGAGAGCTGCATGGCCTTCGACTGCCTGCAGGGCCTCGAGCCCTTCCAACACTGCCTCCTCTCCCCCGACTTCACTTGCTCTCCATCGCGCTCATCACCATCCAAGTGCTACACAGCGAGGCATCTTGGCCTTGGGAGCGGACTCCTCTGTCCAAGGGTCCCCTGCTTTCCTGGTGTTGAGCGGCGACCCTGAACTCGACCCACACCCTCGCAGGTGTGGCAGCAGCCACAATGACCCTCGCCTAGGAAGCCTCCTACTCGCTCCTGCAGTGTCATCCCGGAGAACAGCACCGCCCCCAGGTGACAACCGCTACCACACAATGATTGCCTCTGCCTCCCCGGGCTAGAAGGCCAGCCCCACGCAAAGGCCTTGGTTTTGTTCCCTGTAGTGTCTCGGCCCCTACATAACGTCGGGCGTGGCGTGTGCGCTGGAAACGCTTCTGGAGGAAGGCAAGCTGCAGGTCTCGTCTGGACAGGGGTCTTTCCTTTAAAAGATGGGCGTCCCTTTCGGGTGCGAGCAGCTCCTTGAAAGACATTGATTATCCCAAGGGGCTGGTCTGCCTCTGAGAAGGGGTCATCGCCGTATACTCGGGACGCCCGCGCTCCGGAGTGGCGAGCCCATCCCCGCCTTGGAGCGGGCCGGCTGCCCCTCTAGGGGATGCGTCGGCCTCACACCATCTCCACCTCTGCAGCACAAAGATCCTGCAGTTTTCCCTTGGATGTCTGGGAAACTGGCACTGGCCTTCAATGGAATAACCCTCTTTTGGGGGGCAAGGCGCAAAGCTTTGTAAAATGGGAAGCCTGCCACGCCCTCGAAACGCAGTCCCTTGCCCTTTAAGAGGGTGGGGCCGATGCAGGCACAGAAATCGGAGGCGAATCAGCGGCCTCCCCTTTAAGGCGCCCCTTCCGGTTTCTCGCTTGCCGTTTCCCAAACTACTCCGCCCTCCGGCCCCTCCCCCCTCGCGCCCTCCGGTTTCTCACCTGCGGCCCCGGTTGGGGGGACCCGGGGGAGTCTCCGGGTATCGCCGCGGGGACCGATGGGAAGGCGGGCCGGCACGGCACCGCAGCAGCGGAGGCCGGGGAGGGGCGGGGGCGCGCACCCTCCCGGCGGCCCCGGCGCGAGGCACCCAACCTTTATCGGCGGCCGCTCGCGCACACAACCCCGACGCCGACGCCGCGTCATGACGCACGCACGCACGTGTGCCGCGCAGCCGGGCCCCGCCCCCGGCCCGCGGCCTGGAGGGTCGGGGGGCGTCTTGGGTTCCGCGTGGGCACTGCGGACGGCCCCAATCTCCTCGCCGACCGAGCACCCCCTTCCCGCAGCGCTTCCGAGCGAGCCCCGCCTAGCCGAGGTGACGGGTCTCGCTATGCAGTTCAGGCTGGCCTCCAACTCCCGGCGACCCTCCTGCCTTAGCCTCCCGAGCGCTGGGATTATAAGTCACTCAAATTGCAATCTTCAGCAATTTGGGGTTTTTTCTTTTTTTTGGTACCAGGGCTTGAACTCGGGTCCTTTCGCTTGCGCAGCAGGCGACGAAACCATTGAGCTAAATCCCCGGCCCCTGAAAATTGCAATCTTAACATTGTACTTTTAAGACAACTGCAGCTTCAACGCACAGTTACCCAGGACCCCAGTGCTTTTTTTCCCTTCCAGGCAACTCCAAAATTCCTAAGAGTCTCAAAAGATACAGCGAGCCTAAGTGGGCCCTGCCTTTCTCCTGTAAATTGGGCCTGAGCCGGTGCTTATCTTCCAGCACTGTAGATTGACCAGTTCCATCCGCAGGAAACGGTAGTTGCAATCGATTGAGTACCGTGTCTCTCAACTCCGAACTCCGGTGAATGTCTCGCATTCTAACCTAGCGGGCTACAGTCACCCGCGCAGACAGACCGAGTACTCACCCTAGGTGCTCCGCGTCGGGTCACCCCCGAACCATACCTATCCGAGTGCCTGTCCCGAGTGTGTGCTCCTTTGGTTCCACTTAAAGCTCCCTGTGCCCACCACTGCCTGCCACTGCCGTGTCCTGAAATGCGTTTCAGTGGGGAACGCGAGTGAGCCAGCTCCGTGTTTGGGGGAGGCCCGGGCTCCGGTCCTTTTCTCTGGGGACTTCCCATCTAGTGACAGTTACAGTCCCCAAAACGCGTTTTCTGCCTTGTCCCTTCCTCCCCGGCCGGTCCTACCCAGCCCTGCTGGAGTGAACTGAGCCCCGTGCGTGGGCCCCCGCTGCGCGCGCAGCCACATTTTTATTGGTGACAGCCGAGACCCGGTCTGTCCTTGCCACCCGAGTGACCCCAACAGCCAGCTTGGGGCCCGATCCGAGGAAGACAGCTGGGATTCCGGGGGTTTCCAATCCGCAACCGCCAGCCCCAGTTCCCTACCTGCCAGAGGAGGGCGGGACAGGGAGGGCCCCGGCTCCTTAGCATCCCCTAGGCTGGGGCCTTGAGCAGCTGCCCCGCACCTCAGAGGCTGGAGAGCGGCAGGAGGGACCGGGCCAGCCCTGGTCAGCTCTCTGAGCCCCGAGGGGTCTGGGCGTGGTGGGGGTGAGGGTGTGCTCCGCCCGCCGCTGCTCAGCCTTGGACTGCAGACTCCTCAGCCCGCCAGAGGCGTCGCCGGCCCCTCAGGCCCGAAAGTAAACTGGGAACGCAGGAGCGGCGGATAGGATCCTGTGAAATCAGTGAGGTGTCCTTTCCGGGCTGGGGGCGCTGGTGCCATCCGGGCCGGGCTCTGCCCTCAGGTTGCGCACAGGGAGAGCACACCGTTTTCAGTCCTGGCAGCAGACGTAGGGGTCCTGTCCCGGGTGAGGAACAATGAAACCAGACAGAGGACATAGGTTGCAAACAAGTTTATTTAAAAGATAGAAAGGAGGGCTGGGGAGTTAGCTCAGTGGTTCCAGTGCCTGCCTTGCAAGTGCAAGGTCCCAAGTTCAATCCCCGGTACCAAAAAATAATAATGAACTAAAAGATAGAAAGGTCAGGAAGTAAGAGACAGGGTCTCACTATGTAGCCCAGGCTGGCCTTGAACTTGTGGTGACCCTCCTGCCTCAGCCTCCTGAGTGCTGAGATTACAGGTTAGCACCACCATGCCCGGCTTGAAACTGCATACTTTTCTGGTCTGGTCACTGTAGTGTACACGCAGTGTCCAAGCAGGCCTCACATGCACTCCAGCCTGTCCCGGCTGGCCACACCGAGACGCTCCCTGACACCCACAGGACCCCTAGCAGATGTTGTGGGAAGATCTTGGGGGTGGCGACTCAGCAGACTCAGGTTGGGTCAAACTTGCAACCCTCCTGCCTCAGTCCCCCAGTGCTGGGATTACAGGGTGCGCCAACCCCTGTCTCGACTAGGTTTTCCCTGTGCACAGATTGATGCCCTTCCAGTGTAACGAAGCTCTCTTCACATTCTGTGGCCATAACGTTTGCAGTTCCAAGCACAAAGGCAAAACCAGTGCAATGTCTTTGTGTTTCCTCACGGTTTCAGGGATAGATTTGTTCTCGTGGCAATCTTAGCAACCTCAGTGCGCGACTCTTTCTTTTCTCCCTTACATTGTCGAAGGCCAAAGGCCTACAGTGTTAGCCTCTCCCAGCAGAGGCACCTTGGGCTTCTCTAGGACCTCCCCATGCTCAGCACCACTCCACTGAGCTGTAAATAAGGGCACAGAAGCAAGCACTTGGGTGACGCAGTGACACCGGATCTGACAGCCCAGGTGGCTGCCAGGTGAGAACCTGGGGCCGTACACAGGGCTGATGCACTCGCCTGACGCTGCTTGACGAAGACGCCAGCAGGCCTTGCCTGCTGGCAGGAGATTTCATCTCACAGCAGCGCACAGGGTTTAAAGCTGCCTCATTGTTGGCTTTCGGAGTCCCCCTGTATATTCGCAGTCCAAGGTTGGCCGCATGTGGCTGCAACTGTGCCAGAAGAGCACTCAGATGTGGCATCCATGCGCATCTATCGTTTTTGTTGGTTTTGTTTGGCAGCCCTGGTGACTGAGCCCAGGACCTTGACACCGAGTTACATCCCCAGCCGGTGCTGTTTTGTTTTTGTTTTGAGATAGTCTCACTAAGTTGTTAAGTAGCCAAAGCTAGGCTCAAACGTGCCATCCTCCTGCCTCTGCCTCCCCGAGTGCTGAGATTACAGGTGGGCACTGCTGCTGCCAGCTTCCATCCCCAGGTCCCTATCTGGATCCACCCGCTGATTGATACAGAGGACACTAACGGTCCTGGCTTTCCTGCTCTCTGGAGAACTCCGGCTAATGCAGGGAGACCACCCAGCCCTTTAAATGGGAGTCTAGAGGCCAGAGTGCTGCCACACCCCACACTCCCCAATGGCTTGAAGACAAGAGCCCCACAGATGCCCCTGTGCCAGGAGAGAACTCTGCCTCCTGAGCCTGGAAGAGCACTCTGACCTCAGGCCGGGCTGCAGCCGCAGCACCTCCTTCGGGCCTTTCTTTTGCTTGCTTAGGGTCCTGGGGATTGAACCCAGGGCCTTCACACTGAGCTACATCCTCAGCCCTTTTTTACTGAAACGAGATCTTGCTGAATTACTAATTGCCCAGAACTTGCAGTTCTCCTGCCTCAGCCTCCTGAGAGCTGAGATGACAGGTGTGTGCCATCACACGCAGGTCCCAGCAGATCCTGGCCTGCAGCCCCGTGAGACCCTGAGACAGGACAGCTGTCACTTCCTCAGAGAGGGCTTCCATCCACAACATGATAACAGTAATAAATGCAATCTAAGCATGGTGGCACAACCTGCCATCTCAGGAGGCCGAGGCAGGAGAATCACCTCAGGTTGGAGGCTAGCCTGAACTACATAGCTCAAGACCCTGTCTGGAAAAACCAAAAAATTTTTGAAAAATTAAAAAAAACCATTGCTGTTCAGTCCATGTTTGTTGAATAACCAAATCCAGCCTGCACGCTCCATGTGAGGGCTGGGATAGGAAAAGGGAGCCTGGGGAATACCTGCCAGCACCGGAAGTGCAGATCCTACTCAAACCGGCTGGAGACCTAGGGGCCCAGGGCCCAGGCCTCGCAGTACCGGGACTTGGGCGCCCCCTGGTGGAACCCGAGGCCCGCGGCTCAGCACCGCCCTGGGGAGCTAGCGGGCCGCAGGTGCTGCTCCAAGGATGGGGACCCAGTCAGGTCACCCGGGGCCGGCAGAGGTCGCACCCGGGCCACAGCAGCGACCCTTGGCCTGCCCAGGGCCCTGAACTCTGCCCTCCAGTCCTCCAGAAACCTGGGGTCCAAGCCCGAGATGCAAAGGGGGAGAAGCCGAGGACGGACACAGAGGGCGACAGTCAGGGACAATAAAGAAAGAAACCTGTGTTCCCAGCACTCTGGGAGGCCGAGGCAGGAGGATTGCAAGTTTGAGCCCAGCCTGGGCAGCTTAGTGACTTAACAGAGACCTTGCTTCAAAATTTAAAAATAAGCTGGGGGGTTAGCTCAGTGGCACCACACCTGCCTCACCAGCACAAGGTCCTGAGTTCGATCCCTGGTACCAGAAAAAAATTAAAAAATAAAAAGGGCTGGGGATGCTGCTCAGTGCAAAGGCCCTAGGTTCAATCCTCAGTACTGGACAAAGGAGAGAGAGGGAAATCCATTCTCCGTGTCCCACAAGCACCTTGGGGAACCTGGCCCTCCGCACCTTCTCCACCCTGCGTCGTTCCACTGCGTGAAGCTCAGGCTCTGGTGGTCGCCCCAAAGCCAGCCCTTCCTGCTGGCTGGGACCTTGGGCCTCAGCTTCCCCTAAAGGTCTGGGGACGGAGCAGAGGCGGATGGAGCAGGCAGGTCCGATATGGCCTGTGTAACCCCTCCCCTCCTAGGGCCGCCCCGCTCCCAGCCTGGCACCTGCCCTTCCGCAACGCCAATTAAGAGTGCTCGACATAATCGCTGCGGTTGACTGGGGCTGCCGGCCTCCCGAGAGCCTTTGTCCCTTAATTGGCCACCTCCAGGCGTATATCCCAGCTCCAGCTATGTGCTAATTGGCACCTGGCGCGTGGAGCCCCTCCGCCTCCTACAGCAGCCTCACCTGGCAGCCCAGGCCCCTCCGCGGTGCCCGCCCCAGGCTTTCGGGTGCATCCCGGCAGTGTCGGGAAGACACCGGAGCGCCCCAGCCATGCACCCTGGCGCCCCCGCCGGCCCAGGGGCCTCAGAGCCTGACCCGCTCGAGCTGTGCGCCTTCGTGAGCGGGGCGGCTGCTCACGTGCTGCGGGCCCTGCAGCCCCGGCGCGCCAGGCCCCCCAAGAGGAGGCCCAACCACCGGAGGTTCCTGCACAACCAGGTCTGCAGGTGAGAGCCGCGGGCACACCGGAGCCCCGCCCTTTACCAAACACCTACTGTGCATGGGAGCCCTGGGGGAGGGGGAGCAGGCGGGGCGGAGTGATCCTCAGACCAGCCCGAAAAGGCGAGCTCTCGGGCTCCAAGCCTGGGCTGCGGGTGAGGCCTGCAGGGGAGGGAGAGGCGCTGCTACCGCAGAGGGGTTTCCTGTGGGGGTGATGGCAGGTTCTGGAACTGAGGAGAGGTAGTGGTCGCCCGGCATTGCAAATATACTAACTGCACGCTTTAGAATGATGAATTTTATGTGCATTTTACTTCAATTTAAAAAATACTCTAGAGGCCGGGGATTTAGCTCAGTGGTTTCGTTGCCTGCTGCGCAAGCGCAAGGACCCGAGTTCGATCCCTGGTACAAAAAAACAAAACAAAACAAAAAAAAAACAACTCTAGAGACAGGCACACACCTGTATGTAATCCCAGTACTCAGGAGGCTGAGGCAGGAGGACGGCCCTGTGAAGCTTGTGCGAGCTGTGGCGAGGGGAGGCAAGAGGCAGGTGTAGGCTGGTGTCCGGAGAGGGGGAAGGAGCGCCAGGACCGGCCGCAGCGGGAGGAGGAAGCGCTGGCTCCGAGGAAGCAGCTGTTCTGGGCAGACTGCAGGGGCCGGTGGGAAGGGAGAGGTGCGGGGCAGGCAGGGCTGACGTGGGGGAGCCTTTCTCGCCCGCAAACACCCCCAGGGCGCTCCACCCAGGCTCCCCGCGCCCTGAGGCCCCGCAGGAGCCTCGGCATCCGGCCGCGGGGGGCACGCACTGTGCCCTCGCTGGGAGCCTGCAGGCCTCCGTCCTCGGGCTCTGCCCCAGTCTAGCCGCCCTGGCCCTGGCTCCCCTTGCCCGGGGCAGTGACCCACGCGGTTCCGGTTCCGGCGCGGTCACCTGCTAAGGCTCATCTGCTGCGGCGGCGGCATCTCTTCTCCCGGAGACCCCCAGGGGGGGCTCAGTCTTGGTCCCGTGATCAAGTGCAGAGATTCAGAGAGGATCGGCGATGGCCTGGGATGCACAGCGCCTGGGGGAGACGGCCCACTCTCGTCACTATGGTCCGTGCTGCCTGGATGCAGCTTCCCGGGAGGATGAGGACGCTCGTGGGGACGGTGACCGTGGCCCTGGTGCTGATGGTGGTGACAGACGTAGCTCACAATTACGCAGCGCTTACTGTGTGCCAGGAACTGTCCCAAGCACTTCCGTATTAAGCCATGAGTTAGTGCTTGCTTTCAGTGAGCATTAACTCATGACTCTCCCACACCAATCCTGAAAGGAAACTGAGGCACAGAGAGGTCAAGAGACAACGAACACGCCCTTTTCTCTAAATAGTCTGTCCCTCCCAGCCAGTTGAGAGCCCACCCCAGGAGGCTGGGACCAGACCTGAGTAAGGGAGCCCCTCCCACCTCCTCCCTGCCCCAGCGCCCGAGCCCCTCCCAGACGCCCTGCCGGCCACAGCCAAACCGCCTGCCTTGCGCAGGGACCCAGCCCCGTGCTGCCCGGCTAGCCCTCTCATCTCCTTGTGAGCCCCCTTCCCATCTCTGCCTCCGCCCTAGGCCACGGAGCCCCCGAGCGCCGTCCACCGCCCTGTAGAAAGGCCAGCGGCTGTCTGCACAGTGGTTCTCAGAAGCAGGCGCCCAGCCCTGGCAGCAGCAGTGTCTCAGCCTCTCCCGGGAACTTGCTAGAAAAACATGCGCTTGGGCCCAACCACAAACTAGGGCTCCAGCCAGGACCCCAGCTCCACCGGCCCTGCAGGGGATTCCTGCAGTCTGGGCCCCTCACTTGGGTTTTCCTGTTGATAGCATCGGGCATTTTTCCTTCATCTGTTCTTTTAAATAGCTTAAAATACATCACAGACATCTGGGTCTCAGTCCTAAACCCTAAAAGTCACCTGACTCAGTTGGTTCAAGTTAAGGCTCCTTCAAGGATCAGGCATTGGATTTGGTTGTTGGGACTCAAGTCTCTCTCCTCTCTCTCTCTCCCTCTGTCTCTGTAATTAAATGTCATTTGTAAAAGTTTTCCCTGGGTCACTAAAAGCATAGATATCTTCCTTGGAATAAAAAAAAATTGCTTTTATTTCTTGAGACAGTCTTGCTGAGTACTCCAGGCTGACTTGAACTCACTATGGAGCCCAGGCTGGTCTTGACCTTGCAGTATTCCTGCCTCAGCCTCCAGAGAGCTGGGATTATAGGCAGGTGCCACCACCCCAGTGTGACACAGTTTTAGAGCACTAGCTATCATTTGCTCATTGAAGACTCAAATATATTTTTTAATTGTGGTGAAATACACTTGCCCTGTGACTCGCCACTCTTAAGTGTAAGATCCGGTGGCCTTCCACACACCGTGCTTTGCAGCCTTCACCCAGCAGTCCCAGCACACCCCCCACCCACCCTGGGGGACCAGCGACTGCTTCCCCCCTCCAGGCATCTGCCCATCTGAGTATTTCATCCAAACAGAATCGGAGGTATTGGATATACTTCAAACCAGCTTTTTATGGAAGTTCAGCACAAAGCACACACACACACACACACACACACACACACACACACACACACACACACACCAGCTCAAAGCTCAGCGGATTTCCCAGAGGGAACGCACTAGTGTAATCAACACCCAGACCCAAGAACAGACCCTAGCAGTCCTGCCTTCTCCCCACAGACCAGTGAAGACCGTTTTTGTCTCTGTTCCAACAGCTGGGATGGAACCCAGGGCTTCAGGCAAGCTGGGCAAGGGCTCCACCCTGGGGCTCCACACCCAGGCCTGTTCTCCCCGGGACTGGGAATCCAACCCAAGGCCTGGGCAGTGAGCTTCGTACGTATTATTTTGATACAGGGTTTTGCTAAGTTGCTTAAGTTGCATCCAGTGAGAAAGAACCAACCAGAGACCGATATTAAATCCACACAGGAGTTTACTACCGGCTGGGACCCGGTCTCCAGCCCCAACTGGGGGGAGACAAACAGGTTTTATACAGCTTTGAGGCCAGCAGTTTCTAGGCCCCACTATGGGATAGAACTAGCAAAGCAAGCGAAAGGTACAGAAGTGGACCGTCCTGCTGTTAGAACATTTGTAAAACAATAGTTGAGGCCCAGGGATTTAGCTCAGTGGTTTCCCCGACTGCTGTGCAAGTGCAAGGACCTGAGTTCGATCCCCGGTACCAAAACTAAAATAAATAGTTGAATAATTGTTATTTCTAAAGGGACTTTCAAAGGGGAGGAGGTTTCTAAGCTTCCTCCTTCTGAGTTCATCTAAAGGGCAGGCAGGTGGGTCAAGCAGCAATATGGAGTCTGTCTTGCTAACTAGGGTCTTTCATTCCCCACTGGTTCTTGTAACTTAATCAAATCTTTGATTCCTGTATTTATCTTTGAATTTTTTTGTAAATCTCATAATTTTGTCTCAACACCATCAGTTTAACTGTATCAACCCTCTGTCTAACATATTTAGTGAGAGCATTTATAATGCAAGGTCCCGCAAGCAAAAGCAGAAGTAACATAACTAAGGGGCCTGCTACAGCAGAAACTAGGGTAGTTAACCATTAGCATAGAAGCAACAGGTTTGTTTTTTTTTTTTTTTAGGGCTACACATAACCCTCTTTGTTTTATGAACAGGAGGTCATGTCCCCTTTGATTTTGCAGGACCATCTTAGCTAGGGAATCAACCTGGTTTTTTAAACTGGAGATCAAGTCTTTCAGGTGACCCAAATCTCTGGCTACTTGGTGGCTTAGGGCTTTAAAATTTGTGTCCTGAAGGATCAGGGAGGAAGTTCCAATAGCCGCTGACCTGGCTATTCCTAATCCCACCAGAATGGGCACTAAAATGGGGGCGGCCCGTTTACTCTTTTAGTGTTCAGTGGTTAATCCCAGTTGTTCGCGGCCCCCTTTTTTATTGTAATACAAGACTTGTGGAACAACATACATGGTGACACAAAATAAAGTGGCAGATTGGGTAGCCAAGACTGATTTGGGAATGTATTTTGTCAAGTCCTTGGTGCAAACAAACCAAGCATATCAGCACCAGGTCTCCTGGCTTGAAACCGTGGGGCTGGAACATCGCAAGCCTGTTCTCGAGCCTGTTGTATTGTAGCCTGGATCTCACTCTGAAGAATCTGTAAGGCTTGAAGAGACTGAAGTAAAGAGACACAAGAACTCTCTGTTATCTGTCCAAGGTTTAACTTAGGGGGGAGTGGCGGCGGCCTCCCATACAGGATTTCAAAAAGGGTAAACTTGTCACATATGGGGTACATCTAACGCTTAACAAGGCTAGAGGAAGCAGATTGGGCCACCTACCACCACTTTCTAGAACATATTCAGTCAGGGTTTCTTTCGGGGTCCTAGCTATCCTTTTTACTTGCCCTGAACTTTGTGGGCGATAGGCACAGTGTAACTTCCAATCGATATGTAGTGCCCTTGCCAACAATTTGGATATCTGTGATGTGCCGTGAAGGCAGGCCCATTGTCAGACCCCAGGTAATGAGGGATGCCAAATCGGGGAACTACCTCCTGGAGCAAAACCTTAGTCACTATGTTGGCTGATTCTCCATGAGTGGGGAAAGCTTCTACCCAACCTGAGTAGGTGCCAACCAATACCAATAAATATTTGAACCTACTGTTGGATTTTATTTCAGTGAAATCAAGTTCCCAATGTTCCCCTGGCTCTCTTCTCCATAGTCAATTACCTTCACTCCTTGGTCTTGCCTTGGCGTTTACCTGTGCACACACCTGACCCCTGGAACTGATGTCCTGGACCATAGAGGTCAGTCCTGGGACTGAAAACTTACAGCTCATTAGTCTTTTTAACTTTGATTCTCCCAGTTGAGTTAAGTGATGTAACTGATGAACAAGTTGTCGCCCCAGGGCTCAGGGGATACAAATTTGTTCATTTGTCCCTTTCCACCAGCCTGAGTCCAGTTTTGTAGCCCCTCGCTTCTGGTTTTCCTCTTCCTCTTCTGGGGCATATGTGGGCCTTTCTGGCAGGCAGCCAAAGGGTCGGATGGGCACAGTGTCTATTGGCCCCACTGGTTCTCTGGCCGCTCCTCAGGCCGCATCATGGGCCTCTCAGTTACCGCGGGCCTCAAAGCTGTCTCTTTTTTGGTGGCTTTTGTAATGAATAATGGCCAACGCCCTGGGTTCCCAAATTGCCTCCAATAAGGCCAAAATTTTTTTTTTGATAGTTTTCCCTTCTGATGCCAATAGCCCTCTCTGCCTGTAGATGTCGCCATGCACATGGGCAGTGGGAATGCACGCCGGCCATCAGTGTAGATGTTGACAGCCTTGTCTCGACCTAACCTCAGGGCTTGAGTTAAGGCTGTTAGTTCAGCCCTCTGCGTTGAAGCCCCCCAGCTTAATGCCTGTGTCCAGTGCACCTGTCCTCCTGGACTGACTACAGCCGCCCCCACGTACCTGACTCCATCTTCCACGAAGCTGTTTCCATCGGTGAAGAAGGTCTCATCTGGGCTTTGTGGGGGAACATCAGTCAGATCTGGGCGGTTGGTGGTGGAAGTTGTCAGAGTGTCCAGACAGTCATGGAGGGGCATGCGTATGAGTCAGAGTCCGGGAGTAAGGTGGCCGGATTGAGGGTCATTTCTCAGGCGAATTTGATGCATGGAGCATCCAGCAACAGGCCCTGGTACTGAGTCAGGTGAGCACTGGACAGCCATTGTTCTGGGGCTCCTCTCAGCAATGTTTCCACCGCATGGGGTGCGGTGATGATCAGGTTCTGTCCCAGGCTGAGCTTATCTGCCTCCTTGACCAGGAGGGCAATGCCTGCAACTGCTCTCAAACAGGTAGGCCAGCCACTTGCCACAGGATCAAGTCTTTTAGACAGGTAGGCCACAGGTCTGTTCCAAGGCCCTAATGCCCGAGCTAGCACTCCTTTGGCTGTGCCCCCTCGTTCAGCCACAAAGAACTGAAAGGGCTTGGTGACATCAGGTAGGGCCAGGGCTGGTGCTGACACTAAGGCTTTCTTTAAAGCCAAAAAGGCGGCTTTCTCTTTTTCTGTCTGGAGGGGCTGTCTCTTGTGCCTGGAGTGCAGCAATAGTGACTTTCCCCAGTTTCTTGGCTAGGACTTCCTTGGGAGCATCACGGTTATCATAAATTTTCTGGGCTATGCTCAGGAGTTCAGTCCTATTCTTTCCCTCAAATACCTCCAATTTCTGTAATTTTTTTTTCTAATGCCTGGGGCTGACTGGGAAACAAAGGCCAGATTTAAAGCTGCTGCACTTTCAGGAGCCTCTGGGTCAATAGGAGTGAAAACTCTATAGGCTTCCAAGAGTCTCTCTAAAAACGCAGCCGGAGACTCCGTTTTTTCCTGGTGAACCTCACTTACCTTACTCAAATTAGTGGGCTTTTTGGCAGCTGCCTGGAGTCCCCCTAATAAGTGCTGGTGGTAGGTCCCCAGCCTCCTCTTACCGTCATCATCATTGGGGTCCCATTCGGGGTGTCACGATGGAACTACTGTTTCAGCCTTGGCTGAATGCCCCGGAGTTCCAGGAGTGACGCCAGGGTTTGGCCCCAGGGCCTCTTTGACTGTCTGTTGATAAATGCGGTCCGCTCCTCAGTGGTGAACAGGATCTGTAAAAGCTGCTGACAATCCCAGGCTGGCTGATGGGTATGAAAAACAGACTCAAGAAGAGATTAATGCCTGAGGTTTTTCAGAGAAGGGGGGATTTTGATGTTTCCAATTGTAAAGATCACTAGTTGTAAAAGGGACATAAACCAATCCTCCCCGGGCTCTGTCTGTTTTAAAGGAAAAAGGGAGGAGGAAGATGGGGCTGATGGACCGTAGTCCTGTCCCGATCGAGTGCCAAAGGTCGATCGAGACCTTTGGGGCCCCGACTCCTGTAACCACATTCCAAACCTTGCGAGCAATGTGCATAGAGTAAGTTCCCACCGGGGCCCAACTGACTCTGAAACTTGGCCATTCTGATTGACACAGAGTTTGCAATTTGCCTTTAGAAAATTTCATGCCATATTCACCTTCCCTGTCTGTGGAATAAATTTTTCTGAAGTTATTCAAAACACAATCAAGTGGAGTTCCTTCTGTGGACTGTGAGGAACCCATAATTTTAGGCTGTGAAAATGCAAAAGGCACACAGAGCAAGCAGACAGACAACAATAAACAGACAAAGACAAACTTTGGCCAAGTAAAACCTCTGGGGCCGAATGGATATGGACCCCACCCAGGGAGTCGCTCTTCTGAGGACTCCCACCCAGTGAGTCTGCTCACTGTCTCGAAGAGACTCTAGGTAGGGGAACCTGTGCCGCGGCCAGCTTCCTCCTACCTACCCACAGTGCACTAAGAATCATTCATTTCTTAACCTCTAGAGGCTTTCCTGATAAACTCTTTCGGGTCGGTTGATCAGCGATAGGGCCCTACTGGAACCGGCCTACCCGGAGCCCCGGAATACCATCAGGGTGGCTTAGCCCCAGAATACCGTCAGGGTGGCCTCTCCTTCCGCAGACCGGTGTCCAGAGGGGCCAAACACCGCTGATGTCCGATCCTGGTCTCTCCTAAAAAGAAACAATGGCTCCAAGATAATAAGCTCCAGAGCAGCTGGCTATCTCGCTGGGGCCTCCAAGAATGTTACACCCAGTGAGAGAGAACCAACCAGAGACCGATATTAAATCCACACAGGAGTTTATTACCAGCCGGGACCCGAGCTGAGCATCGGACTCGAGTCCCAACTGGGGGAGATTAACATATTTTATACACCTTTGAGGCCAGCAGTTTCTAGGCCCCCCTATGGGATAGCAAAGCAAGCAAAAGGTACAGAAGCGGAACATCCTGATGTTACAACATTTGTAAAACAACAGTTGATTGTTATTTCTAAAGCGACTTTCTAAGGGGAGGGGGTTTCTAAGCTTCTTCCTTCTGAGTTCATGTAAAGGGCAGGCAGGTGGGTCCAGCAGCAATGTGGAGTCTGTCTTGCTAACTAGGGTCCTTCAGCTTAGACTGGCCTTAAACTTTTGATCCTCTTGCCTCAGCCTCCTGAAGGCTGGGATCACAGGTGTGCACCACCATGTTTGAACAACTTTATGTGAATAGATCACAAAGCACTGCTGTGTCCCTTGTTGCCCTCACTCAACTCTGAGCTTGTGTGTGATTTTCCTGGGGTCGGGGAGCGTAGACAACAGAAATGTGCTGGGTGGGGTTATAATCTAGAGTCAAAAATGTACCTAGTGCTGGACTGGATGAGCTGCCTTGGGCAGTCCACAACCCCTACACATGTTCAGAGCTCCCCTATGTACTGAGTGAGAAACAGTAAATTGTCAGACTTAAGAAAATGGGGCCCGGGGCAGAGAGATCAGCATGAAGAAGAAACACGGGAATGGAAAGGAGGGACGAGTCTCCTGCAGCGACAGGGTGGAGGCGAGTCCCTTTGCTGCCACCAGCTGACACCCATCTCTTTGCAGGCAATTCACCAAGATCGAGGCGGCCACCCAGCGCCTGGCCCTGTCCATCCTATCCCAGGAGGCACCTGCCCGGAGACCGCTGCCCCGAAGGCGACCCCCGCCGCCCCTGTCCCCCTTCCTAGGGGTGGCCTGTGCCGTGGCCCCCAGGGAGATGCCCCACACCGGCCGGGGCCTGAGCGTGGCTGCCCTGGACACCTCCCCGCTAGACCTGATTGATGACATTGCGCTGCCCACAGAGCGTCCCCTGGCGCCCCCGGACGCCCTGACTGCGGAGGCCGCCCCGCTGGGCTTGGATCTGGGCTCGGGGCGCCCGAAGCAGCCGGCACTGACGCAGGCTCCGCCTCGCTCCGGTGCTCTGGCCCCCGGCCCAGAGGCCCTGGGGGGAGGCGCCGAGCCCGGAGCCCTGCCCTGGGGCTGGGTGGGCGAGTGGGGTCCGGGAGGACTGGGGGCCCCGTGACGCCCAGCGCAAGCCAGGAAGCCCGGATCGCCCGCTCGCGCCTGGGAAGTGACTCGCGCCCGCCTTCTGTCCTTCCTCCCGGAGGAAATAAAAGCAGCGCCCAGCGAGGCCTTCGGACCAGGGCGGCCAGGGAGTCAGATTCCACGCCGTCGCGCCCGTAGGCGTTCCGGGAAAGTGCCTGGGTGTCCTTGCGAGCCCCAGGTCTGCCCCTACCGGGCCCTGGGATCGGGTGACCTGGGCGGTGTGGGCTCGGCAGCGTCCGCGCTCCCGCTGTCACCTGCGTTCTCAGACGACGACGCCCCGCCCCCTACCCGCCACTCACGCCTCCTCGGCTCTCCATTGGTCCTACGTGAGGCCATCCCGCCCCACCTCACTTTAGGCCAATTACGTCTCGGGACTGACAGCCTTCGGGCACCACCCCTCGCGTGGCACAGCAGAGGCGCGTGCGGATTGGCCGGGATGGAGGGGCGGGCAGTGCGAGGCGAGCGCCAATTGGCGGCTCCGCCCCGCCGACCAAGGGTGCAGACGCCCCTAAACGGTGACCCTGCCGAGACGGCTGGGGCCGCCCGGCGAGAACTGGCACTTCCGGTGAGTCCCGCTTGCTGCGCGCGCTGCGAGGGACCGGCGGTCCCGCCATGCAGGTGGGGAACCGAGGCTGTACGACGCCCCCACCCCGACCTCCCGGGTGGCGGCCGCGCCCGCGAGTCCCGAGAAGGCTGCGTGTCGGGCACGCGCTGGAACCTCGCTTCTCTGAGGAGAAGCTGAGGTTCACACGCGGTGGAACTTGTCCGAGCCAGCAAGTCCAGGGCCAGGGCTGGGTCCCCCAGGCCCGCTCCGGCCTCGAAGGCTCCTTCCTGCGCCTCCCTCTCCCTCTGGCCCAGGGTCACCCTCGTCTGGACCTGTCACCTCATGTTGGTCTGGCTGGGCTCCGACCTTATGTAAATTTTGCTTTTTTATTTTATTTTTCAGTACTAGGGATTGAACCCAGGGCCTCACTCACACCTGAACTACATCCTAGCCCTTTTTAGTTTTTATTTTGAGACAGGGTCTCACTAAGTCATTAAATTAGCCAGGCTGGGTTCCAATTTGCAACCCTCCTACCTCAGCTGCCCATAGCGCTGGGAGGACAGGCGTGCGCCATCAGACCTTGCTCCCACGTGCCCTCTTTTCTGGCACAAATGGAAGCATTCTGTACACACTGCTCCTTGTCCCTTCACTTGCTGTGAACACTTGTCTCTACTGCTAGCTACTTAAAGAGCCTGCTTGTCCTTGTTCCTGCTGCAAAGAGCTCTGGATTCATCCCCTGCACAGAAAATAATAAAAAGGGGGTCAACTGTACCGACATAAACCACCTGTTGGTTTTGAAAGTTGGTGTTGTCACAAGTAGAACACATTCTCTATGGCAGCTGTATTGCGTTTTGTCTTGTTTTGGTTTTTTCCCCCGGTACCGGGGATCAACCTCAGGACCTTGAGCTTGTGAGGCAGGCACAGCGCCACTGAGCTAAATCCCCGGGCGTGTATGGTGTCTTAATAATAAACACCTGTGTACTCACCGCCCTGCTTGGAAAGAGAACCAGCAGTTCTTTGCTGCTTCCGGTGGTCTTGCAGCAGGAGCTGTAAGGCCCGGCTGCACACAGGGTTGGGGGAGCTACAGAGAAGCCCAGCTGCCGCCCCTGCTGTGCACCCTCGGGGACCCACGGCACAGGCCTCTGAGGAGTCATGCTGGGTCCCGCCAGAGCTGTGGTGAATCACAGCCCTGCTGGACCTGAGCTTCCTCCTTTGGAGGACAGCTGGGCAGGTGGCCTCACCAGGCCCAGCCCTTCTTTTGGGGGGGTCTGTTTTTCTTCTTTTGTGATAAAATATATATAACAAAACTTGCTCTCCTGGGCGGGGCGGTGCTGCACCATTGTAAACCCAGCACTCTGGAGGGCCAAGGCAAAGGACCCCAAGTTCAAGCTCAGCCTGAGCACATTAGTGAGACCCTATCTCAAAATAAATAAAATAAGGGCTGGAGCTGTAGCTCAGTGTGAAGGCCCTGAGTTCGATCCCCAGTATGCCAGCATTAAAACCAAACTGACTCTGGGCCGGGGATTTAGCACAGTGGTTTCACTGCCTGCCTCGAAAGCCCAAGGTCCTGAGTTCAATCCCTGGTACTAAAAACAAACAAACAAACAAACTGATTCTTCATGTGCTTTGGGGTTGCTGGCGGTGGAACCCACCCTAACACACACCAGACCAGACGGGCGAGCCACACTGAGCTGTGTCCCAGTAGGAAGACCAGCGAGTGACCACTTAAAAATGGACAGCTTGGGGGCTGGGGATTTAGCTCAGTGGTTTCGCCACTTGCTGTGCAAGCGCAAGGACCTGAGTTCGATCCCTGGTACCAAAAAAAAAAAAAAGTGCACAGCTGCCGGGGATGTAACTCAGCGGTGCTGCCACCTGCCTGGCAAGCACAAGGTCCCAAGTTCGATCCCCCGTGCCCAAACAAACAAAACAGTGCACAGCTAAGTGACGTTCAGTATGCTGGCGGCATTGTGCAACCCTCACTTCTGGCCAGGCCCAGCACATTTTCGTCGCCCGAGTGGCAATCCTGTATCCATTAAGGCACCCAGATTTTTCCTGCCCAGTCCCAGCCACCTGCTCCCCTGCCTTCTGCCTCTGGATCGCCCATCCAGGGCATTTCCTACAAACACTGGGACCCTGTGTGGCCTGTCACTGGCCTCTCTCCCAGAGAGATGTTTTGGGGTCCACTCTTATGCAGCTGAGTGACCCCTTTCCTTCAGCCACTGCTTCAGTGAGGAAACTGAGGCTGCATAGCAGCCACATGGGGAGTTGGGCAGAAAGGCTCTAAGGCCCTGGGCTCCCAGGCACTGCAGGAGGGGATCCTGTTGAGGGGGGCCAGCTCTTTCTCCCAGGGGTCACATCCCAGCTCCCTGGCCAAGTCTGTCACTGCTTGGGCCTCAGTTTGCCCTGGGGTGTGTGAGTTGCACTCACTTTAGGAGAGCAGGGTGGGGCCTGGCCACCCAACACTCCACTTAGGGGCAGAGAGACCCTGAGCTTGCACACCTAGTGACACTACGTTTCCAAGGACAAGGCCAGCAGCCAGGGGGCGACCCTAGGCCTGGGTGGACACAGAACCATCCAGGGAGGTGGCTTCCTGCTGAAGAGGCAGGAAGAAGAGAGGAGCAGGTGGGGGGACAAAGGAGCAGAGGCTGCAGGGGGCACGGACACCGGCTGGCCCCACCAGGAATGCCTTGTCCCCCTGAACCTGGCAACTCTCCTCTCCATCCCAGAAATGGCAGCAGCCAGGCCGGGCCTGGGCCGAATCCTCCCAGGATCGTCCATCCTATTCCTGTGCGACATGCAGGAGAAGTTCCGCCACAGCATCGCGTACTTCCCGGAGGTGGTGGCCGTGGCCGCACGGATGCTCAGGGTAAGGGCAGCCCCTCAGACCCAGGCTCCAGGTCCAGGTGCAGGTCCACCCTCAGCCCTGGCCTTTGTCCCTCTCCCCTGCGCAGGCATCCCGGCTTCTGGAGGTCCCAGCTGTGCTGACGGAGCAATATCCCCAAGGCCTGGGCCCCACGGTTCCAGAGCTGGGTGCTGAGGGCCTCCCAGCCCTGAGTAAAACCTGCTTCAGCATGGTGCCTGCCGTGCAGCAGGAGCTGGACAGCCGGCCCCAGCTTCAGTCCGTGCTGCTCTGCGGCATCGAGGCGCAGGCCTGCATCCTGGTGAGGTCTTCCTGCCCCTGCTCGGCTGGGGCCCCTCCCTCCTGACCTGGGCCCACCTTCCTGGGCCAGTCTGACCCTCACCGGCACCTGTTTCTCACCCTCTCTGCCCCAGAACACAGCTCTCGACCTGCTGGACAGGGGACTGCAGGTCCACGTCGTGGTGGACGCCTGCTCCTCTCGAAGGTGAGGGCCCTGGGGCCCAGGCTGTGGGGCAAGGTGTGGTGTCCTTGTCAGCAGCACCGACACCTTGCCCCCTTGTCTATGCAGCCAGGTGGACAGGCTGGTGGCGCTGGGCCGCATGCGGCAGAGCGGTGCCTTCCTCTCCACCAGCGAGGGGCTCATTCTGCAGCTTGTGGGTGACGCCTCCCATCCCCGGTTCAAGGAGGTGAGGGCCCCTGTTCCCCTACTGGGTCCCAGGAGCTAAGTCCTAAGGGTCCTCACCCACTACCACCATAAGTGGGGTGACTACGAGACTGCAGGGAAAGATCATGCAGTGTGAACTGGGGTGTCGGGTGCAGGGTAGGGGTGTGCCGTGTGCTCTGGGAGGGCCAGCCAGGCCCCACCCGTGTCCCCTGGGCCTTTCCACTGCCCATGCTGGTGTCCCCTTGACTGTCTCGTGGCCCCCTCTAGAGTGGCCTTCCGGCTCCAGGGACAGACCAGGCCTAGGCCCCCGCTGCAGCCCTTGGCCCAAGGATGAAGGGGAAGCACAGGGACTGAACGTTCCCCTTCCTCCCCTGCCCTCCCTTCCCTGTCTGTTCTGCTGAGCACTCACTGGGCACCTAGGGTGTCCCAGTCACATGGTTCACTGAAGGCAGCTGTGCAGCCAGGCCTCCCAGAGTTGGCCTTACAGTGTGGAGACAAAAAGCCACCCCACAGTCAGGCACACACTGGCCTGGAGCCAGTGAAGAGGAACAGGGGGAGCAGCCCTTAGTTTCAAGTTCCCGGAGGAGGGAGCCGTGAGAGGGGCAAAGGCCAGGAGGTGGCCCATGCTTGGCTTGGGAGGAGCCGAGCCAGAGCCACAAACTGGCAAAGATCAGGGTGTTTGGCAATGGGCAGCCACTGGGCTTTGGCACAGAGACACCAGCCACGGTCGGATCACAGTTTACAAAGCAGGAGGAGAGGAGGGGTCCAGCTCCAGCTGGGATGAAGGAGGCTGCCTGAGGCACCCAGCCAGCAGTGCTGGGGCCTTTTCCAGGGGCGTGGGGCGAGGCAGTGGGGTCTGGTACTGGAGATGAACGCAGCAGCGGGGCTTCTGGATGGATGAGGTGTGGCTGGCCGATGGTGCTCAGCTAAGGCACAGCTGGTTGAATGAGCCCGGAGTCCAGGGACCAAGGCTGAACTGGATCTGGGAGGTGAAGGCCCAAAAGTGATGGACTGGGAAGGTGTGGACGGAGAGCAGAACAAGATGGCAGGGCCAGGAAGGGAGCCCGGCAGGTGTGATGAAAACAAGGCCCCAAGGACACTCAGGAAATGAGGCTGCTGATGAGGTCAGGGAGATGAAAATGGGGGCTGTCCCGGGAACTGGGCCCCCAACTCCTCTGACCCACCTCCCACCCCACCTCCACTCCCCTTGCAGATCCAGAAGATCATTAAGGAGCCCGCTCCGGACAGCGGGCTGCTGGGTCTCTTCCAAGGCCAGAAGCCCCTCTTCTGATGAACTCAGGACCCTGACTTGAGGGGAGACCACCCTCCTGTCACCTCGACCTCGGTGGAAGCACTTTTCCCCCCATCCCTGGATCCCAAGAGTGGTGCGGTCCACCCGGAGTCCCGCCCTCGGGGGGGGGAGGCGTGGTTCTGTCGTCCCATTGGGCAGCTGCTCCCGGAAATGCAAATAAGACTCCTGGGGGCTGGGCGGGAATTGGCTGAGAGCAAGGTGGAGGCGGGGCTCGGGCGCCGGGCCACTTCATGGGGCGGGGAGGGAAGGGGAAAGTGTCACCGACTGTGGGAACCGCACTCGTGGAATAAATATTGATGTGGCTCTGGACCGAACCATTATTGGGTTTGGGGGTGTGCCGGGGGCCGCGGGCGGGAGAAAGAGGGGTCCCTGGCAGGTGGGGAGGGGGAGGTTCTTCTCCTGGTCCTACCCCTGCGCGGCGCAGGCGAGGGCTGCGGCGGCCACACCTGCACGCGCGATCTCGGCGGCCGGGGTCCCCCACGCTGCCGACCGACCCCCGCCGTGCGCGCACGCCCAGCTCGCGGGCCAGCAGACACGCGCTCGACGCCTCCCCCGCCGGCCCCCACGCGCCACCCCGCCACCCCCGATCCCAAGGGCCCCGCGTCCGGAAAGCGAGGTGAGCGCGACCGCACCCGGTGCGGAGGGGAAACTGAGGCAGGCGGACGTGGGGGAGGAGGGGACAAGCATGCAGACGGACGGACGGAAGGACAGACAGCTGTTGCCCAGCATCCCGGCTGCCCCCAAAGTGCGGGAGTCCCGGACCCACCTGGCGCTCCAGAATTCTGCAGTCTCCGAGATCCGGGACTCGGGACTCCACAGCCCCCGGCCAGCATCCCCACCCGGCGGAGAGGCCCTGGGCAGCATCCCGGGCCCCCGGGGGTGGACAGAGCCCTCGGCCGCCCCCCCCCCGCCGCGACCCCCGCAGGTCCCGTCCCAGCCCGGCGTCGCAGCCCCGGGGACCCAGGAGCCCCGGACGGGCGTCGGTGCCCCTGCCCCCGCCTTCCGGATGCAGGTGTCCCCTCCGCACCCCCGCCCGGCCTGCGTCTCAGCGCACGCGTTGCCATGACAACCGGAGTCTATTTTGCGCTGGGAACACACAGCTCCGCTGCAGCGCCCCCCGCCACCCGCCCGGAGCGGGGGCCGCGGGCAGCGCCAGGACAGCAGCCCGTGATGGGGTCGCTCAGGGGCTGAACGGGGCTGCAGGGCCGGCGGCGGGGGTGCCCGCACCCCGACCCCCCTCCCTCTCTTCCTCCCTGCAAATCTCCCGCCTGCTCTCCGCATCCCCACGCCAAACCTGCCCCCAAGGTCCCTGGGGCCCCGCCCCTCGCCACAGCCACCCCCGACAGAGGACCCCGCCTCCGCCACAGCAGAGGCTCCGCCCCTTTCTGCTCCCTCCCTTTCCCGGGCCGCTGAACCCCATCTCTAGCTGCGCCCTAGAGCACACGGCCCCTGCCCCGCTGTCCCCTCTCCGTTCCCCGTCCCATCCCTCAGTCTGTCGGGGCTCCACCTCCCAGTCCCTGTCCCCGGTCCCCACAGCCCAGCCCTGCTCTTCTCGCAGGGCCTCACTGTGACGCGCCCCAGGGCCACCCCGCCACGCCACGCCACGCCAGCCCTGTCCCGCCTGCAGCTGGCGCGGCCTCCCCAGTCTGCCCCCGACCTACGTCCCTGCAGGTCAGGTCCCCGCTGGGGGGAGGGCCAGGCTGTGGAGGGGCAGAGCAGGGCGGGGCAGAGTCCTGTGCTCTGCGGTGGGGATGTGTGGAGTGCCTGGCCTGTCGGCGGAGCTGTGTCCACGTATGGGAAGCACCACACACGGGACATGGTGTCCCTCCACGCGTGTCGGGGCCCCCTCAGTGTCCCACGCTCCGTGTTGCTGTGTGCGGGTGCCCTGGGCGTCAGCAGTGCAATCCTTCAGGCAGGGGAAGAACTGGTCCCCCTGTCACTTGTGTCTGGATGCGTCGCCGGAGGGGCTGGGAGCTCAGGGGTGGGGAAAGGCCACCTGTGTGTGCATGTGCGTGCCTCTGTGCATGCGTGTGCGTGCATGTACGTGTGTGTGGTGTCCCTGAGTCTGGCCAGAGCCCTGGCACAGAAGGTGCATGAGTACCATGAAGTCCACACTGCAGGAGCCACAGGAAGGTGGCACCTGTGAGTCTGCACCGGCCCCTCTCCTGGAGGACAGACACAGCCCCTCTGGCATCTGCCTGGGGAGAAGAGCCCAGCTGGAGCTCAGCCTCTCAGCTCGACTTCCTTGGGAGTGCACAGCCTGCCCCATTGTACATGGCAGCCTCCAGCCGGAACTCCAACTTGTGATCCTCCTATCTCAGCCTCCCGGAGAGTACTGGGATTACAGACAGGTGCAGCCCTCAATCACTGTGACAGTCCACATGGCTGGACACATGTGCACCCCCAGGAGGGGCATGTCCCTGCATGTGCCAACCCACATCCTTGTAGGTGACATAAAGCCACCTGTGCGGTACCAGGCTCGGGGCCGGGAGACCAGGTCCAAAGCCCTGGTCTTCAGCTCCGACACTGCAGGCTTGGACAGGTGGCCGGGCCCTCACTTAGAGTGGATGCACGTGCCTGTGCACACCCGCCTCACCCCTGCTCGACATTTGTGTGGGATGAGCGTCCGTGGGCACTGTGCTGGGTGACAACCATCTGCCTCCGCGGGTCTGGGGCAGGTGATGGCAGCGGGGAGACAGAACTCTTAGCAGAGCCACCCCCGGGAGAGACCAGGGCTGCTGTTCCAGTGGGGGCCAGGCCAGGCCGCCCACGATGTAGATGCGTGGGTTTTGCTCGCTCCTTCCTTCCTTCTCCATTGGTTGATTGTGGTGTGGGGTGAGTGTAAACCCAAGGCTGTTGCCTAACCCCATCCCATTTTGATCTTTATCTTGAGACATCTCCCTGAGCCTGGGCTCAAAGTTGCAATCCTTCTGCCTCAGCCTCCCAGAGTGCCGGCTCTGTTTATCTTTTTAAGGATCCAGCAGATTCCTGTGGGCCAAGCTGCTGCTAGATCCCCACCCATGAGGAGGCCCTGGCAGGCAGTGGGGGATCCCAGCTGGAGCTCAGAGAAGGGCGGGGCTAACTGAGCTTGGGGAGCACAGCACCCCCATAACCCTTCCCCATCCCCTACCAGCTATTCGGGGGACCACTGTCCCTGCAGCACACACAGTGGAAGGAGAAAAAGAATAAAAAGAACGCCCGCCTGCACCTGCTCCCTCCCAGACATCTCTGCATGTCTTCAGCGCCCATCACTTCCATTTTTGTGTCCCCCTCACGGGAGGTCACCCAAACCCACAGTGGTCATGGGAGCACACAGCGGGCATGGGGTACATGCCTGTCATCCCTGCACTATGGGAGGATAAAGTTCAAGCCCAGCCGGAGCAACTTAGCCAGACTTTATCTCAAAAAAAAAAAAAGGGCAGGGGGTTTAGCTCAGTTCGAGAGTCCTGTGTCCAGTCCTCAGTACCACACACACTCAGGGCCCGGAGACTCTGCAGACGCCGACCGGGTGGACGCAAGCAGGACAGACCTTCCCACGCGGCTCTGGGTAGCTGCTGGGATTCTCACCCTGCAGAGGGGCAGGGAGGCCCAGGGCGGCCCCACAGCCACCTCGCCGGGTGCCCTGCCCAGGAGAGCCCTGCCGCTCTGCTGGCCCCCAAGGAGGTCGGCGCCCTCTCCACCCCACAGCCGGGGCCCGGGTGGGTGTGTCCGCCGGGCCGTGCCGTCCCCCAGAGAGCAGCAAGACCCTCAGCTCCTGGTCTGATCATGCGTATGTGCGTGGGCGTGTACCTAGATAAAGGAAAGGAACGGCACCTGGAGAACGAGGACCGCGAGGGTGTACGACAGTGGTTCTTAACCAGGGGCTCCTGTGCCCACTCTGGAAAGCCTGAGGCGTCTGCGGTAGCCAATCCTGGGGATTGGGGATGCTGCTGGCTTCGAACGTCCAGCCGCGCACCGAACACCGAACGCACTCCCCAGCAAAGCACGAAGCGACCCTGAGAAGCCGGCACTACCTCCCCTCCGGCCTGGCCCTGAGCGCCGACGCTAACTCTCTCCCTTCTTCCCCTGCCCCGCAGGCCCCGCTCTCCGCCCCGCGCAGCCTGGCGGCCCCGGCGACCCCCCGCGCGCGCCATGCCGGCCCTGCTGCTGCTGCTCGCGACGCTGGTGCTGCTAGGCTCGGCCGCCGGCCCGGTCCGGGCGCATCCGCCCAACGCCACGCGCGCCGCGCCCCCGGGCCCGCTGCCCGCGCTGCTCGCGCACCTGCGGCGCCTGACCGGGGCGCTAGCCGGCGGTGGGGACGCGGGCGGCGCGGGCGCCAACGGCACCAGGACGGGGCCCGCGGGCGGCCCGGGCGCCGCTGCGCGCGCCCCCCCGCCGGCCGAGCTGTGCCACGGCTACTACGACGTCATGGGCCAGTACGACGCTACCTTCAACTGCAGCACCGGCAACTACCGCTTCTGCTGCGGCACGTGCCACTACCGCTTCTGCTGCGAGCACCGCCATATGCGCCTGGCGCAGGCGTCCTGCTCCAACTACGACACGCCGCGCTGGGCCACCACGCCGCCGCCGCTGGCCGGGGGTGCGGGGGGCTCGGGGGCCGCGGGCGGAGGCCTGGGGCCCGGCCAGGCCGGGTGGCTGGAGGGCGGCCGCGCGGGGGGGCCTGGAGGGCGCGGGGGCGAGGGCCCCGGGGGCAGCACGGCCTACGTGGTGTGCGGGGTCATCAGCTTCGCCCTGGCCGTGGGCGTTGGCGCCAAGGTGGCCTTCAGCAAGGCGTCGCGCGCGCCCAGGGCGCACCAGGAGATCAACGTGCCCAGGTGCGTGTAGGCAAGTGGAAGGCGGGTCGTGGGCGGGGACTGGGTCGTGGGCGGGGCTATGGAGCCGGAGCCAGGCTCCGGCGAGGCGGGCGGGGCGGGAAATGCCTGGGCTGGAACCCACTGGGCTGTCGAGCACTGGGAAGGGGAGTTTGGGCCGATTCCAACAGCAAATACTTATTCCTTGAGCTCCTTCTTTGGGCCAGGAGCTGAGGCTGCTGATCTGGGCAAATTGTTTAGGCCTCTCTGTGCCTCAGTTTCCTTGTCTGTACAGTGGGGCTTATAACAGTTCCCACCTACTTGGTTGTAAGGAAGACTCGCTGAGTGGATTCATGCAGAGTCCTGACACACAGGGAGAGCTCACGAAATGCCGGTGGTGCCGTCAGTCGGCCAGCAAGTACACAGGCAGTTTTAGATGCGGGTAACTGTGGTGTGGAAAGGAGCGGCCTGAAGGGTTCGGGGTGTGCGTCGGGGAAGGGCTGGTTTGGACAAAGTGGCCGGAGAAGGCCTTTCCGAGCAAGGTCCTGCAGGAAGGGAGGGAGCCCAGCAGGTGTCATGTGCAAAGGCCCTGCAGTGGCCAGTGCCAGACCAGAAAGGGGCTGCGGAGGTGTGGACGAGATGAGGGTTTTCCTGTGAATGTGAGGAGCCCTGAGCTGGGGCGGGCACGTGTGATGACCACAGGGCAGAAGGGAGCTGGGCAGGGGCTGCTGCGATGCGAGGTAGGAGAGAGCTGGCAGTGCGGAGGTGCTGGGCAGTGTGGCCTAGACAGAGTGCGTCCTGGAGGCCGAATCGGCAGCACTGTCCAGGAGCATAAAGGAAAAAGAAAATCGAGGGGTCCCGCTGATCCCAAGGCTTCAGGGGAAAGGGGTTACCTGGACTGCCGAGGCAGGCTGCGGCGGAACAGGACCAGCTTCCAGATTCCGGGAGGGGCCTCGGAAAGGCTGGGGTCCACCTGACCCGGGGAGGGCCGGGGCCCGCAGCGTGGCCTTGGAAGGGGCGTGGGAAAGCCAGGGAGCAAGCCAAGCTGACCGCCTCCGCACCAAGAGGACCGGGGCCGAGCCCGGCGCCCGCCCCGGCCGCTGACTCTCCACGCCCTGCCACCCTCAGGGCTCTGGTGGATATTCTGAGGCACCAGGGCGGGCCTGGGACCCGCCAGGACAGAGCCCGAAGCAGCTCCCTGACCCCGGGGATCGGGGGTTCCGACAGCATGGGCCCCAGGACGCCCAAGAACCTCTACAACACCATGAAGCCATCCAACCTCGGTGAGTGGGAGTCTTTCCGGGCACGCCCCTCAGACTGTGGCCCCGCCCCCTCCGGGACACACCCCTCGGGCTGCCCCGCCCTGTTCCAAGACACGCCCCCTGGGGCTTCGGCCCCGCCCTCCTCCGACACGCCCCGTGGGTGTGGCCCCGCCCTCTCCTGGGCACGTCCTTCAGAGCTGTGGCCCCGCCTTCCGCCTCTGGGCCTAGTAGGTTCTCACCCCACGCGCTTGGTCCCTGGGCCGCTTGGCGCGGGGACCTGGGACCTGTTCGGAGCACAGCAGTGGAGTCACCGGGCCGCAGGGGAGGGGCAGAAAGGGCCTCATCTGGTTCGAAGGAAGGCAGGCTTCCCTGGAAGTGGTGCTTGAACAACAGGCTGGAGTAAGGGAAGCTCCCGAAGGATGGCAGACCCGAGGTGGGGAGAGGGTCCACTCTTGAGGCCTCAGAACCAGAACCGGGCTGAGCAGAGGAGCTGCGCCCTTGTCTGAGGGCAGTGGGAGCCACGGAGGAGCTCAGCACAGACCACCGTCAGCAGTGGGGGAGGTCGTGTCTGAAGCCGTGCGGAGGGAAAGATGAAGGGAGAGTGGGCCAAGAGGAGGCTGGGGTGTTGGTCCAGGCGGTCAGAGAGCACTGGGGCTGGTGAAGATGAAGAGCCGAGGGAGCTGGATCTTGAGGGATAAGCAGTCCCTCAGGCAGAGGGGAGCAAAGGGCTCAAGCAGGGATGCAGCTTAGCAGCAAGTCCAAAGGCCCTGGGGCAGCACAGTGTGGGCTGGGGCAGCTTTAGAGAAAGAATAGCTGTAGAAAGGGATGGGAGATGGGGCTGCAGTCACCAGCCAGGCCAGGCACCATCTCCAGGTTGCAGTTTGTCGCTAGGGTGATGGTGAGCGTGGGGGCATCAGTAACAATGTTGCCCGGGTCTGACCGTGGACATGGGCCACATGGCCACAGGCTGGCCTGATGACGGAGAGGGCGAGGCAGATACTCAGAGGTCAGGAGGGCCCAAGGAGTGGAGACCAGGGGCTGCCCGCTCTCCCAGCCCTGAGCCCCGGCCTGTAGCCCCCAGCCTCGGCCTGTAGCCCCCAGCCTGTCTCCCATGTGGCCAATGGCAGGGTATCACCGGGAGGCCCACCCACAGTTCTGGATGAGAGCTGGGCTTAGGGCCAGGATGCTGCGGACAGATCGAGGCGGCACAGCTGGGGAGCGATGGCGGTGACATTGCCTCCCTTCTTGGTCCCCTCAGATAACCTGCACCACAACTACCTGCACCTCAACATCAGCAGTCCCACGCACCACGCTGTCAGGCTGGGTATGCAGAGGGCTGCCAGGCAGGGCTCTGCCTCCTCCTGCTGCCGCCGGGCAGCCAGCAAGGCAGCCTCAGTGCCCTCCAGGGGGCCCAGAAGTGGTCTCCCTCCACCCAGGATGGGGGAAGATGGGGTGCACCCCATCTCCAAGGTGCAGACAGGGGTGTGGGCAGGTGGTGGCTCCTCATGCAGGGGGGTGTTTTTCTCCCCAGAGAAACCGATCCCTTGGGGTTCGGGGAACTCAACTGCTGTAGTGAAGAGGGGCTGGAACCACAGCTTTCCAGTCCTCCAGGGCTGGGGGCTGCACCCCAGGTCCGAGGGGGGAGGCTGGGCCGGGACCCGGGTCCGAGGGGGAGGCCGGGCTGACCTGGCCCTTCTGCTGCAGACTGGCGCCCGGTGCCCCCGCCCAGCCCCCCACTGCACTACTCCACGCTGTCCTGCTCCCGGTCCTTCCACAACCTCTCACACCTGCCCCCCTCGTACGAGGTGGCCGTGAAGTCGGAGCTGAACCGGTATTCCTCCCTCAAGAGGCTGGGTGAGTCCTCCGATGGGGGCAGCCCCAGGGCAGATCAGGCCAGGGAAGGGTCAGCACCACTGACGTGTCTAGCTAGCTCTATGCAGAGGCTCAAAAGCTGTCTTCTGAAGCCTGGTGTGGTGGTGCTTGCCTGTAATCCCAGCAGGATTGTGAGTTTGAGGCCAGCCTGGGCTACAAAGAGAGATCCAGTCTCCAAAATCCCAGACCTGGCTCTCATTTTTGATCCCAGCCATCCCTGAACCAACTGCTGTCAGTGACAGGCCTTCAAACACTTTAACCTGAGAGGGCAAGAGGAAATGAGTGCTCCTTCACGGTGGCCGGAGGCCCACATATGTGCACATAATAATTACAGAAAAAAGGGCCGGGGATTTAGCTCAGTGGTTCTGCCGCCTGCCTCGCAAGCACAAGGTCCCAAGTTCAATCCCCGGTACCCCCCCAAAAAAAATTACAGAAAAGTTTGAAGCTTTTGTTATGGACATTTTCAAACATTTGCAAAAGTAGAGAAAATTAAGCCGTGGATCATAAGTTCCTTCACCTGCTTTAGCACTGAGCTTCACAAATGCAGGCCATCCTTCAACACTTTACCCACACATACTAGGAAACCCCCTTATTCCCTTAGCCCACGCACTTGGGATGCTTTTTCCCTTCCTTCCCATGCTATGTTCGCACTGCTGGGCATTCCCCTCCGAGGGGGTCACAGCTGCAAGTCTGACAGACACTGCCGGTGCTGTGCCAGGGTGAGAGCTGGGGAAGTCGGGCTCCCTCCCGGAGGCGGGGAGGGGACGGGCGGAGGGGAGGGGAGGGGAGGAAGCTGCGGGCCCAGCCTTCGCGCAGCTGGCTCCGGCCGGCCCGGCTCTGCGGGCCACGGCCAAGGCCTCGGGGTCGGCGTGGCTCGGGCAGCCGGCGACCCCGCGCCCTGCCTCCGTCCGCAGCCGAAAAGGACTTGGACGACGTGTACCTGAAGCGGCGGCCGCTGGCCGAAGGACCCCGCGGGACGCTGCCACTGCACGCGCTGCGGCGCCCGGGCACCGGGGGCGGCTACCGCGCCGACGGCTGGGGCGGCCCTGAGCCGCTGAGCCTGGCGCCCGCCCCGCACCCGCGCCGCGTGATGTCGCAGGAGCACCTGCTGGGCGACGGCGGCCGCTCGCGCCACGAGTTCACGCTGCCGCGCGCGCGCCTGGTGTCGCAGGAGCACCTGCTGCTGTCGTCGCCCGAGGCCCTGCGCCAGAGCCGGGAGCACCTGCTGTCGCCGCCGCGCAGTCCCGCGCTGCCCCCCGACCGCGCCGGCCTGGCCGCCTCTCACTCCAACCTGCTGCTGGGGCCCGCGGGGCCGCCCACGCCGCTGCACGCCCTGCCCCCCGCCGGCCTGCACGCGCCTCTGCACCACCACGCGCTGCACGGCTCCCCGCAGCCCGCCTGGGCCGCCGAGGGCGGGGGGACGCTGGCGCGGCGCGCGCCCTTCCAGCGCCAGGGCACCCTGGAGCAGCTGCAGTTCATCCCGGGCCACCACCTGCCGCAGCACCTGCGCACTGCCAGCAAGAACGAGGTGACCGTGTGACCCCTCCCTCCGGACGGCGCCGCCCTGTGGTGTCACTGCAGGAAGGACGCCGCCTTCCCACGGGGCCCTTGAACCAGCCGCCGCCGAGGGCATCACTAGTGCTGCGTCCCCTTCCCGTGGCACCCACCACGAAGACCCCTTCCTGTGGTGTCACCGAGGACAACGCCTTACCCCGTGACATGGCCCCGAGAGACAAAGCTCACTTCCTCCAGTGTCACCTCACTGGCGAGTCTTGGGCTCCGAGGTCACCTCTGCCCCAAGATCTCTGTGCGCCATCCTCGCAAGGAAGCGGTTTCTTCCTGTGTCCGCTGCGGAGATGATGTTTCCACCCAGCACTGTCCCTGCCCCAGTCAAAGCCATCCCGGGACACGTCGAGGGGGGATGCCCCACACTGTCCTCAGCCATGATGTGGCCTCCTTTCCACACACTGTCACGGACTCCATCTCTCCTCCCCTGTGATGCCATCGCCAGAGAAGGTGCCTCGCCCTGTGACACCATCAGAGGGACTGTGCGTCCTCCTGGGATGTCATCTCCAGAGGTGACAGCCTGCCTCCCTTCCGTGAGGTCTCTGCCAGATGCTCCCCCTTGGAGGTGACAGCAGCAGACACCCTGCCTCTGCTGTGCTCTGTTCTGAGGAGGGTGTGTTGTGCCCAGGGTGGACGCCAGTGAAGGTGCTGTCCTGAGATGTCCCCTGGCAGGTGCCAGCACCCCAGAGGCACCCTGGCAGCAGAGCCTCCCCCAGGTGATGGCTGGTGTGTAGATGAGTGGCGGAGATGTCACCACTGAGTGTCCTCGTCAGGCAGTGCCCAGAGCTCCTGCCTCCTCCCACTCTGACCTGGCTTGGTGGCTCCTGCAGAACAGGGACCTGACTGGCAGGGTCTCTCTACCAGGCCCTCTAAAAGGAGGCTGAGCCCCAGGCCTGGCCGAGTGCAGGGCTCCTCGAGGACAGTGCCCACCATTGGCCCCGGCTCCCAGGAGGACATTCTGACCCACTGGGCTCCTGAAGGCCTAGAACTTCTGGGTGGACCAAAGGCTGGTGTCACTTCTTTCTGCCATACTTGGAGGCACCATCAACTCTGCCAACAAAGTCCTAGCCTCCCGCTGGAGAGGGCTGGAGGTGCCTGCTCTTCTGCCACGCAACGTCTTCCACTGGTGATGGTGTAGCACTTGGGGTTCCGTGTTGACCATGTCCTTTCCCGGGATTCCCTGTGACCCATCTCGGTTAGGGCCCCACCTCTTCCACCTCTTCCAGGGTTTCCCATGACTAACTGTCACACCAACCACAGTTCTTCACAGCCATGGGAGCCATGGCGCCAACTGTGTCTTCAGCCCCTAGGACCCACTCCCACCAGTGTCTTCATGTCCCAGGGTGTGTGGGGGCCAATGGTGTCATCACCTCCACGATACTGATACCGTCACCGTCACCTGCAGACACCCACGGAGCCATGGTGTCATGACCTCCCCAGATCCATGTCAGCTCCATGGCATCACATCCTGGGGCTCCTGAGAGGGGGAACTGCCTCCGAGGACCCACACAGCCATGACACATTGCTTCCCAGGACCCAACAAGCCAGGGTCATCCCCTCCAGGAGGCGTAAGAACCGAAGGTGACTGTCCCCCCATTCCACCGGTGTCTCCATGTCCCAGGAGGCCTGAGGCCCAGTGCTGTCACTGCCACTCAGAGTCCATCTCAGCCATGGTGCCATCACCTCCCAGAGTCCCTGAGAATCACGTCAGCAGCAGCTAGGATCCAGCATGACCGTTGTGCCAGCACCTCCCCTCATCCACGTCATCAGCTCCCGAGCTCCATGACCATGGTGTCACCACCCCGGGATCCGTGACAACCAGAAGTGTTATTTCCCAGAGTCCTTTTCAACCGTGGCATCATCACCTCCCAGAGCCATGACACCCAACGTGTCACCATCGACCAGGAGACACTCCGACCGTGTGCGGTCACCTTGCAGAGCCCCCAGCTTAGGGCCAGACACCACAATGAGCTGTTTAATTGTCCTCCAGGGTGGCATGGCATTCATAGTTCCCTTCAGGGAACCAGCACAACGTGCCACCCCCATTCCTGATGGACGTGGGTGGAGCCACCGCCCCAGGTCATGACCCCACTCTGGCTCCTCCAGACCGTGTCACTGCCTCGCTCTCCACCCAGATCGGGCCCCAGACTTGGCCTTGGCCAGCCTCCCTCTAAGCCCTGGTGAGGGCATGCGGGCCCTCCTGGCCCCGGCCCTGCCCTCACCCGCCATTGCCATCGGATTGGTGACAGGGTTAACCGCAGCCTCCCACCATTGCTCAGGTGGGGTTTCTGGGCCCTTGGAAGGCGCCACTGCCCCCACACCAGGGTCAGTAGTCACAGTCTGGTGCCACGCCTGCTCTGGAGCTCTGGCCAGCAGCTGCAGCAGCTCAGAGCTGCCCCGAGGCCCAGCTGGGGGCAAGCCCGAGGACAGCAGCTGCCAGGCCCTCGGGTGCTCCCCACCCTGCCCCAAGTCTGTCCCCTGCTCTGTACATAGCCATGTTGCGGGGTGGCGCTCCCCACTCTTAAAGGGCTACACCCCTCCCTCCCCCAGACCCAGGATGAGGTGGAGGCCTGCCTCCTTAGGACTCCCCCAGTTGCTGGCCTCTGGGGTCACCCATGTCAGGAGCCCCAGGCAGGTACCAACCCCAGCTGCCATATCCCAGAAGGATGGGGGTCACCATCTGCCAGGCCTTGGCCAGTTGTGCACCCCACCCCAAAACATGCTCAGGCAGACTGGGCCGCCCTAGAGAGGAGCTAGCCAGCCCTGCCCCAGCTCAGCGCCCCACGGGACTCAGCTTTCCGCAGCCTGGATGTGGGGTTCAGGCGTGCACCCCTCCACCTGCTCTGCTCTGCTTGGACTCAGAACCCAGCCCTTGCTTACTTGGCACGGGTCTGCCAGGTGCCCTGACCTCTCACCTCAAAGAAGCCATAGTGGGGAGAGATCTCCGGGATGTGGCATCCCTGAGCTGGGACCTGGCCGCCCACCGTGTGCTCCCTGGCCCCCCTGCAAACGCACAGAGAGCCCGAGGCTTTGGCAGTGGCGGGTGGGCAGCACTGGCCAGGGACCCTGGAGGGCTGTGGCGAAGCGCAGGGGCAGCCTCACTCTGCCCTTCCTTGTTCCCATGACACTCTGCCTCGCTGGCTCTGCCTCACTGCTGCTCAGGCCCGGCAGGAGCTTCCACTTGGTATTTTTTTTGAATAAACATATGTTTTCCTGATCCGTGGTCTTCAGGGTGTCTGCCAGGAAAGGATGGGTCCCCCACCTGGGAGGGGGGTCACTGGGCCCCCACGTGCAGCTGAGCGCAGGAGCTGCCAGGGAGGCGCCTCTCTGGACGGGTGTCCTAGGGCTCGGGGATGCTCTTCCCTCAGGACCGTGGCAGGCACTGGGGATTGAGCCCAGGGCCTTTACACTGACCCCCATCTCCAGCCCTCGTTCTGTTTTTTATTTTGAGACAGGGTCAGTTGCCCCGGCTGGGCCTGAATTTGGGGCCCTCCTGCCTTGGCCTCCCAAGTGCTGGGACACAGGTGTGCGCCCCCGCCACACTGTGACATGCTTCTCAGCCATGCTTCCTCTAAGCCTGTGTCTGGGATCCCAGCCGTCAGCTCCTGTGTGACTGCTGCGGCCCACCCTCAGCACAGGAGCCAGCCTTCTTAGTGTCCCAACCTGGACGGCTTAGTAACAAGACCTGCTGTCTCCTGGGCCTGGAGGCTGGAGGTCCAGCTGGGTGTGAGTGGCGCTGGTTGCTTCCCCGGTCGAGGAGAGTTGGCCCTGGGCATCTCTCAGGGCCCCTGGTGGCCTGCGGCAATCCCGGACTTCCACGCTGCCCGAGGGCCTTCCCTCCGGACTTCACCTCGCGGGTCTCCTCAGACCCTGCTTCCAAATCCCGGGCATTAGGACTCTGGCCTTCTTTCTTTAGTTGCCCAGGCTGGCCTCAAACTCACCAGCCTCCGCCTCAGCCTGCAAGTAGCCGAGACCACATGGCATCGCTACCACACTCGCTCCCAACATCTTTGCAGGACGCCTGGGTGCGGCTCTCCGACCCTGCAGGACTGCATTTCTGAGGACTGGAAGTGTTTTCCTACCCACGCCCACTGCGGGGGTGGGGCCAGGGGCGCCTGAGCTGTGCCTCTGCCCTGCAGGAGCCTCCTTCCTGGGGCAGGAGAGTTCTCTGGAAAGAGGTCTGCAGAGCCGGAAAGAGGTGAGGTGGGGAGAGACAGAAATGCTGGCGCCCCACAGGCGCAGCAACGTAGTAATCCCCTATTCAGGAGGCCGAGGCAGGAGGATCACAAGTTCAAAGCTGGGGTGGCGAGGCAGGAGGCAGGGGTGGCGGAAGGGCAGGGGCTGCCGGGCCATGGCTGGCGATGCCAAGGAGCCAGCTGTGTTTTGGCTTCTGTTGCACCAACTCGCTGAGGACAGATGATGGCACATGAGTCCCTGTTCTCTGGGAGCAAAAGACAGTAGCTGAGGCTCCCATGAGCCTCTCTGGGTGGGGCCGAGTGCACCCCAACAATGACAGTGCCTGTCACAGACTGTACCCCAGGGCTCTGGGTGGGACCCTGCATCCCCCAGGACCTGTGTGTGCTGGGATCGAACCCAGGGCCTTCTCACTAAGCTACAGCCCCAGATCTTCTTAACATTTTTTGAGACAGGGTCTTGCCAAGTCACTAAGTTGCCCAGACTGGGCTGCCCTTGAGATCCTCTGCCTCAGGCTCTCAGAGTGCTGGGACACAGGTGTGCGCCACCGTGCCGGGTTCCATTCTTTTTGGCTGATGGGTTTGGTTTGGTTCTTTGAGCCAAGGCGTCAGTATGTAGCCCAGGCTGGCCTTGGACTCACTGTGGGTGTTCACCAAAGAGTGAGGCACAGGGACTTGAAAGGTTTTTAGGAGTAGGGCCTGTCAGATTCGTGGGCATCAGCCAGACTTGGTAGTGCACACCGGTGATCCCAGCACTCAGGAGGCTGAGGCAGGAGGATCACAAAGGCAGCCCATCCTGGGCAACTTAGTGACTTAGCAAGACCCTGTCTCAAAATAAAAAATAAAAAGGGCTGGGGATGGAGCTCAGCTCGAAGACCCTGGGCTCAAACTCCAGTGCTGCAAAAATGAATGAATGAATGAAACTATGGCCAGGAGCGCCCTGCGCCTGTGTTTGCAAGCCCCAGTCCCCAGGGTCACAGGCTGTGTGGTGCCTGACTGTCTTGGGAGTCGCAGTGTCAAGCAGGATGGGTCGAGACAGGCAGGACACCACTCCAGGACAGGACGCCTGGTGGCATCCAGCCCAGCCCCCTCCACCCGGAGCCCTGCTGGCCTCCCCATCTCTCCTGACTGAACTGTGCAGGCCCTTCCACTGTGCCCGGCCCCGCCCACCCCTCCTGTGCCCTGAGCACCGAGCTCCAGGCCATCCGGGCCCTGGCACCTTCTGTTCCCTCTGCTCCAGATGCTGCCCCACAGTGTGCCACTGCCCAGATGGGCCTTGCTCACAGACCACCTGGGCACGGCCTGCCCTGTCCTGTCCTGGCACCCACTGGCCTGACACGGACTCCCCTGCTTGCTCCCGGCTGCCCACACGGATGTCAGTGCGTGCGGCTCTGTCCTTGTCTCTCCTGACACCCACAGCACCTTGATGCCCTGTGGCAGGTGAATGAACACGGGTGTCCAGTGGGCCTTGGTACCATATCCACCTGCACGGAGTGAGATCACAACTTGGGGCCCAGCCTGGGCAACTTAAAGCGAGACCCTGTCTCAAAATAAAAAATAAAAAGACCTGTGCGTGTCACCTGCGTGAAGGCCCTGGGTTCAATCCGCAGTAGCACAGAAGCAAGAAGCAAAGTGAGTGCCACGCATGCTGAACAGCCACGGTGGCTGTGGTCGTCAAGTGTGTAGGGTGCACTGCAGTCTCACAGCAGTTCCACCCCTGCCAGGGCCTTGCTATGAGCCTGAGCCCTCAGTTCCCTTCCTGTTAATGGTCTGCAATGGTCCACACCCAGGAGGCTCAAGGCAGAGCAGGTGTGCAAAACACCCACCTGGAGCCAGTGCTCCACGAACTCTGGTTAACAGACTCGTGTTATGCTGTAGGGCCTTTCTGGTTTTGGTACAGTACTGGGGATTGAACAAGGGTTTTGGACTGACCCCCCACCCCACACACACCTTTTTATAAACTTTTGAGAAGGGTCTTGCTAAACTGCTAAATTACCGAGGCAGGGCTTGAATTTGCAGGGCCTCCTGCCTCAGCCTCCTAGTGTTGAGACTGCAGGGGGGCACCACTAGGCCTGGTTGTAGTTTTCTTTTACACCTCCTGGCCCTGTGGGGGGAGCTGGTGGCTGGGGGTCTTCCTGTGCCCAAAAGGTTACCTACTGCTGCTGCTGTCCAGGACTGAGAAGGCCAACAAACTATCCGGGGCATCCAGGGTGGGCATCGTCCCCCTGAACACATGAACAAAGGGAAGCCAAGTTCAGCCTCTGGTCCTCCTTCCCGCCTGGCATCTCCCACTTGGCCCTGGAGCTCCAGCCACCGTTTTCAGGTAAATTGTGTGGCCACTCGACTGCCCTTGAGGCCTGGAAACAGTCCCTTTGCATCTAGCCGTGTATCTGTCCCCAGGCAGTCCTAGAGAGGGCCCTGCTGAGCTGCAGCCCCTGGGATTACAGGCAGCTAAATTATAAAGACCTCAGAATTGTGGCTGGGGTGCAGCTGATGGCCAGGCCTCAAGGTAAAGATGGAGCGGCCACGGCTGCAAGCCTCCCTGAGGGACAAGCAGTGACTTGGAACAATACTGTGATTGGCACCGCCTGGCCCAGAAAGTCCAGGCTTCAGGCACTAGGTGACCACAGCATCCGGACCCATCGCTTCCCAGAATGCCTCTGTTCTTTTCATGTCCCTTTGCTGTTCCACTCTCTGGATCAATATTAGCTAAAGAGCTGTACTTGCAATCCTATAGGCTGATGGTAGTTGGACCCACATTGTGACTTTGCTGTACAAATCACCCTGACAGAGCCTCAGCGGCCACCCATTCGGGACCCCTGCTGGAAATCCAGGAGGTATTCTTCTTTCCTTATTTCCAGTAAAACTCTCCTAACTTCTTTCCTTGGTTCAAGACTTCGTTCCTCGATGTTGTGGGACCATGAACTCGGCACATTTGACATCTAATAGGTTGGGAGTTATAGTTCTCCTGTGTCACTGGCCCATATCTGTAATCCCAGCACTCTAAACAGGCTGAAGCAGGAGGACCACAAGAGCAAGCCTCGCCTGGGCCTTTTTACGGAAGCCCTGGCGCTGGGTCCAATCCTGTGCTGGGCAGGGGCGATGTGGGGTGCTGGCTAGAGGCAATGAAGCTTTGGCACCCTCCAAGGTTTTTCCCGGGCCTCCCAAGGGATCCTCGGTCCTTTTTGCTACAGAAAGAAATGGAGACCTAGCAGAGGTCCGAGAGCCAAGACTCCAGGGTTATTCGGTTATTCGGCCTGGGCGTTGGGTCTCTGCGACATAGGCGAGGGGTCAAAGGTCATTTCCACCACAAAATGGCGTCTCCAGGAAAAATAAACTTATTTCCAGCCTATCTCACCAAGGTGGAAATGAGGGGGCGCAAGCTGCAAGAAGTCATTTAAATGCACAAAAGGGCCGGGGATTTAGCTCAGTGGTTTCGCCGCCTGCTGTGCAAGCGCACGGACCCAAGCTCGAGCCCCGGCAACAACAACAACAACAACAACAACAAAAAAAGACATTAAATGTACAAGAAATATAAAAGAATTTAATTGGCCGAGACTGTTTCCTGTGCGCTAACCTGGGTCCCCATTGGTGGTCAGCAATCCCACCAGCTTCCCCTCCGGCCCCACCTTTCCTGCCAGGGATTGGTCTGTATGAGTCTTGTGACCCCAGACGGGCCATCCCTATTGGCCCCAGCACCTCCCATCTCGCATTTAAAATCCCGAGTCCCGCCTCCCCTCACCCCGCCCCGGCCCTCAGAACAACCGTTAGTCGCGTGCGCGACTTCCTCGGCGTCAGGACGCACATGCGTACGCCAGACAGTGGCGGCGTCTCATTCAAACGGCCCAATCAGCGGCCGCGCCGCCTCCGGTCCCCTTTTCCTCCACTCGGGTCTCTGGCTTCCTCCATTTTCGGATGTTCGCTCTCCGGCTCCCGTGTACTGCCTGTGGCCAGCCCGTGGCGCAGCGCCCTTCCAAACTTCTCTGGTTTCTGTCTGCAGCTTGTAGAGAGAGGGTGAGCGCGTCGAACGCCGATGCGCGCTGACGTCACCGTGGAGGCGCGCCTCGGGGGCGTGGCCTGAGGACGGCTATAAAAGCACCGTGGTGCGCGCGGTCGGTTCAGTGCGGCCCGGTTACCGAGGCAGGCGGAGTAGTTGTCTCGGTACGGGGTGGGCTTCGGAGCCAGCGGGGAGCGGAGAGGGACTTCCCGTGCCTCGCCAGGGCCTAGCCGCCGCAGTTGGGCCCCCCGCCCCGGCCAGCGGCCCGAAGAACGCAGGAAGGGGGCCGGGGGGACCCGCCCCCGGCCGGCCACCGTCATGGTGAGCGCAGGCGGCTGGGCCCGAGAGGGGCGATCAGGAGCTCTCGGCGGGAGGAGGCGGAGTCCCAGAGCCTCTCCCGGGCAGCCTGAGGGATTTAAAGGTCCACTTGGGGTTTCTGGGCCAGAAGCGGGCCCAAGGGCCTTGCATCAGAGCAGGAGCCGGGCCACCCACAGCTGCCTGGGCCGGGAAGGCCTGCGGAGCCTCGGGGCGCCCTGCGCCAGCCCTTGGGTGCCACTGGGAGCGAGGTGCCGCCGCCGCTGCCAGGCCTGAGCCCACGTTTGTAGGCTGGTTTTAATAAGGCTGAATGAGGCAAGGGATAGGCCGAGCCTCTGGCCTACCTCGGTCCGGTGGGGACCGTGCGGTCCGAGGGCTGGATCTGGGTACCTCGGGGGTGGGTGAAGCTCTCTGGGTGGCCTGGATTCCCTTCCCCATGTCTGTTATCAGGTCGGCCTGGTACTGCGGCCTGGAGCACGGTTCAGGGTCTGGGATTCCGGGGGTGACTGCCAGCCTGGGACCTGCAGGGTCGAGTCCAGGGTGGCCTTCCCTTGCTGGCAGCTCACCCTGGTCTCCCGTCCTGTCCAGAACTCCAACGTGGAGAACCTGCCTCCCCACATCATACGCCTGGTGTACAAAGAGGTGACGACACTGACAGCCGACCCACCGGATGGCATCAAGGTCTTCCCCAACGAGGAGGACCTCACAGACCTGCAAGTCACCATTGAGGGCCCTGGTGAGTGAGGGCCTGAGCGGGGGAGGCCACTTCCTGGTTCCTGCAGCTGGGTATAGGCGACACAAGGCCCCAGGGCACCCATTACAGGCTGGTCCTGCAATGTTGGGCCGAGGGTGGCTGGGAGAACTCATAATGGGGCTCTTACCTAGGTTTGGGGTGAGACCGTCAGGTGCGGCTCCCCTGGAACCGAGGATGAGTAGGAAGTCATGGGAAAAGAGTTCCTGGCACTGTCAGCGTCAGCAAAGGCTGGGAGGATGGGCCAGGGGATCTGAACCTCTGTCTGGCAGACACTGGTTGACTGGGGACAGGGCAGGGCACAAGCAAAACTTGGTATTGTAGGGCATGCAGGTGGGGATAAAGCAACCCTGTTAGCTCATTGTATCATGAGAGCAACTGAGAATTCCATTTTGTGCAAACCGAATTTCCATCAGCACCCGATTCTTGTGAGGCCAGCTGAGGTGTCCCAAGAGCCCAGGGAGGAAGGGACTGCTCTGAAGCGGTGCTGTGGTCAGGGAGGACCTCCCTGAGGAATTGACAGCTGCAGGTGTCCACAGCTTTCTGCAGGAGAGGTTAGGGCTGGAGGGTCCAGAGCATGGGGAGGCAGCACTCCAGAAAGACTTGAGGCAGGTAGACCTGTGTGCTTTGTAGGAATGAAAATAAGAAAGCAGGGAGCAGATGTTTTTCCTAGGCCTGTTTTAGGCCCTTGGGAAGGAGGCTCAGGTTACATAGGGGTGTGACAGCTCCCTACAGTGTTCTCCCTGACCTGGCGGGTAAAGCTGAAGGCCAGGTGAGAAGCCAGACACCAAGGTGCTGTGGGATTCGGGGGAGGACCTGGGGCAGCTGCCCAGGATGTCGAAGGTCAGGGTGGTGCAGTGGGTAAGGATATCTTTTGAGCCAAGCGAGTAATGACAGCTGTTTGGTAGGGTGGAGAAAGACCAGGAAGACAAGAGGGTCTGGCGTCCCAGCTTCCTGGAAGTAGCATATCCTGGGCAGTACTTGGGACAGAAGGGGCACCCAGGGTCATGGAGATACAGGAGGAGGCCACAGGTCATGGCATCTCTTAAGGCTTGGGGTGCCTTTGGCTCTTGGAGACCCAGCTCTTGTTGCTGTCAGAACCTCCCTAGCCTGCCAGGCACCATAGTGTACATCTATAAGCTGAAGCAGGAGGATCGCAGTTTAAAGGCCAGCCTTAAGAAAGGGGATGGGGATATATAGCTCAGTACTAGGAGCAAGGGCCTGGGTTTAGTCCCCTGAACCACCAAAGATAAAAGGGGGGTTGGGGACGCAGCTGAGTGGTAGTGTATTTGGTGTAGCATGCCTGGCCTCCAGGTTCAATTCCTAGTACCACAAAAGATTGCCCAACCTGGTAGAAGAGGACATGGGGCAGGGCACCTGCCTCAGCCAGGCAGGAGACGGCTCTGGGGTGCTGTGGGTTGCTGGGAGTCCCGCCCCCTCACCTGCCTCCCTTTGCTTCCCTCCAGAGGGGACCCCCTATGCCGGGGGTCTGTTCCGCATGAAACTCCTGCTGGGGAAGGACTTCCCTGCCTCCCCACCCAAGGGCTACTTCCTGACCAAGATCTTCCACCCCAACGTGGGCGCCAATGGTGAGATCTGCGTCAACGTGCTCAAGCGGGACTGGACGGCCGAGCTGGGCATCCGGCATGTGCTGCTGGTGAGTGCCAGCCAGGTGGGCTGCTGTCCTCTCCGTACTGTGTGGACAGATGGGGAGGGATGCAAAAAAGTGGGGGCCCTGGTTTTTCTGAAAGATTGTGGAAGGACCGAAGCACAGAAACCACCTCCACTGTCCTGCGCTGGTCCCGGGCTCCTGGCCCCATAGTGCCTGGTGGCGTGGAGAGCAGGCAGCATCGTGGCAGGCAGTGTCCGGTTGGCAGGTGTTTGTGTTTGCATACCACGCCAGAGATTTTCAAGTCTGCAGCTCAGTGGTTTTTAATACTAACAAGGTCCTGTGCAGCCATCGGGCTGTCTTCGCTCCAGGTTGTTTTCCTGCACTCTTGTCCCTCACCCAGGGTGAATGTGGCCCCAGGGACATTCGGCATTGTCATGAGACCTTTGTTGTTAGCACTGGGGCAGGTGCTGCCAGCGCCCCCTGCACCCATAGCACCCGCTCTCCCCTAGGTGGAGACACCCTAGTGTAGGCCAGGTCTCCCAAGGTCCCCATGGGCCACTTCCAGCATTTAGGTCCCTGCTGCCTCCCCTGCCCTTCCCAGACACTTAAAAAGTTGTCAATTGGGGGGTTTTTTTTTTGGCTTTCTTTTTCTCTTGTACCGGGGATCAAACTCTGGACCTTGCACGTGCGAAGCAGGCAGCAGCACCACTGAGCTAAATCTATGGCCCTGGGTTTTGTTTTTTGACACAGGGTCTCTGTGTAGTTCACGCTCACCATGAATTTGTGGTGATCCTCCTGCCTCAGCCTCTGCCTTAAAAAGTATTGTTTAAGGGAAATTTGTAATGGGCCTCTGGGATAGATGGTAGGGCAGAAGGGAGTTGGGGTTTCCCCACCCAGGACAGTAGATGGTTTGGGGATGGTGATAAACATTAGGGAGAAGCCAGGCGTGGTGGCACACATCTATAATCCCAGGACTCAGGAAGCTGAGGCAGAAGGGTGGCACCGAGTTCAAGGCCAGCCTAAACTAACAGCAACACTGTCTCAACAAACAGCAAAAGAATCAGGGCTGACCCTGCACCTCACAGGGGCCAGGAGCACGGGCACTGTCACCCGCCTCAGGCCAGGCTGCCTGCTGCGCCCCGCCCTTGTGTGTGTGGAGGGGCACTGTGTGTGGGGACCAGTTGTTCTGCCAGGGCCCTGCAGGGTCCACAGTGGGTCATGTCTCTGACCTGCTGTCCCCTGATGCCCACAGCCTGCTGATCCCTTCTCCATCCTGTGCCGTGCCTGCTAGGATGCAGCTTGGAATAGGGGTGCCTGTCAGAGCTGAGGGTTGGCACCCTGGTTCTGCGTCCCACTGGGAATCCCACTGGGGCTCCCCAAGACAACTTGCTGCAGTGCAGTCTGTTCCTTGGGGGGCTTTGCTGTGGGAGACAGCAGCCTGGGCCACGCGGACGAAGGAAGGGCTGACCCAGGTTCTCCCTCCCTGTGCAGACCATCAAGTGCCTGCTGATCCACCCCAACCCCGAGTCCGCTCTCAACGAGGAGGCGGGCCGCCTGCTGCTGGAGAACTATGAGGAGTATGCGGCACGCGCGCGCCTGCTCACCGAGATCCACGGCGGCTCAGGCGGGCCCAGCGCCAGGGTCCCTGCCGGGGGTGCCACAGCCTCCTCTGCCGACCCCTCTGCCCCTGCCAGCGTGGGGGGTCCGGGCGGGGCCGAGGGCCCCATGGCCAAGAAGCACGCAGGGGAGCGCGACAAGAAGCTGGCAGCGAAGAAGAAGACGGAGAAGAAGCGGGCGCTGCGGCGGCTGTAGGGCTCTGTCGGCTCTCTGGCGCCTCTGCCTCCCTCCCTCCCTCGTCTCTAAGTTATTTAAATTATGGCTGGGTGGGCTGGGGCCACTGGGATCTGCATTTGGTTTTCTAAATAAAGTTGGAAAAGCAGCATGTGCCTGGGTGGTGCCCAGCGAGGATGTCAGTAGCCCCCATCCCTGGGCAAGGGGCAGTCGCAGCATCTCTGGGGAGGGCTCCCAAGTAGGGGGTGCAGCCCCACCGCCTGGAGTCCTGGTCCCTGTGCTGGCCCTGAGTGGTGTTGACAATTCCAAGCCCAGGGCATCAGATGCCGCCCAGCTGCAATTCTGTTGCAGGGCTGATCAGGGCTTTGGGCAGAGGGGTGCCTGTGCCTGCTGGGCTCCCCTCCCCCTGGGATCCACCTGTGTGCACACCCCGGGAGGCCCACACTGCCTCCTGCTGGTGGAGGAGACAAGGAGGCCTGGCCTGTAGCAGAGCAGGAACCTAGAAGACTCCTTTTGCCTGGAAGGCTTGGCCCGAAATGGCCTGAGAACCCTGCAGGAATGAGCTGGGCGACCTGCTGGGGGTGAAGCAGCCAAGCCTACGCCGCCCATCCCACCCAGTACAGGGAGAAGCCCCGGAGTGGCACAGCACGGTCACTTCTGCGGGTCCTTGCCCTCTGGGTCTCAGGTGGGAGCATCCTTTGTGCCCTGGCAGCTTCAGGATAGGACTAGAGGGGGCTGGAGCTGAGCCAGGCCACAGGGCCAATGATGTCCAGCTCACAGGAAAAGCTGAGGTGGGGCTAGGAGCTTCCTGGGGTGCTGCACCACTGCCCATTCCTGGCACCCTTCCTCTCCTGGCTCCCGTTGTCTTTAGAGCGGGTCTCCCCGTGTGGACTGGCTTTGAACTCTCAGCGATCCTCCTGTCTCAGCCATGATAGCACTGCTATTACAGGCATGCGCCACCACACCTGGGCTCATCCTCAGAGCCAGGAATGAACAAAGCCCCCTGTTGAGGCCTGAGCTGGGGCTGGGGTGTGAGCCCTGTGCTGACAGGCCCCTGCTGACCCCGGGTGGTGTCTGGTGAGAACTGGGTTGGAGTAGGATGAGATTCACATCTCGGGTGTCAGGGTTGTAGGTAAGAATAGGTGAGCTGCACGTGCCGAGTGTTGAGTGCAGATGGCATGCATGGTCAGCAGGCGTGGTGGCATATCCCATAATCAGCACACAGGAGGCTGAGGCAGGAGGATCAGAGCTTGAAGCTGGGCTGGACTACAAAGACTCAGAACAACAAAAATGTAAACTTGAAAATATCTCCAGGGAACGGGAAACAGAGTGACACATAATTGAAGTTGGGCACAGTAACACACTTCTATCATCCTAGCTACTGGGGAGGCCAAAGCAGGAGGATTCCAAGTTTGAGGTCAGCCTGGACGAGGCTAAGACTATCAAGAGCAGCTCGGGCCATAGCTCAGTGCAAAGTCCCAGCCCAATCCCCAGCTTGGGGGTGGGCCTGGGCAAAAGGGCAAGGCGGATAGTGCCAGAGACATCTGCAGACATGAACCTTGGGGCCAGTTCTCAATATACAAAGCTGCTATGAAGCAAAGACAAGGGGCTGGCAAAACCTTAGGACAAGTGCTTCACCGAAGACGAAATCTAGATGGCTGCTAAACCGTAAGAGGTGTCCCACATCCTTAGCAGTTGGAAAAATTCAAATGTAAACCAGAATAGATGCCATTATCCAAATGAGCAACAATTACAAAGTCTGAGCCAGCTGTGGTGGCACATGCCTGTCATGTCAGCGCTGGGGAGGCTGAGGCAGGAGGGTCAGAGTTCAAGGCCAGCCTGGACTGAGACCATGTCTTAAAAAACCAAGCAGCTGCAGTGTGCACAGCACTGTCTGTTGTGTACAACAAAGGGAGGGAGGGCTCTGAAGGTTTATAAATTTTTGTATTCAAATAGAATTCCTCCTTGACCCGGGGATTTCAGTGGTTTTGCTGCCTGCTGCGCAAGCACAAGGACCCAAGTTCAATCCCTGGTACCAAAAAAAAAAAATAGAATTCCCCCAGAAAAATATACACAAACCTTGTAACATCAGTTGTCCCTGATAAAGGGACCTGTCAAGGAGACCAGAATGAAAATGAGCTATTTCATTGTAGAAACTTTCATCTTTAAAAAGAAAGTTTTTGTTTTTAAACAAGGTCTTACTGTGTATCCCAGGCTGGGCTCAAACTTGCCATCCTCCTGACTGCTGAGATTACAAGCGTGCACACCTCTCCACCCCCGGCTTGAGAGGTGACTTTTGAAGACCCAGTTTACATTTACAGAGAAATTATGACAATGGTAGTGTCCCTATTGCCAAACCTCCATACTATGCAGTCCTAACACCAGCATGGGTGTGTGTTTGTGTCCCAGGCTAACAGAGCACCTGCCCTGGACTCCACTGGCCAAAGGACCCCGGGCAGCAGGGGCTCTGTGCTCAGGGATCAGCCCCTGGGGGAAGCCAGGCTCCTTGCTTGGGAGCATCCCTGGTCCCGGACACTCGGACTGTGCTGTCACACACCAGGAGTCAGGAATGTCCTGCTGTGCGGACAGAGGACCAGCGACCCCAACCCTCCTCCTGTGGAGAAGGAAGACAGAGAAAAGGCAGGCAGGGTCACCAGTGGCTGGAGGGAGTGACAAGGCCGCTCTGGAACTGGGCAGTGTCTGGAGCTGTGCAACTCTGTGGACCCACTGAAGTTACTTCGCACACCAGATGCCAGCTACTCAGGAGGCTGAACCAGAAGAATCTCAAGTTCAAGGCCAGCCTGAGCCACTAGGCAGACCCTGCTTTAAAGAACTGAATTGCTCATCTACCAAATAATTTTTAAAGTAATGGATTACGTACTGCTAAAGGATGAATTTTGTTAATTCTATTCTAAAATTACTTGTGGGGAAGTTTTCTTTTTTTGAGACAGGGTCTCATGCAGTTTGGGCTTGCCTCAGCCTCCTGAGTGCTGGGATTGCAGGGACCCACCACGGGCACCACCATGACCAGCCAAAAGCCTTGGCCTAAGCCGATAATCATTCTCCACATGCACTGTTCACTGGCCCCGGGCCTTGGCTGCCTGACAGCACAGCAGTGGAATTCCACCTGGTTTTGGTTTTTTTTGGCAGGACTGGAGACTGAACCCACAGCTTTCACACTAACCCACATCCCTAGCCTTTTAAGTTAACGAAACAAAGTCTCACTGAATTGCTAAACTGCCCAGGTTGGACTGAAACTTGCAATTCTCCTGCCTCAGCCTCCCAGAGCCATGCTGGGCTGGCTCTCAACCCTTCTCTGCGTGAAGTCTCAGTGGACAGGATGAGTGGGAGCTGCAGGGAAGGGAGGGAGCTTAGTGCTGGGCCAGTGGGGTGCGGGTGCCACAGCAGGGTCCCAACAATGGGCAGAGGGCCTGGCCTGGTTGGGCCTGACACAACTGCGCACAGAACCGCATCATAGCAATGGTCAGGATAAGCCTCATCCTCCCCTACACAACCCCTCCCTCAACTCCAAGAGGCGCTAACACCTGCCAGGGTAGCTAGGAGGCAAGGGTGGGACACGCACTCCACAGGCAGCCTTGGGGGTCTGTGCAACACCCACCTTCAAGCAGGTGGCCCTGGCCACTTTCAGTACCAACACTGAATTCTGGCTCCCCAGGTGCTACTTCCTGCGAGGGATGGAGCCACTGCAGCCCCCACCAGGCACTGCCCAGAGTTCACACTAGAAAGCAAGCCAGTGTGGTGACGCACACCTCCAATCCCAACGCCCAAGAGGCTGAGGCAGGAAGATCAACAATTTGAGACCAGCATGGGCTACCTCAAAAAACCAAGCAGGGCTGAGGAGAGGGGGAACCCTAAGAGCTCCTACTCCACACAGGTGGCCATGGAAGACCTCGGAGGAGACGGAGAACCACAAGAGGCCTCGCAGCTGGGGGCCCAGTACTGGACACAGCCATTTATCTCAGGTCCTCAGCCGCCTGTTCCCAAGACGGGGACACATCAGGCCCACACCACCCACAGGCCACACAGGGCTCTCCGCCCTGTGTTCACCTCAGGTCCCCAGGTCCCAACCCTGCTGTGGTGCCAGAAGCCAGTGGTTCTGGAGGCTGGCGCTGGGAGCCCCTACCCCACCCAGCAAGGCTCCAGGCTCCCTGTACCACAACCCCTTTGATTAAGGGGCTGACAGTGTGTGACATGGCCCAGGGCCATGGGAAAGCAAGGCTCTTTATTGCTTGGGGGCGGCTCAGGCACTCTTGGTGGGGCGGGTCCGCTTCCGCTTCACCATCACAGGCTTCTGGCTGCGCAGAATGGCACTGGCTCTTCGGATGGCGGCCTGTGAAGGGGGGGCAGAGTCCTTGAAGTGGGGCGCAGAGGGTCCCCGTCCCTCCCCAGCCCTGGACCAACCCTCACCATGCGCAGGTCCGGGCGGTACTTGTTCTTGCGGATCATGTGGCGGATGCTGCTGAGGGTGGCGCGTGCATTCTTGTTGATGGTGGTGCGCACGTAGGAGGTGGCTGGCTTCCGCTGCCCTGGTGAGGGGGACCTGGCATCAGCCAACTGTTGGGGCCTCCAGTGCATCTCCCAGGCTTGACGACAACGCCCCACCCCAAGAACCAGGGTGCTCTCGGCCCCCGGCACCTCTGTCCGTACAATCACTCAGCCAGCATCTGGGCACACGTTACACACTTAAGTACACACATCTTGTGCCCAGAGAATTGACGAAAACAATGGAACAGACTCTTACTTAGGGTCATAAATGTACCAGAGTTGCGGTTTTCAATCTAGGCCACAGAATGCCACACTGCAGCATTTCAGGGCCCAGCTACCCTGTGGGACACGCCGAACTGGGCAGGAATGAGACAGCCCAGCTGCAAGACCTGGTTCACAGCTGGGGCGATGGGAGAGGCACAATCTGGACTACTCTGTGATCAAAAGGCAAATGATTCCTCAAGCCAGGTGTGGTGCTGTACTCCTGTAATACCAGCACTCTGGGAGGCTGAGGCAGGAGGATCACAAAGTTAAAATCCAACCTGGACAACTGAACGAGACCCTATTCAACATAGAGAAACTTCTAAGAGGGCTGCTAGATGCAGTTCAGGGCAAGGCCCCGGGTTCAAACCCTAGTAACTCCCCAACCTCCAGCAAGAACAAACGGAGATGAAGCATCCTATGAGGCCCCTGCATCTCCTCGACTTCCCCTCACAAGTCACTGTGGAGACCCCAAAAAGGCCTGTCTGTGCCAGACACCACTCTATGTAGCTGAGGGCCTCAGGGCACTGTTCTCAGCCTCCACTGGGGGACGCAGAGGCTCCTGACCCAGCTTGGCCTCTCCATGTGGGGTTAGGAGGGGCAGCCTCTTCCCTGCTGGCCTCGCTTATCAGCTTCCAGATGGAGAAGTCCACCTCGAGCTGAGTTGTCTTGAGAATTTAAATTTTTCTGAGACTCTCCCTATGCCTCTCAGGCTTGCCTTGAACTCTATACAGCCCAGGCAGGCCTCGATCCTTCTGCCTCAGCCTCCATAGCACTGGGATTGCAGTACAAGCCTGTGCCACACCTAGTCACCCCTTAAAGATTCAAATCTGAAAACGTCGTACAATTGTAGGACCCAGTTCTGTAGTGCACACAATACCTCGGTCCGTGTTCGTTCTCCCAGTCTCTCCGCTTCACTGGGGAGGAAACGGGTTAGGGGGCCCGGACCCGTGGCTCGCAGGGCTGGGTCAGCCAGCCTGAGGCGGCTTCCCAAGCCAGGCCAGCATCCCGGCCCCCAGGACGCTCACCTGATCTCCGCTTCATGACCACCACGACCCCCTTGCCGTCGGCCGCGGGCTCCACGCCCACCGTCTTTCGGTGAATCAGCCCGTTGTAACGAAAGGAGTTGCGGGCCTTCAGGTTATTGGGCTCCTGGGGAAGGGGCGAGGGCGGGAGGATGAAGCTGAGGATGCCAGACTGGGGCCCCGGGTCCCGCCACCACTGGGCCGCGCCGGGGCCGCCTCACCGTGCTGTACGTCTGCTTATTCCTCTTGATCAGGAAGCTGGAGCAGTTCCGCACAATCATCCACTGCAAATGCGCAGACATGGCGGCGGCTGCGGGGAAACGGGCACGTGGAGACGTCAGAGGGGCAGCAGGGAGGGCGCGGGTCCGCCGGGGGCGGCCGCGATGGTGGGGAATGCGGCCGCGGAGCGCACGAGAGGCCACAACTTCAGGGGGCCGAGTAGGGGGGGCTGCTAAAGACGCCTGGGGTTCAAGAGAAGCCAATCAAGGGTCAGGGTCCGTGGGCTGAGGGCGTAGCAGGGGCCCGGCCGGCCTCACAGACATCACACGCTCACCTCTTCTCGCTGCGGCGGCCGGAGACGGAAAGAGCAAGGCTGGGGCGGGGCACCGCCTTTAATGCTGCTCACGCATTTCCGCTTCCTCTCTGCGCACGCCCGAAGTAGCTAGCCCAGCCTCCGAGGCCGCTCGTCTACTTCCGTACAACTCTGGCGCCTTAGAAAATGTTCGGCTGTTGCAGGTGGTGGTGTCACTCGCCACTCGGAAGTTTTCGGAATTCCTCGGATAGATTTACGAATGGATGCATATCGAGAAGTACCGAGAACTATTTCTCAGCAACATGGGTCCAGTACTACTTATCCAACGCTCGTCACTATCATTAGCTCACGATGGGCGTTAAATAAGCGCTTGTTTTTTGAATGAGCGCGTGAATGCATGGAACATTTAATCTTAGCCCCAACGTGCTCAGATACTTTCGCTTTTCTTCATAAGCTCTCGGCTTTTTCCCGCTCGGACATTTTCGGAACTCCCTGGAAAGGCTCCAGGATCAGCCGGCCGCCTATCCCTATTCGCCCATGCCCAGTTCGGATCTGTTCGGAAACACTCGGGCTCCATTCGGCCACACAGGGAATTGTTCAGCTAAACCCTGTAGCCCTTGGCAGTTCGGGCTCCCTAGGGTCTTGAACTCTGAAATCGAGTCTAGGGAACCTAGACGGAACTGTCTAGGCGACTTCACCCCAGGGAGCGTGGGTTTCCACTGAGGGCGAGTTTTTGGGAGAAGAGCTTTGAAGCGACCGCTCGTCGTTCCCCGGATTCGTCCCTGCGCCTCGCTGCCTCCCGCCCCGAGGTCCCCCCAATCACCCCTGAAGCTCCCTGGGAGTTTGTTGTCTGTCGGGAGGGCCGTCCTGGGGGAACAGGGGTTTCTGTTTAACCAAGAAGTGCCCGTGCCGCCTCCTCCGTACTGGAGACTGAAGCAGGGCCTCAGCACTGAGCTAGGTCCCCAGCCCTTTTTATCCTGAGGCAGGGTCTCGCTAATGTCCCCAGGTTAGACTCGAATTTGCGATACTCCTACCTCAGCCTCTCAGACTGCTGGGGTCACATGCGTGCACCACCATGTCTACCCCAGCTGGTCGTAGTTTCCGGGCTCTCTTGCGCCCACCATGGGGCCTGGCTGCCTCCTGGAGGCATCCTGAAGACCGTGTGTGTGTCCAGGGACCAAACCCAGCAGCGCTGTACCACTAAGCTACATCTCCAGGCAGGGTCTCACTAAGTTACCCAGGTGGGCCTTGAACCTGCGACCTCCTGGCTCAGCCTCCCAAAGTGCTGGGATTACACCCTCAAGTTGAACCAAGGGTGGCAGCCCCGCCCGGGCCCGCCGGGTGCCCGGCCCAGCTCAGGTGACGGTGGACGCCGGGCACACCTGGCGCCGTCCC